TTTAACAGCTATCTTGAGGCTTAAGAAGGTACCCTGCTAGTCTCATTGCAATTGTGTTGACACACCTGTCCAGTTGATTAAATTAACCTTTATGATATGGCGCCATTTGGATCGGCTTTTGTCGGCCCTATGTATCCCGTCTTTCTATGATTTATAACAGTTGCTTTTCTTTATTCTTATTACATTCTGTGCATCTGCATCAAAGCCATAAGCTAAATTTTTTCATTTCTACAATACTAAAATGTCACAGAGGTCTGCTATATTAACTCATGATCTATTTCTGTACTATAGCAATGGTTCATTCTATGATTTTGATGTCTTATTATGGCAAAACTAGAGACTATCAACAATACTATTAAAACTATTCCTTAGATTATGACTTTAAGCACAATCCTATAAGCGATATATAAACGATAACATATTCAGAAAGTAAATTCATATTTCACAACATAGGAAAAATACGCGTAATATCACACTGGATTTGCCAGGTCACCACTTTATTGTTATACCCTGCCAATTAATACAAACAGTAGGATCAATAATTATTCTACTTGTGTAATAGTTATCACTGATTAAAGTTTGATCGATTGGAGAGTTCAAGGGTAGTCCTAGTCAAAAAGCATTTTCTTGATAATCTAGCTTACTTTATTAAAGCTCTAATAGAAATTCACTTCAAGCGATCAACAGCTTTTACGGTTATTATTTGCCGGTTACAATGTTTACCTTGCAGCGTTTTATAGTTGGTGTACGGTTAGTTATAGAATCTGTGAAATTTTAAAACAATAGGCAAAATGTGTAATCAGCTTTATATTTATTGATATTCGTGTTGGTTTAATCTTATATCTTACTCAATATGGACAAAATATTTAAAGAGAGAATGACTAAATTATATTTTAATTTCCGACTCATTCATTATTCATACTAGAAGTTTATGGGATTAAACCTATGTTATTATAATCTATAAATATTGTTAAGAACACTTTCAAATATAAGAAATTCGATATTATTTAAGTTCGCTTACTCCGTGCAACAGTTATCAAATTAATGGCAGTATTGTACTAACCATGATCAGCGTTTGTATTAAAGGAATATAAGCAATCAAATACCGATACTATAGTGTATACTAGTCTTACGGCACCATAGTTTTCATTATAATAACTCTATCTTGCTATAAGTTAATAATAGAGATAGTTTTATCTTTTAACCTCAAGTTCATGTCTTTGTGCATATTGTTTGCTAAAGAATGGTGTCAGCGATGAGTTCTAGACAACTCAAATTTATTCTTCAAGTCAATTAAGTACTGTAACATGCGGCATTATACTAATTCATTTAAACCTGGTGGAAGTAAAGGACGAGTTTATTTTTCATTTACTGCACACAAACGCGCAAAGCAAATAGGTTATTTAATGGCACATTGATAAAAAGTTAAATCTATCATTTCTATGTGTGCAGTACTGTCAAAAATTTAGGGTATACTCAACGACAAAACCATGATCCGTAGTATTAGGTAACAATAACCTGGTTTGTAACGTTATTCATATCTTAACCGATTCTACACACAGATAGACGTAGTTATAATTATGCGTAAATGTATTTGCATCACATGCGCTCATAATTATGCTACAATGAATAATAATTAATAGTCTGTAAATTTTCTTAATGGTAATGATATATTGCAACAGGTATTGTATACATTACAGATTATATCCAATAAATATCTTTGCTCTGAGTATGGCAGTATACTTATACGTCTTGCCGCCTAGTACTTGTGACGCTTCAAACTGGTACACCTAAATCTCAATATCGCAGTTTATAAACCGAACAGGTGAATAGTCAATTTATAAATTGATCGGTCAGTTTATAACCTGTCATTGCCAACGGGCAATACATAACTTGACCAGATGAATAAGTTGTATCATTTATATTCTGTATCTTATTAACATCTAAAAATAGCCTTCGATCATGTGTGAAAAGTGAAAATGCAATTTGAGACCATAAAATATATAAGCATCATATACCACACCTAAGTATATAAAGAAGGGTAATTTAATACGCAATGTGAAATTGAATTTATGTTTGTAAATACTTAAGTACTCTCCGCAATTGTGTAGTGAAGCTGTTAGACAAGCTATTGTTATCAACATGTTATGTAGAAGTGAATTAGACATAACTTAAAAGTAATACCAAAATCTAGAGCTGCTAACAATAACAGGTATATATAAGTAATGCTTATGATAATTCAAGCATGTTGATTTCAGCTTCGTAGAATAAGATACTAATCATATAATTTTATTGTCATACTAAGTTCTGGAAGTGTTGAATTATGTTTTTCGCAATTATCATGTCGTAAACGTTAGATAACATATTTAAGCAGCTACACTTTTCTGTCATTGTTGTTCTTAGTCCTTCTTTTCCTTGTCTGTCGGAGCTTGCTGTACTATTGTCTACTTAGTATCTAAATTGATAGAGAACCAGTAATAAAATCTCCTATTCAAAAATTACTTGTGTGAACTACACTTTAATTACAGTTAGTAGAAGAGGTTTTGTTACAAATTGTTAATTAATTATTAGTATACACAGTCATGATGTTTATACCATAGTTTCGTTTTCTGTGCCTAAGATCGAACAAAATCAGGAGGTCATATTTAGATTGTACTTATCATATATTCAAAGGACTACGGTCTAGGCTGCCTTTGGAGAAAACATGTAGAATGAAGTGGCTTGAAATGCGTACCAGCAAATGTAGTTTTCACAACTTTGCATTATCTCAGCAGGTATTTAGTTAAATCATAATACTACCATGATTTTAGAGCAATTGAAAGATAATACCTTTAATAAATAATATTCATATTTATGCTATCGTTAATGATAATGCAATTATAAAGAAAAATTAAAGATAAATAACACAACTGACAGAAAAGTCTCGGATTATGTCTTGATAACACATATCCTAGTTGCTAACTGATTACTTATCTAATCATAACCCTTATGGCAATGATAGCTTTCGTGTTGGTATGAACTAACAACGCAGCAGAGGGAGGTTACAGCAAGTAGCTTAGCATATACTAAAGGACGATATGCCAATTCATGTCAGTATATACTTATTTAAAGATTATCATTGTGTATCATCGATGTCATTTAAGTACTAATTAGTTATAAATTTCTGCTATTCTTTTAGGCAGCTTTAATATCATACGTCACTGCTGGCGTCTACATAAGACATTACAGTAGATACAGTAAATGGTAGGCTATTACTGGACTTACGGCTTTAAACACAATACACTCCTAGAAGTGTAGACCGAAATTTTAATAGGGGTTCACAACACAATATTTATAGACTGCAGATATATTATTCATAAGAATTATCCGCTGTCAGCTCGAAATGGCAGTAATACAATTAACGATAAGACCGTAAAGTCTAAATCCAGTGATTGCTATTGAAAAATTAGTGGATACCTTTCCGAATTGATATGACCTAGAAAGCATTCGAAATTTTATTGCAGAATGCCAAACGATAATAATGAAACAAGCTGTTAAGGTACATTCATTGACTACGATGCAATGACAGCAAAGTGCTTTTAATTACATTGACTGACGTCAACAAAAGCAAGTGTTTTAAGAAATGATTTACTACATTGATTTGTGGCACCGTATTACTATACATGATTATTACTGCATAAATTACTAAACAATGCAACAAATACGATGGAATTAATTGATATTTATGTATATTTATAATTAAAAATTGTAAGCAGTATTCAATAACTCATTAATCACGATCATGAATAAAAACAGTTCATTAAAACACATCTCGACTTGAGCAGAACATAAAATCTGAACTTGAAAAATGATCATAGCAGGAATACCATTACGGATAAAATAAATTAATCAGTACTGATAACTGTAAATACGAACTGTTTGCGACAGCATTTGGTAAATAATTATATCATAAGAACTAGAGTAATAGTTAAATTTCAATTACAAGAAATTATCGTGGGTACTTTAAGAATATAGTGGAATACCTTGTCATGTTCAATAGATATTCAACTATAACTTTTTAGAATATCCCTATAAATTTTAACAATATTCCACGACAGGAAACTTGAACGGGTAATAATGTAAGTTATCAATTCACAAGGATCCATGCTCACTATGGATTATATAATTATAACAAATTTCGTCTTTCTAATATTTTATAATAATTTCATGATCCATAAAATGAATAGCAGAAGAATTTTAGCAATCTCAAGCTGTAAACACGTATTCCCCTTCTAAAGCAGCTGTCGTTAGAGTTAACAATATTAAAGCATAGCATATAGCTCGAAAATGCGATAAAAGTAAACTTTGTATCACTAGATTCGCTAATAAATGATACAGTACAGAAATGAACATTACCCTAGACTTAGGTCTAATAGTATGAAACGAATAATAACAACATGCAATGAAACGTAATGGAGGAACAGACAATTACGATGAAGAATAAAGTATTAAACGAAATATTTCCTGAATATCAAATTAACTCTTCATCTTCATTAACACGTTTCGGACAAGTATTATCTCATTTTAACTTCTTAAGAGAGTTGCACAAGCTATCGATAAATAAAGAAAATGGCATCGAAGCTGATCACTGCGTAATGCAAGTCCTATTTACATGTACAGCTATTCAGAATGACGCATACCTGGGTTAAAATGAAAATTATAAATAACATTCTGTACGATACGGAATATTATTTAAAGCGTTATTACGGCCACTCATTCTTATAAGCAGGTTGATCTTTCAAACTGTTTCTGATACTTGGAATGTGACGATGCAGATGCTCCACCTTCCATATGATAAACTCTTTCCTTATCAAGTTTCAATCTACTCATTTGAGTTTCTTTCGGAATAATTAGCTTATTAATATGACGCTCCAAATGATGGATGTCCTCAATTGTTTCAGAATGCTGTAAGATAAACAGTAATACCATATAATAAATGAATTTTGTCTATCGAAATTTAGTTAAAGTCCGTAATAATCTATCCTTGCTATTAAAGTATAACATGTAGAGAAGAAATAAAAATAAGCAGTTACTGTCCTATCACTAACCTGTAGCCATTTATGATATATCGCTTTATCGACAGAGTATCGCTTCTTTAATTCGATTTGCAATAGATTGTTTATTAGATTTATTGCTGAAATAAAATATAGTACATCAAATGTAAATGTATCGATGCATAACAAAGACTATTAATGTTATTATATTATAGGATAACTTATACACGGTAGAGGCATTTGGTATGTTTAACGGTAACTTAAGATCGAGATTTACTGATAATAATTTTGCCTTCTACTAGATATAGTTGTATAGTTTATTGTATTCTTTGTAATATTATTTAAGTACTGGCAATTGACATTTACGTAGTGAATCTGAAAAATCAGTTGATTTCAAATAAAATTTGGATCTTATAATTTGTTCTAAATAGAGACCTGTAGTTGCTGTGATTTCCTGATTATAATTAATAGATTGATAATATTCAAAGACTCAGAAATGTACAGTAAGTAAATCTCAAACGGATCAGCTCAGATAGTAGGCCCATGGCTTTAACTTCTGATTTCATGCTTCAGCTGGTAACATACTTATACGTATACTTTGTTATCTTCATTTTAGCCGCGTGTACGTAGTTAAAACACGCTGGTACAGTATATCGTCATTAGAATACAAGTTCTATCATTAATACTGCATGTCAAAAATCATGATTGAGCTTACCATCTTGAGAGATTTCCGCCCACGGATTATCAGGATACATAAAAGCAGCACTTTCTATTTGATCTTTAATTTCTTCATCTTCATTAAATGGAAATGTCCCACTAAGACTACAACAAATTTATAAAATATCACCGAGAAAAAGATTTTACATAATATGCTTAGTTGCCTTAGAATTGATCAATACTCGTATATATTGATATGAACGCCGAAATTATGACATATTGCAAGTATACCTGACATAAATGATTACGCCTACGGACCATAAATCGAGCAATCGATTATATCGCTTGTTTTTGAAGACTTCAGGAGCTATTAAATTAATATATCAAATGTATATATATATATAAAGTATCATGTTAATATATCGAATTAGAATAATTTACGTGCATAAAGTTGAGTAATTTATACTACAGAATATAATCAGACCTAAATATGCTGGAGTGCCGACAATCGATTTACGAAACGATCTTTCGCCGATAATCTTCGCGAATCCAAAATCACAAAGTTTTATCTGCGGTAAAGCTTCTTCATGCTTTAAAATAAGCACATTTTCTGGTTTTAAATCACAGTGGGCAACGTTCTTACTATGAAGATAACGTAGTGCGTACAAAATCTGCAAGGAATAAAAGTCGATTTCGCAATTAATTATGAAGCATAATTTTTATTACTTTATTATTTTCGTAACAGTAATAGATAATTTCCGTTAAATTGTGTCAATAGGGTAAAGTGCCGCACTAGACATGATATCGTAGTAACTAAGATAGTGTTGCTACAGCATCGCAGTCTGAGTGCAATGAATCATTTCCAAATTTATTTTAAAATGCACTAATAAGCTGAGAAATCGTAATATTTTGAAATATATTAAATATTTGTTATATTTTCTGTTAAGCTTAATTTGCGCTTTAAATTTACAGTAATACAAACTGAATACTATTCCATTACCTGTAAAACCAAGTATTTAGTCATTCTCTCATTAAGTCGGCTTCTAGGACTAGATAATATTAATTCTAACATATCTCCATCAAGTTTTTCCATAACAACAAAGACCTACCGTAACAGAAAATATTTTAAGGCTAACAATATATTTTGAAATTGATTACTTTAGCTTATTGATGCTTTCTATTGCTTTGTATACTATGCACACTTTCGTATTATGAACCACTCAGTGATAATGTACTACTGTATTGCATATTTCGTTTCTTTGAATCATGACATACTTTCTCGGGTGTTTCATACACATTCTCGAGAATGACAACGCCCGGATGTGAGACACTCTGTAATATAAGCAATATTGTTGCATAATAAGTAAGTTCTTCCTGAAATATGTAACTTACTATAAACGTTTTTTTGCTAGGATTGCAGTTTATCACTGGACAAATGCCGCTATAGTAAATCACCAGAATGAGATTCTAAATAACCTGTAAAATGTCAACTTCATTCTTTAAACGTCTTTCTTGTGTAGATGAAAATAACGACTTGTCGACAACTTTTATTGCAATTGCTCGTCCATTGCAACGAAGAGCACCTACATATTCAATAAAAGATTTCTGAAACAATACTGTAGAATAGATGAATATATCTTATTGTTAACCGTAATACTTTAATATTTACAAGTGCAGTTGATAAATTTGTATACAAATACTATTAAGGCATCGCGTTTAACATTACTTTACCTCCATAGACTATTCCAAATTGTCCTGCTCCTAAGATCTCATTTTGATCAATCTGATATTTACTGGTGATGTCCTAAAATTGGAGATCATAAAAAGTCGATACCCCCCGTAAATTAATTCGTATCAACTATAACCATGCTTTACCTCCAATTTGTATCCTTTAGGTCCAGGTGTATTTGTACGGCTACAGCCATCTAATACAAGCATACGACTTTATTATTACTTTTCCCTTAATAATTTGTTGATATTGGAGAACAAGTAGTATCATTACAAATAGAAATATATCGTACAAACCTAGCGAACTATCACTAATAATACTATTTGGTTGTAGCGCCTCTGAAATTGCCTTCTCCCAGAATTTTGCCAACTCCTCTCCCACACCATTTTCGAATAATACTTCATCGGAAGGAGCTCCAACAAAATACGTCAATTTTGCCGTAACGAATAGAAAATAATACGAAGGCGTAACGACGTTGGAAATTGAATTATTACTGCCATACGATGTTGCAAGGTTCAGAATTTCTGATAATTGTATAATCTATGCAAAGTTAAAAAATTAGTTAATTTATTGTTAAAATATGCGTTTAATCAATAATTGAGAGATATTATAAACGGTGTGATCATTAAAAAGAAGATATACTGAATTTTTATTCTACATACACAGCATGGCTCTTCGCTATCTTCTGTTAGGAACATGGATAAATTTTTTGTATCCAAAACCCAAAAATAGCATTTACGCTAGAAATTATCATCAAAAGTAATAAAACCCTATAAATTAATATGCTCGATACAAAAGGAAATAGAAAAGGCATACTTATTAGTGATATGAATTTAAACAATCTCAAATTAATTATTTTAATTACAAATGACAACAAAAAATACTTTCTTAATTTGGAATAAAAAGTGCGTGTAAGTGCATTAAATATAAAGATAATACTATTAATAATGATGCACTATACAGATATATTATATCCTAAGTTTTCGTTTAACCTCTTGATCTGCGTCGGTATAATGAATTATCCAATTAGAGTATAATTCTTTAGATGGTTTTTTCAACGGTATTTGAGTTTGTATCAAACGTTGTAATGGGATACAACTTCCATTTGGTGTCAACTCCGAGTGTCCATTTGTTTCATCTGCTAAGTAATTAAAAGCCGAAAGAATAGACCTATTAATACCGGAACTTACGGTACGCAAACACTGGAAATAGCCTTATAACTCTTCCGTTTAAATGATATACATCAAAATTTCAAATAAGACCGCAGACACGATAAAAAAAATAGATTAATGTCAGCAGTAGAACACTACCTGAATTTTTTTCATCATTTGTGTCCAGTGTATCAAGTGAATGATTACTATCCGGTAAATCCGAAATCGTTATTTGGTTGATTTCTGGAATAGTACCATACTGATTGACCGAACGTTGATTAACTGGACATAGTGGATCTAAAAAATGAATAAGATTACGGTATTTAACCTAAATTATGTATCAAAATTAAGGTAGGCTGATAGTCTTTAACTTCTGTCATAAAAATCGATCTATGCCAGTATGAAAGAGGTAGTTAATAGCTTTAAAGTCGTAATTCCCATTGATACTTTAAACTATCCGCAACTTTTGCTCTTATATTAATTACGATCTGTTACCTTGACTTGAACAGTCATCGTCATTGTCGCTATCTTGATTATCACTGTCTTGCGCTCCTTTATCATCTATCATCAATTGATCAATTTTAACTTGCAACTAGATCTTTATTATAATATAGTAATAGGTACGTAAAGAACAATGGTAGCCTTACTGTATAAGACCTCACTGGTACAGTTCTTGGCAGCATATTTCATACATCTTTTATGCACGCTAAATTTGCAATCTATCAGATCAGACATGAAAAATAAAATGGAACAATTGATATTCTATATATCATAACTATATTACGCATATTATTAAATATTCACTCTCGCCTAATCCAATTTCTAATAATTTACCTTTACAACGATATCCTTGGCGGCATATCCCCAGTAGCTTTCATGTGAAATTAACAGTCATCAACATTAATAATATAAGGAATTACCTTACTACATAAATAAAAGCAGTTAAATGAAATGTAAATATATTTCACGAACCAATTTTGAGCAGAGTTGGCAAATGGTCGGCTTTTTAAAGGTATGCAGAGTAAACGTATGAGGTACTTGGACACGTTTATGAAGAGCGACATCAATCCATGCTGGTCGACCGCTACCCCACCAGTTATCACTAGGACCACTACGTTTAGTAATTGGAGAATTTGAAGACACCATACTAATGGTACTATTCTCATTTGCCATAATCTCCAGACTTTCCAAAGGTGGCGTACAATTGTTTGGTATCTTAAAAGCACATCTCTTATGAAAATTACAATTACAACCTAAACCCAAAAAAACTTTCGTAATGAATATGTAGGATAGCTTTCAGTAAAAATTTTTAACTTATACAAAATTAAATTCACCAAGTAAGCTCAACGATTACAGTAAAAAAAAGTCTATTCGTTCATTAATTCTAGAGAATATTTATCCACCTTCACACTTTAAGCCCTGACGAATTATACCAAAAAGGAGCTGTCCACAAAAGTCGCAAAAAGTTGGTGACCGATAGGAATGGACTCGTAATGAATGTGGGCGCACAATAAACTGTACTTCATCCATAGGACAGAAAGCTATTTGGTATTAATTTATGATAAAAGTTACTCATTAGTTATTGAACACCTGGTTAATCGTTCATCAGTACAAAAGTACGAATCAGTATCATAGATTCAAAACGATAATCTCCAATTACCATCAAGAATAATTTCTATTACGGACTGATCTTTAATAAGGTGCATTTGTGACTCGCTTGATAGCAGTCGTAGCCGGTTAGAAAAATTTTGATCATGAAGGAACAGCTGGACATTTTTTCGTAGAGTTAAATAACCATGATTGGAGAACTAAAAAGTTATACGAGAAATTAATATCAAAATCAACATTCACTACATAAAAATTTTAAAATGTAGCTTAAATTTTTCGTCTATGATGTATTAACTATTGATGATTTGTAAAATTATTCATCCTACTTTAAGAAAATCTTACGCCCCACCCTCATCGTATGATGATATAGTAACTTATATTCACTTTCTAATAAGGCTAAAATTAAAATCAAATTTATCAACTATAGACCTAATTATGCACGAGTGATCATGCAGTTGCTTATTTTACAGGCATTATCCCAATAGCTCTACGTAATTTAGCAATATCTGCTATATAACATATGTTTAATCCGTTACTATGAAGAAGGCATTACAGTAGATCAGTTGTACTTCATGCATGAAATTGTATGCATGCAAAAACGTGCATAAAAACAAATATCGTTGGTCGTGTTAATTGAGATAATTAGATATTAGACACAGTCCGAAATTATTATAGAACGTGTAAGGAGCTCGTCAGAATATTCTTCCAACAGTAAGTTATAGCGCGTATGACAGTATGAAGATTAAATTGTTAACGATCTGATGCCTGAAGAATGAATAGTATGACTTATTTAGGTACCTTTTGTGCCAGTTGCATCATACGGTACCTTGTAAGTTGCAGATGCATATTTTGTTAAATAAAATCAATCTACCATGTAAAATACTAAATTAAACTATATAACGGGCCATGAATTTAATTTTTATTAACGCAAACGATCGTAATTTGCGTATTCATGCATGTTAATTATAATTCATAATTAGGGGTAAGTTATTCAAATTAATCGCCGAGAACGATAATAGCGAAATTTGTATAAAGACGATGCTAGAAAATCTTTCGCTATTTTTAAGTTCGCTTACAGTACATTAAAACCGATTTATAGATATGAAAGGTACATTATTGTCACATAAAAGCGAATTTTTGATTTAATACGTCTCATAAAGCTGGTTATGCAACAAGAAAGCTAGGACAGATAGTCCACATAATAAACAAGTAAATAAAGCTAACCTTGGTGCTCATAAATAGCGATTTACGCAACTGATAACCAAGCTACAATTATTGCCCAGCCGTAAATTTTGTAACAGTTACAAAAGAAAGTTGATTTCATACTAGTCATTCCTACACAAGCAATACCTTTCGTATAAAATTATATTGTGCCTGAAGTGGACCATACTTGTGCAGTTCATCGTATCTACCGCTTACATATTTAGATGTAGTATATGTAATAGAATAATTAATCATTTAAACTTCTATATGAGGAGGCTCATTCGTTCAAATATTTTGCTACTCAAATTAACAGTAATCAATGTTTTACTAGATTAATTTTATTCCCAATTTATGGCGCTATGCTTCCTGTGTATAAGGATTACCGTAACTGATAGTGAGTCGGGTGATTTGATAATGCTAGTAAATGCATCATTACTAAAAGTCTACGACTCGCTCAGACGGCATTAGTTCGTGCGGCCAGCCATCAGCGATTGGCCAATTAATACATTTTATATAATGCTTTATGAACAAACGGATGATGATGCTCAAATACTTGATTAATGAATGATCTGCCTTCGGTCGATTATTGCTTACTATGTTACTTTTAATCTTGTTTAGTGTCTATCTTTCCTAGTGCAGATAGCCTACCTTATACCCTTATGCTATGTTATGAGTTAATTCTACGTTAACAAAGCTTGTCGGGCAATGCCTAAAGCTGTACTATGCCGAGAATTTGTTTATTTTAGTTTAGAATATTAACACAATAATTTACATTTAATCTATTTTAACTAATCTGAGATAGAAGCACTGTAAATAAAAATTTTCGCATTTCCAATTATACAAAGATATTCATATTATAAAATTAGCGAAATTTAAATCAAACTTGGAACTTGTATCAATTATGGTAAACAACGTGGTGCTGCGCTAGTGCAATACGTTCTTATTAAGGTTAATTCTTATTTAGTATCGGATTGCGAGCACGTGCTAACTTCTGCTAAGTTGAAAACGTCTGCTTATGTAATATGATTGTTATGTTGAGATCACCCGCCGGTGCACCAGTAATACAGTATATAGCAAACCTTATTATGGATAAGAAATTTGTTCTGATATTGCCCTTTGAGTACTACAGTATATAAACTGGTGTATTGGGTAGATCAAATTATGAACCATTGTCAGCGGTATATCTTGTGTATCCCAAGTACCCTACACTTTAGGATTTTATAGTAATAGATTTAATTCGGTTTATAATTGCAGTTAGTCGGATTTTTCGTCAATCCAGTGAATAGAATTATTATAACATACCCGGGGAAATTCTAATTATCGCATTGAATTATATTATCAAGATTTATATATTTGTACATTGTATTGTAATTTATGTTTCTCCAAGTGAATTATAAATATTTCAATACAAAGAGAAGCAGAGAAATCAATATATTACAGCAGAAGAGTAGAGGGCCGATGTGCGTGCATGAAATTCCGGGAGGCGCATAAAATTGTATAGCATCTGTTTGTTCGTTCAGATGCTAAAGTAAAATTATCTATCACTAACTGTAATAAACAATAGTCCATTTTATAGATAAAAACATCCATAGTAAAAGTTATACGTAGTAATGATTATTCAGTAAACTAACAACAAGGCATCGTAGTGTGAGGGATTTCTTTACATCTTCCGGATTATTATATCAGTGTTATTAGATTGCCGTCAAGTATATGTTCCACTCGAATACACCTTTTTTGAAGTGCCATTATTACACTTGGAGCAAAATGTACATTTTTCGGATTATTTTTGTTTACTTATTTTAAAGTAGCAGTTAATATTACAGTATGCTAGAGTAAAGTGTAACCCAAAATAGGATAAATATAAGGATTTAAGCTGAATGTTCGAACATGGAGTTAAAATCAAGTGCTGAATAAGAAAGTACACGCAGTAATGTATGAAGTAGTGTACAAACTGTAAAGTACTCACAATGCACAGTGCATTCATAAACTAGCTATTGATGTCAAAGAGATCCTCAGTTTTTCTCCGGCTGAAAAGGCCTGAATAACGGACTAACGGTACGACAGTACAAATAGCCATGGAAGCTACTCTTGTTCTTCTGTTTTAGGCTACAATGTTGTATACTATGTGGTATTTCGGCACTGAATGTCATAGAAATTCATACTTTTAAAAGGGCATAATGATACTATCGACTCCTTACATACAGTACAGTACTGATTACTGTTCTTCTCTCTCGTACAGTACATCTTACAAATCAGAAAAATTAGTAAAGTGCGTACTTACGTGATACCGTCGACTGAACTGTTATCACAAAGATTGAATAGAAAATATCATTCATTCTAGCTACTGAGCATTCAATTTATCGTTAGACTAGTCATCGTAAATTATTGCCTCCTTTCAATGATTTACGAACTATCGCCAAAATTATATTTTATTCAACGTTCTTGTTCGTCATTCTTTCCTTGAACGAAGTCAACGTCCAGGAAATACTGTACTAGTACACTGTACAGTATGGTATTGCGTACAGCAAAGTGCTACAGTGCATGCTATCTATAATGAAGGCCCAAGGGAACAATCATTTGTACTGGATTCAACTATCAGAAATAAAAGCGATGCTCGAAAAAAACGAATGTGCAGTATGCTTCAGCGTTTTCCCCCCTTCATGTTTTACTTGTATCTGGTGTTTCGTACATCTTATATTAGAAAAGGATTTTACAAAGTTTAGTAGCTAGTCCAGTACAGTAGTATTAATAATTAATTGATTATTATTTCTGAACTTTTTTGGACTGCAGCGGTAGTACTGTATTGCACAATGCACAGTTGTACTGTACTAGTGTAGCAGAAGTTCCCGATCTGGTACTGTACTGTACTGTACAAGAGCAAAAAAAGTCTTTTTTTAAACTTGACTGTAAAATATCGATCGTGGCCCATACTCTGACAGTACAGTACTGTACGGTATTGTCGTTTAAACCATACCTTACTGTACGACTGTAGTGTACAGTAAGGTACATTACAATAAACTAATAATAATAATAATAATAATAAAAAATTCTTACAAAAATTTTCTCCCTTTTGATGCAGGCAAAAGGGTGAATTTAGCCACTACGGTAGGACTACAATCAGAGAATTTCACACACATAACGAGACTGTACTTAGACATTAAAGTATTTGACGTCAAACTATATTTCCAGTATGTGTGAACTCGAGTTAACTAGAATTTTTTCTTTTATCCATACGAAGTTAACTGTAAATAAATGCCTGAAATATCTTTTAAATTAACAATGGGTATTACCATGGTATTACGTGTACAGTACTGTATGATATCTGTATTTCAGAGTTATCAGTTATCTTGAGGTTTACGAAAGGAGCTGAAGTTCAAAGTACGCATAGACGACGAACCGAACTTTGCCCAAAATACAGTACAGCACAAAGGATCCATTCGATTCTTGATCTAACACACAAAGTTCCTAAAACTTTAGGTCCTACGGCGGATCATATGTAATATATCGCTAGCACGATAGTACTGCTATTGCTGTAGCGCTTTATTATTTATTTATTTTTGATATAGTACAGTCATGGGCCACTTTCACGGCACAATCAACTCCAGTGCAGTATTATTATAACGGAGTTGCAAACGAGTACTGTTTTACGTAGTGTATGTCGCTTGGGGGTACGCCGAATTTCAGCTATGACTTTCACCCTGAGTGTATGGCACGATGTGGATTTCCTAGGACTACTGCTCACATTACTGAACCGTACATCCAGTCGATAGACTCTAGTTAGGGATTAGTTATCAACAGTTTCAAGTAGTTCCCAATACAATACTGCAACCATAAATTAAAATATTTTGTAAACTAAACTTCGGCCTAGCAGATTAAGAAAAGAGAATGGTTAACATTACAGTAGAGTAGGTCTTCATTTTTTCTCTGTTATGGAGTGATATCTATTTACAATAAACTATCGCACACATACTAAATACGTATAGCATCTTCCAAGTTCAGGCATTTAGAGTTACAAGCAATATCTTCGAATTTCATTTTAACCCAAGCTGTTGTTTCTCCATACTTCAACCTAAACTTTAAATCTTTCTTTACAGTGCTCAGCGGATATAGCATCATGATAGCACATACGTACGAGTACAAAGACTGCTCTTTACGTGCTGTATAACTTCTAACTAGTACGGCATAATGCAATTTTTTGGATACTATACGATTGCTATTGAGATCAGCTCAGTCATGATTCAATTCCTTACTGTGATGTACTAAAAGTTAATTACTTTAAGTTAAGTTCAATGATATCCTGTCAGTGAAATCGATATCTCATCATGGTCCATTTTCAGCAGTTTCTAGCCTGCACATCTACACAAGTGCTGTACAGTACTGTACGGTATACGCTGGTATATGTTTATAGAGGATACTGATGCTATCATAAGCATGGATATATTTGTGTCTAAAATCTCACCTTTTCATTTAATAATTCACAAGCCATGTCCAGTAATTTAACGTATTGGATTCCATCCAATACTTTCTTTTGACGGATAAAGCCAAAATGGAACAATACTGTTGTAAGCCCATACTCTTCTTCATTCTTGTTAGCCATTTTTAATTTAGATTAAAAATGACGCTAGCCTGTCCAGCGTTCCCTATCGATTTTAAACGATATACTTTTACTCTCTTCAACGGCGTATTTCTTATAGTTTTTTGAATGTACTGCGTTTAGTAGACAGTTCCAATACTACTTGTTCGAAAAATGATTCATGAATCTGTCCGTTAGCTGCATTAGTTCAATGGTTATTGGATGTACCTATAGTGTAGCGACTACTCTATTGTAAAGTCTGCCGCATACTAATTCGTCTAAAGACCGGTGTGGTTAATGAGTTTCACTTTCTTCTGATGATCAAATACCCAGTCTTGCCTAGTTATCAGTTGACTGTGCGTACTGTACACAGTACAGCACTTCCACCAAGGCTGGAGAGTTCTCTACAGTAGGAAACAGTACACGCTACAGTACACTACAGTAGCTTACAATAATTGATTTAACAGAGCTGTACAGTACTGTATTGCACACTAAACGTTCTTTCTTTCTCTACTGTACACAAAATAAAAGCGAAAGATGTACAGTACTGTACTGTACAGTGTACAGTATACTGTACTGTAGACGGCACATACAGTACCCTACCACTGTAGTACTGTACTCTGAGTATTCTCGACTTGGACTACTAGGATACTCAATACCCCCGCAGCTTCGACTATTTAGTAGTCAACAGTACCGTACTTACTCCCGTAGGCTATAACCAAGTTCTACAGTTACAGCTTGTGTGCTTTCCGAATACGATATACTGTACTGTACTGTACTGTAAAATACATTTCATCGCTATTATATCATATCCCGTGATATGACTAAATAAACCGTCAGCAAAGCGACGGGAGTTTGCACTAGTCTTGTTGAAATACGCACCGATGAGAAGTATTCAATTCATGAATCGCTTCGACTTTAGACTAGTATGCAATAGCGAAACTAGTGAATTGTTTCAAATCAAACTAGAGTACAGTACACTATGTACTGTACTACATTTTAAATTATACACAATAGCTTACCCTTTGTTAGTTTCACTTCTTTCTTCAATTGTACTAACCTATCATTTAATTAACTGGATTTTGTTCCAATTTTCACTTGCATCTTTCCTTTCACTAGAAATACACTGACATTTCTCTAACCTGTCACTTAGTAGCGTACTGTTGTTCTCAAATTTCAGGCAGATCTGGGGTTTCCGCAAAATAATAGTTTGAAATATGGCAGTTTACACAAAAGTACACTGCCATTCTCAGTAACGTTTTAAGCGACTTTTACTTTCAGTACGGTACTGTACACTGTACAGTACAGTACTGTACACAGGAAGAGCATAATAGGGAAATGCCGTAAATAAATACAGTAAATAAATAAATAAATAAATGGAGCACTGTACACTGTACACTGTACAGTACAGTACTGTACATACTCTACACTTGCAGTGTATAGCATCGGAATCAGATGACCCCATTCATAGACATGGTACAGTACGCTGATGACGCGTCACGAAACATCAAGCTCTACTGTACGTACAGTATATAGTATTGTAAATACTGTACAGTATAATAATAGAGCTTATTAAGCAGAACCATACAGTACACAGACGGAATGGTTTTTCTTTCTTGGATATTGTACAACACAACATATGGCACAATAATGACTATTATTTAAACCCGATACCATATAGAAATTTCAAAAATTTTTAGAACTTTAATATCGAACCTAGGAGCGCTATTCTAGTAATAATTGATACTAACGACACGCTATTCCCCACTGGAATTCAAAATACGTACGTACTGTAGGCTTTAGCAGGGACTTTTCGATTTTTAACTTAGCTTTAGTGAAGGAATTGAAGTTGCATACTACCACATTATATATAGTACATCGCAGATTCACCGCAACGATCAAAATGAGAGACCTTATAAGCATACATACAGTATTTTGTTGAGTAAAAATGAAAAGGTTGGTTTGTGATATACGATATAATATACTGTACGTATGTAAAATAGGGTTGGGACTACTTTGAAGTATAGTAGGCAGCTACTATCGATCATTTTTATCGAATATACAGTACTGTACAGTACTGTACATACGTACGTACACGTATAGTGCATCAAACTACTGTACATTTGTTCTTTCAGCCAAGACACCGAGTCAATGCGCTTGTTGTACGGTACAGTAAGCCATTACAATACGTATTTACAATCTATAGTTAACAGATGAAAACAATCATTGTAAAATTATAATTCATTATTCTGAAGCGTAACTGCTATAAATTTATGGAAATCATTACCTTTCAGTAAAGATAGACTCTAGAAGAGTCCAAAATACAAGTTCAATTGTCTCTAGATAATAATATAGTATCAAATGCTCTGTCTAATTTATTAGATTACCGTTACTGTACACGAAGTCACGAACTGCTTGACTTTGGCTTATCGTTGATTTTATTTGATGTGCATAACATTCACAACACAACATCAACTCTTAGTACTGAAGGAATGATCCTTTACTATCTTAAAATGATTGCTCAAAAACCCCAAGCAAAATAAATAGACTCAACTCCAAAACAATTTTCGATAACCTGTATGATTGATGTAATGTGTGAACATTTATAGGCACCAAATGTACATTATTAATAAAGATTTGACACTGATATATTTAGCTGGATTACAAGATCGCTCCTATACCTATAGTAAATCAGTGTGAACCCTGCCTATATTGGCTTCAAGATAAAGTCTTAATCAATTAAAAAGTAGAAATTGTTGCCAGAATCCAATAGTAATAGCTTATTTAACCAAAGCTTAATTGTACTCGTATATTATTCCGCAAATTTCATTCCTTTTCTTCATTTAACTGGTCCGAGCTATAACTGCATTTACGCTGTTCTGATCTTGTAAATAGTTAAGGATAGTTCATAACTTGTATGATGTTAGTTCGGCTCAATGCTATTGCGTAATCCATAGCAGTTTTACCAAAGATATCCTTCGCCTTTTTAAAACGAAAGTAGACAAAAATGATGGTAATAAAGCCAGCGATCACGAGAACCAAAGTACATTCTTAATAGTAAAGAAGTGATTGAATACTAATTTTAGGCTGACCTGTAGATCCACTCCTATCTCCATTAAATATTTAACAACTTCAATTCGGTTACAGCATACAGCCTACAGTTAGAAATCTACACATGAGACTTAATAATAAAAGTAAGTATACTGTTTTCCATTAATGTTAAAAGGATCAGAAGTCAGTCTAATTTCATACAATTTGGCGAGCATGATTCAAATTACAAGCATTAATCCAATCAATCTAAGAAGTGACATACTGTGTGCAAAGGAGTTCTAAAATCAGAACCCTTCAAGTTTAAATCGACTCCAGCTTCTTCCCACAATTTTAGTGACTTGACGTTATTCTCTTCGATAAGGCTATATTCAAACAATAGAATAGATGCAATGAATACAGTAAATATAGTTTCTTCCAAAGGACCATCAATTGTTTGCAGTTAAATTTTATAAAAATACAAAATAATTCTGATATCGATCGAGTAGATCATTATGTATAACTTATACGCCGATAAATTTTAAAATGTGGTGATACAGTAGACAATATTATTAACTCTAACCAATATTACAATTAAATTCTCGTGTATACACTTAATATTTAAGCCGAAACCTACTTATTTAGGTAAAAAGTTATTTCTTCTCCGCCGATATGCAGATGAGCTCCACTAATCTTAAGAATTTTTACAACCTCTGCTTGGCTAAGTTAGATTAGAAAATATTTTAAATTTTAAGCCTCAGCAATATCTTAAACAGTTGTCGAAATTATAAAACGCATACTATGTACGAAATATTGCAATTAACTAAATATATATATATATATGTAAATATCCTTGAATTATACAGCATCACGAGGTAACGTAATAAACCTAATTAAAGTAAAATAAACAAAATTAAATAGAATTTACTGCACCTATTCAATAAAGCATCGATATAAGGCGTTCTGTGTAATCGATCCCTTGAAAATACAGAAGCTCCTTTTTCGAGCAGAAATCTAACAGCTTCGACATGTCCTTCATAAGATGCTAAATGTAGCGGGGTACGCCCATCGTAATCACAACTGTTTACATTAGCACCCTTGATATTAAAATATAATGTACTATGTTATTACGGACATATATTTCGCACCAAAATGATGAACATAGCCTTGATAGCCGAAGCGATATTATCTATATAATTTATATATAGCAGAACTTTATTTAGCCCCGCAATAGTTATAATAAAAGTGTGCAATTGTGTTGTACGCTCATTATTACTGCATGGGTGAACGAGTACCTGTTCTGTTAACGTTTTAAGAGAGGAGACATTACCAACTGCGGCTGCAGAACATAGTAATACCGGAAATAACATTGACTGAATGGTATCGATTTCTTTTATAGATGTTGCTTTCAAAGCTTGTGCGACGCTGTTAATAAATTCACTTTCTTTCCAAGACAGACGCACTGTTAATTCTCCGCGTAAATTCTCTTTGAGCATCTAGTAAAACGCATATCTAAAATTATTTATGAAGTTATTGATATCCTATACTTGTTGTAAAAGCTTTTTGAAAACTTAGAATGTACGCGACGTTTCGTTGCTAGGTCAAGATCATCTCTTCCTAGTAAATAGCTCATTTTTGTTAGTGCAGCCTCAGGTGTCATGTCAGCGCCAGGAATTATTCCAACATTAGTCAAGATCTATCATCGCATGAAAAATTTCAGCTTTTAAGAAATAACCTTCCTTTACGATAGAGTACACCATATACGATTTTCGTCAATACTGTAGTACTTAAGTCACAAATATATGCCATACCTTCCCTACCATGTATGAATCATCGACAAACCCTCTGCAACATTGACTGATATTCAGAATAAGCACACCACGATCGCATGCCTTTCGAAATTCATTGATTATGTTGGGGAATCTACTAGGAGCATTTCCAGATCCATAAGAAAGCAATATAACGCCTTCCATCGGTGGTAATAGAAACGTCCGTATCTACAGCGTAAGGAGAAATGTTTCTTACAGGCATTTAAGGAAGTTTAATTTTCATATTAATTTCTCATATATGGGGCTGTACATGATACAGCTACAGCTTACAGTTTCTGCAGTAATACCAGGAAATAATCTCAGAATACCAACGTTTGAGCTCATACTTGTGTAGATATGGAATTTCTGTAATTTTCCACTACGAAAAATAGAACTCCATTGAACTATAAAAAGAGTTATTAACAATAAAAACTTAAAAGTGACAGCAAAGCATTTTTTGATTCGCAAACAAAGATCGTAGATATGTGTACATATTCAACTTTTAAATTAATATTTTTCTGAATTATAATGTATCTATCTATGTAGCCTACTAGGAAGTTGTAAAGTTATGTCATGCATAATTTCAAAGCTATCAAGCGAATTTTACCTTCTATATCTATTCCCACATTGGCTAAAGGCGCAAAATTTGGTGATTGAAAAGCATTAAATTCGCGGTTATTATCTTTAATAACGCGATTACCACGATATAGTTTATGATCAAAGTATAACGTAACTTCTGGTATAACATAATGACCAGCTATTATCAATGCCCCTAATAAGTTCTCCCTTCCGTCACTTCGCTGCTCGTATATCGGGACTTGGGCTCCAGTTAAAATGATTGATTTTCCTAAATCTTCCAACATAAATGAAAGTGCTGAAGACGTATAAGCCATAGTGTCAGTTCCATGAAGAATAACAAAACCATCAAATATTTCGTAATATTTTCTTATGTCCATTGCGATCTTTGCCCAAACATCCATAGACATATCGGATGAATCCATCAAAGGTTCGTACTCCATAACACAATAAATAACTCGACAACCATAAATTGAGACTCTTAAAAGGGATATAGCATTATGTCAAAAACTCATAAATAGCTAAAATTTACGCGATATTCTAACATTAGGAAAACATTAACACTCAACAGTACTATTACATCCTCCAACTATTAAGTTTTAGATTTATTACGGTTATTTGGCAAGTTTTATATAACGACTTTATAATTCCACCACCAATGTATTTTACATATAAGATTATTCAATAACATTGATATATAATATATTTGGAAAAAAGTATTCAGTTATCTTACGGACAAATGAGAGATTCCAAGTTGTCCGGAGGAGAGAACAACTCTTGATCATAGTTAGGATCGTGTAACATGGGCAAGGACTTTAATGAGTTTGCTAAGTAATTAGGATAAGGTTCATAGCCTAATTGGGTAGACGATAAGATCACATTAAAGCTTTAACTTATTAATTCGCCTAAATTGCTGTCAGTGGTAAATTATTCTAAGCTATACATGAAATTTTAAGCAAAGGCTAAGAGATCTTCTACTGTATATTATATTACAAGCCTCACCAATTAGTACGAAGCTACTAATTAATATATATATAAATATAATTATAAAATCAATGCTAATTTTAAAAAACAATAATAACTCTAAATTCTGATAGTACGAGTATATGAATCGTTTCCGAATGTCACATATTAACTTGCCACGCTTCGAAGTAGATAAGCGTTGTAATTTACGTTAAATTTAGAATCTTCAAGATTTAGCATCAAATACATACATTATAATAGACTTAAACAATTACATCAACAAACCTCTCTCTGTTTTTTTCATACCAATCGTACCGCCGGTATAGAGTATCAAGACTTTTGATTCTGCCTGCTCAGACAGACTTGATGAATTGTGATGCGCATATAATCTACTCATTCTACGATATAAAAATAAGATTTAAAATTTAATTACGTAATTTTCCCTAAAATTAATATGTATAAAATAGGGGTGATGATTAGGTTTCATATAACAGTATATCATACTGTACAGTACATAGGATATCAATACAGTACTGTAGCATTGAAACAGTATACGACATGCGAGTATTCTCAAATAAAATTGCATCTACAACATAAAAATGTACGTTTTTAGTGCTTCCATTTACTACATCAGACTGTAGTTTTATGTGCTCATCTATATTGTGGACCTAAATAAAAATTTCATTCTTCCTAAGATTTTTACTACAGCAGCCAGCAATTGGTTGCTGCTGAAATTGAATATGTCCCTTTAGCCAATTACTAGATTATTTTTCCAAAAGCAGCATGACAGCCAGAGAATATTGATGTCTCTAAACTCAGGGACCTAATGTAGTACTAGATTTTTACGTAAATCAATTGGTAGTGGTAGCTAGCTATCCATACAATGTGAACATTAGATAAAATAACTAGCAGCTAGAGACACGGCACAATGCCACAATTTAATTTGTTCAACTAGCGTAGCCTGAGTATAGTTACAGGTACTATATAATTGTTCAATTATCTTGCGGTATAAATGAATATCTCATTGAGCAAGAGCTCATTTTACGAACATACGATATTAAGAATACAATTATTGTACAATGTACATATCAAAGAAAAGTTTAGTACAGTATCATTCATTTAGCAAGTCAAACTATATTATCAAAATGATATCCGGTATAGTGTACACTGTACAGTGCAGTCTTTCGACGTCACAAAACAATCAGAATGTAAACTACTGTATATTAAATTAGTATCCTATTACAATAATTACTACTGTACTGTATATAATAATAATAATAATAATAATAATAATAATAATAATTATTAATTAATTATTATCAAATAAGTTCTATAATCAAAATATAGTACTGTACACTCAGTGTACAGTACAGTCCAGGTGTGATAAGTTCGAACTTGTGGATAGGAATTTGCCCGTCAGTACGTAAGCCATCCACATTTTTTTAGAATCGTTACTTAAATGACTCCATTAATATTGTAACAAGAGCTGGCTGTTTTAAAATGTACGGTGAGCAGTGTACACTGTACAGTACTTTAGTTATCAGTCATTAGGTGCCATCAAAAACTAAAAAGCCGTATCGGTATACTGTACTGTACACTGTACAGTAGCATCTTTTGTAATCTAATGTAATCTGACAGGAGTGCAGCTTTTAAAATTGTGTGGACTGCTTGTAACCTCTAAATCATGCAAGTCTCCAACTGGAAGCTATGTACTCTTTCTTAATTGTCAACTACACTTGCTTCGTTGCTGTATATAGTTGATCAATCTAAGAGCAAAGTCTGATTAGTTAACTATTTTCACATATCGGAAATATCATAGAACATGTGCTTCAGTGTTCTACCGATGGATCGCATACTATGCATTACAATGTATGAGTAATACAGGATAGAAAAAAAGTAATCGCAATTTAGCGAAATCATTTCGTCAAATTTCATTACTAAAGTTGAAATAAAATAACGTACATACAGTATACAGTACACATTTTATCGTACTGTATGTGTAACAGAGAGACCTGTGCACAGTGTGCAGCTGGATTCCAACCGTATCCACATAGTACAGCATACGCATACACTTATACAGTATAACAATAGCTTGTGCAGTAATGCATTAAATAACCTACCTGTTATTTTTATATTTTCAAGAACGGCCTATTCGTATAATTGATTAGTGAATGAATCGTTGCTTGTTAGTATCAACTATTATGTATTAATTAATGTTAAATTAAGCTGAAACGCTATCCAAGGTTTTCCTCTTAGAGAAGTCCCTTTCGATATCAGTGTTGGGAACTTGGTCAACGATATATTACGGCAGCGTGCCTCTGTCGTTTGAGCCTTTTACGTCCCTGCCCAAGTACAGTACAGTACGTACAGTAGAGTGTACAAAATTCTGACGATTTATTTTTTTTTTGTCCACCGCCCATCCCCCCAAAAACAAATATGTGACACTGTACTGGACGTATTTTGTTCGTCTAGTCTAATATACAGTACTGCAGTAGAGACCCTTAGTTCGAGTCTCTACTGTACTGTACTATGTACATGTGTCTGTACTGTACACGTAGGCATCACGGAGTCCGTCACGGACTACAGACATGGTAGTTTACTGTACAGTATACAGTACAGTACCGCGGTCCGTGGAGTGGGCCTTGTCAGTCACCGAACCTACAGTACAGTACAGTACTGTACACTGTACAAAAAACTTTGGAAGGCTATTGAGTCCTGTACAGTAGTCAGTGTACAGTACTGTACAGTACAGTACCTTACAGTACTCTGTACGATATCCAAAAGAAATTACACTGTACAGTGTACAGTGTACACTGTATGGTCTACTGTACTGTACAGTACAGTACCGTACAGTAGTGCTTGTCTGGCTTTACGGTACTGAACTGTACAGTACTGTACTGTACTGTACAGTACTGTATGAAGCTACTACAGTATCTTCTGTACAATACAGTGTACTGTAGCCCAGGATTTCGTAAAGAATGTAGTGGCAATAGTTCCATTCCAGGCCTCTGGACATCGGGACATCTCCACTGTTTAACGGTATCTATGCAACCATCCATGCATAGGCATATACAAACACGATACTACTTTTTACATGGCAAGTCGAGTACAGTGGCACACTCGTACATATTAGAAGTATGTATAGTACTATACAGTACGTTTCTCCCATTTGCTTTGCCATAGTTGCGGCCTATTTTATAGTGTTATGACTAGTTAGTGATATTCATATAGAAAAATTGATGCTTCAATATATCACTACATCATAACATTATTATAATTATTAGCACTGCCAATCTTGTATACAAGTACGCTTGTTATATACGTAAATATATCAAAGTTCACATTCAGACCTCAAGCAATATCACGTAAATTCAGTATAAAAAAGTCCATTTATGGTTTGTTCTCTTGAACATTCTAGGAATTAAATCATTCAGTTCAGCTGCAGTAACTCCTGTAGAGATTTGGCAGTCAGGGATAGAACGCAACTAGATGAAGTAGTCAGATCGATACGAATTGGTAAAGTATCAGCCAGTAATTGCAAACTGAAAAGTGTACTCAATTAATGCTAACTACTACTCCTTAGATACATGACCATATAATCAAGGATTATCAATTAAGTAGAACTTCAGGGTTAAAATACTGATAATTTATTCAAACCTATAAATAACTGTCGTAGTGCGGTACTGGTTTTACGATATAGCTATAAACGGAAAGGGAATCAAGAATGAGCAAGACTACCCCAAAGGCGAAAGAAGGAAAGGTAAGTCGATAACATTGTTGTAATATCGGGTACAAGTACATTTCATGCAATACTGTCCGACATACAAGAATAGCCTTTTTAAAAAACTTTTAAATATCAAAGATTTCACAAAGAATCTTAATTTTTGTTCACTTTATGAAATAAGAAATTAAATGTTTAAATTTTCATAACAGAAAGAAAGCATATTAACGGAAAACGTTCGATGGACTTGGAAAGATGGAAATTTGGAAAGTGTCAGGTAGTCAATTCGTGACCTTAAGCCGGTCGTACAACTATACTTGTGCAAGAAAAATCTAGCTTATTGTTATTAAGAAATAATCATCTCATTAAAGTACTAGCAAAATTAAAATAAGGTATTATTCAGAATTTCGACTATGTAGCTTAAAGCTACACGTAAATCTATACTTTATTGCAGTCTTAACCCTAGTGTTGATAAGAATCAACAAAATATTGGACATCGTGTCAAGAAGAACAAACAGGGCGCAGCAATAAGTTATGTAACTAATGGAAAAAAGAAACAAAAGTATGGTTGAAATTCTTATTTTATTTAAAGCATAGTAATAAGCTCTTGCAACATCAAATATTTATCGATAACGGCATGTATTAGCTCTGATCTACTTCTACCACTTTGAATTGTCACAGTTTTAATTTAGTAGCCAACTCACAAACAGCAAAACAACTCCATAAAATCGATAAAGTGAAGTACACGTTTCAAAATGCAAGTACATCACCTCGACCAAGACGAGCAAATGACACTAGTAAAGGCACCGTCGTCACTTTAGCAGATGTTAAGAGTAAGCACTGAATTCACAATTAAATGATTGCGAGAAATTTTATCGTATTATCGCAATTTTAAAATACACACCAGTTATATTTATCGAAATATAATTTTATAATATAAAATATGAAGGAGCCGCTCTTGATGCAGTATTAGATGAAACAGGAGCAGTTAATGAGACGTTTCAGAGATGTATCGAGTAAGTGAAACTACTAATTTCTTTTCGCCAAATATTATTATATGTACGTTTCAACCAGTGATCTAAGACATTATTTCTACTATATTGTCGTACCAATGCAGTACTCTGCAACTTGATACCTTCCTTATGGCAGTATTACATTATTTTGCCGCCTTCATCGAAAAAACTGAGGAAGATCGAAAGCCAACCATTATGGAAAAGTATGCCACACATCATAAATAAATATCCTACCTCAGTATATTGTTGTAATAAATTGTTATTAGAAATCGCTATTATAATATTAGACAGCTGAAATAACTTATCACTATAGTCCATATTTAATAAAAATTATTGATACTATTACTCTGACATTAAATGTAGCCCATGGCAAAGAGAAGCAAATTTAAGGAATACATGTAGCACGCTAAGGAAATTAAAATTCGCATCCAAAAAACTCGGTCAAGCATATTGTGTACTAGTTATGGGCCTAGGCTTAGAAGAACAACATCATATGCAGGGTGGAAAGTAAGCAGTGATTACACTGCATGATTAGATACTAGTTTATTATTAGTAACTGGCGTGATTTATTAAAGTATATACAATTTTAAAATACCTTTTTATAGATCTCGTGTTTCGGCCATCTTTACCGATCGCGATGCCTTCGAAGTATGCATATAACCTAGCAATCCCATGATTTTCATGCTTTATTTATTAGACAGCATGAATAATCTATCAGTAATATTTATCAAATATAAATCTTCACTTTATCAAATTATACATAGAATTTGTACGCATTTTCGACATGTGTTGTGAATATCGCCTTTAGAAGACAATATTTTAATGAAGTTACCAAAGAAATGGGACGGTAAGCCTATATTGCGAACAGTAGTTACACACAACAATAACATTTTGTGGCCACTATAACTTACATAAACAAAAGTATAGAAGAAAACTCAGTTTTACATTTAAGATCAGCTCAGGATAAGATAGTTAATTTAGCTTTTAGCTAATAAAGCTGACGAACAGTTGGTTAAATGAGTAGCATCCTGCTAGCAAGTTTAAGGTTAACTAGTTCGAGAAATATCTTCATAACTCATCAACATTATAGAAGGAATACCAGTTGTTAGCTAGACAAGAAAGCTAATATACTAAACATACAGAGTAATACAGCTTCATATCTTATTGTAGAATTTCATTTAACCACTAATTTACGAGAGTAAAGGATATGAAATTAACAAGCAGTAACAAAATCTACTAGTATACAAGTACTTATTTTACGCTCCTCTAAATTTTTCCATTCATCACACTAAAGGAGACTTATTAATTTATATTTTTTAGGTTGTTTAGATCGGAGATGTATAATATAGCATTGCATAAAGAAGATGATGGTAATTACTATTTCATATGTTTTTTTTTGGTATTAACTTATCATAAAAGCTTATAATGTTAACGTACAATTCTGCAATAGCTATATCCACAATAAAATGTGAGAATTCTGTAGAAATGAAAGCGATAAGATTATTTTAATTTACTGTACTTTTTATTAATCTTAGTGGGTGATGACAGAGATCCACACGAATCTGAAATTAAAAGATATGTTGATGTTAAGGTGAAGGAATTACGCGCTAAAAAAAAAGAATTTGCTGGCGGTTACATGCGCCAAACTGTGTAAGTAAATTTTTGAATCTAATCATAAAACTTAAGATGGCAGATAAACTGTTAAAACGTGATGACATAAATCATTATATCAACAAATTACCGGTAACAAATTCAAGAAATTCGAAAGTGGGTCATAAAAAGAGCAAGCCTAGCGCTATAACGAAATCTCAAACGTAAGTATTTCTTGATTTCCTCACTGCATGCACAAAAATAGCTGTATTAAATTTCTTTAAATTAAGTATAGCAATTCAATTAACCTAGAAGGGTTTAATCCAGCGATGGTACGAACTTTAATAGTCTGACCATTATATGTTAGTATAATAATATCGTGATAATTTATTCGAATAATATTTAATACCAACAGCAAAGATGCGATTGATGCATTGGTTGTAGCCGTTCAAGACTTTAATCTCACCAATATCGACGAAAATAAAGAAGGTAGAAAAATTGATCGCGATGACCAAGACGATAATAGTAAAAGTAAAACAAAAGATTCTATAGAAGAAAAAAGGAATTCAATAACTCCTAAACCTCGTCCTGTCAGGCATTTACCGTAAGCTTTCAATATCTTAATGATATTCAAAATAATTGTTTTAAATAATTGCATATTGTTTAGATAATTTAACGAAAGTTATAAATGGATAAATTAAGTTTTGTAAAATTCTTTCAACACTTGCTTACATGTTGTTAAGTTTTATATAATTTAAACGTTTAACTTGTCTTCGAATACAACAGCAAGAGACCACCAATTAACTCTCTAATCAAGTAAGTTGAATTTTCTAGGCTATTCAATAGTTGATATTTTACTTTATTAAAACGTATCTGGTGTAACAGGTATATTATAGTTATCATAACTAATTTTAACATTAAAAATTTTACGCTCCTATAACAAAATCACCAAGCGCTCGATCACCTGCTGTTGTTGCCCTATTGCCTTCCACTTCGGAGCAATCTCCCCACTTGATGAGTCGTGCAAAACCTTATAAATTAGAGTACATAAATTTATGATAATTTATTATATTCTATGTTATTTGGAATTAAGATTAACTTATCATATCTCAAACAATAGGGACTTTAAGGTAACATCAAACAATCTTGGCACAGAAGAAGACGTTAGTGCAGATGAATTAGCACAACTGGAAAGCAACAAGTAATAGAACTGCGTTATTTTATTTAGTTTAAACTATTGAATTATGAAAGCGACTTTAGTATCTCACACGTAATGAATTAATCATTCGAATCTTAATCATGTGCGTGTAATAGCGTTGGCATTATTGGAGAACCGATTGAAAAATTTAACAAAACAAATTTAATGCCGTTCGTTGATGATGGAGACGATTCTGAAGGACAGCAATCACATCATGGGTAAATAAAATCACTGATAACATAAATTTTCAACAATTAATATTCTTAAAATAAGAAATCGCTTACTAATCCTAATTTAAATATGAATATTATAATATAAAATCCAGAACTTCTTATCAAAATGGCAAGAACACTCAAGATAATGCTTCCGATTCTAAATTATCTTCCGGTCAGTTAACGCCTAATAACGAGTTAAAAAATAATGATGTTAGCAATAATGACGATGACGAACAAAGAGAAGAATTAAAAACTTAACCGTACAAGCTTCTCTTAATCTGTCATAAGTGATATATATCCTTCAATCAAATCATACTAAAGCAATCAAAAAATTTTTATTGCATTAAGTAACACTTAGCGTCTTGTACAATATAAAATTTTTATCGTACTTGTAATTGCATTGAGGGAGATATTTTCTAAGTTGTCAAAAGGATCAACTTTACTCTGTGACTCATCAATGATGTAAATAAATATTTAGGCTAATTCTGCACAGCTTTATAAAGAACTATGAACGAAGGAATTATATTTTGATCCAATTAATAATTTAAATGTGCCAATTTTTAATTATAATTATCAATTACCGGCACCATTTAAGTAAATTTTATATAATTTAAGCATACTAAGCCATAAAACTATAATATAATTAAAATCTCATACATCGCAATCGTTACGATTTGATAAAGCTCTAATGTACTGTATGTACAAGTATGTATAACTTTTGTTAGATACAATATTCAAGAAAAGCTTCTTCGAATTTCCATATATTACCAACATATTGTAATAATTATGCATAATGCAAATAAAAACCACAAAGCTAGGTTACAAGAGAGTAATTGTTACTTTTTTCGGGTATTATTAGCCTCTTAAATTTAGTGTAATGTAGTTTTAGGGGCCATTTAGCGACGTTAAAGAAGCCTAAACTAGTAATTATTGCATGTTTACTTATTTAAAGCCCACATAATAATGATAAAAATATTCTAGAATAAATCACTAATTAGGAGTGCCGTTACGATGTGAACACCTGCACCAAAAATAACAGATTAGATTGAAAAATCTAACGTATGATAGCGTGAAGCTCTAGTATATTTCATACAAAACCATCACATCAACGAAGCTGTGCAAAAGATGAACGGTCCCATATCTCGAATATTCTATTGCAGGCTTTGGATAATTCGTCTTAGGACTTAAGCGTGTAATTTTCAGATTTTAAAGCTGGATCATTGAGTGACTACCGGTAATTACAGAGTTAATTACTGATTCTTATTTAACCATTTCGAGACATTACCTACAATTACAGACATCCCACATTTTATTATTTGGGCTGTCATGAATTTTATTGTGTACTCCATAGAGATAAAATTATACGTGGTATACCGGTAAGGCTAAATCAAAATAGATCAAATATCTGTTTTAAATTCTAAAGAGCAAAATTCGTACCATTACAGACTATACTAACTTATAAAATTCTGAAGTCAATGGCAAATTTTATTCATGATCTAGGATAGTCTATGGTGCATTATAACGTACTACTCATGGAGGCATCATATAAAATACACCTTTACGGTATATTGCCAAGCAAATAAGGACATAAACAATTAGATTATGTAATTAAAATTTGCTATGAGAAAGCTAAAAACGACAACATCATTATATGCATTTATACGTGTCTACATATAAAAGTAGTTCTAATAAAAAAATTGCATGTTTACGAGAATCAAAATTTCTAAATCACCTACACCAAAAGGGCAATTAAGAGAATTAAAATGCTGAAGTATATTTCATATTTACCAAAGCAGGGTGTATCTGATTTGAGAGTTTATAAAGTGTGCTATCTAATAAGACAGTATGAATTCCGTTTTACGAAAACAATTTCACAATGTCACCAAAAGACCATTGCAATTACTATAATTCTCAATATGAACTGATAATTCAGCACTGACAATAGTTGATACATCAAATATATAATCATCCGGGATTTTATACGCATGGGTAGATGATTTTCTCTTTGCTTCAGGAACATTTACAAGCTCGTTAACATGCTTTGGTACAAAGTACTATAAACACAGGTTACGACGATGCTAAACGGTACTTAATGGGGGTATCCAAACGATTCCCCCCTTCCAGAAGGTTATACAATTAATTAAAAAGGCTCATGAAACGGATATAAAGGACAATCTTTAGAACCTTTGGACATTAATTTTCCATCAACCTGTAAAAAGCATGTTAAATACGTGCATAAGTACATATTATTCTAAAATGTAGTAGGGACTTCATCATTTTACATGAAAAAATTTTTGTCGAAGACAAAAAGGGTTATTATAATTAACTAACTTGTGCATTACTGTACTTAAGATATACCTCGATCAGTGGAAGAGTCCAACTACACCAACAAAGTCTGCCTTTATTTTCATCCTTACTTAATTTATTTAAATTCTCAAAATCTTGTGATTGTAGTTGAAAATCGAATATCTGAAACGTAAAACGCAATATGCCAACGTTAGTAGGAAATAAGCAAACAGTTTGGGCATTAGATTATAAAAATTAAGGTCCTTTCAACTAAGCATAGCAGATTTGTAATACTAACGCGACAGAACTGATAGCCCACATATTCAAATATAGTATAAACCGACATAACCGTACTCATAAAGCTAAGAATTAAAATTCATGTAACGCATAGTCCACTATTACATTATCATTGCAATTAACAATAAATAATTCTAATCAATAGGACTGTAGGATTCAAAAGTAGGATAGGCGATAAATACCTGCAAATTATCCGTTATTCTGGAAGGGGTTACACTTTTAGGTATTGCAACTACCCCGCGTTGTGCTTGGTATTTGAGTAAAATTTGTGCTGGTGATTTCTTATATTTATTAGCTAATTCTTTCACAATGGGATCATCTAAGACGCCTACTTCATTAGGCTTGGCCCATGGTCTATCACTAGACCCAAGAGGCGCATAAGCTGTCATCACAATATCTCTCTGCTGGCAATATTCCAATAACTTTTGTTGGTTATGATAAACATGGGATTCGACTTGATTGACAACAGGTGCAATAGTGCAATTATCTAAAATATCGCTTAACTGCTTACTATTGAAATTAGATACGCCAATAGCTTTTACTAGTCCAGCTTGAACTAATTCTTCCATACCTTGCCAAGTCTCAAGGTAATGGATATCTGCATACTGCACGCTACCATCATCATTACGTGGTACAGTAACACCGGACTCAGGCTTGCGAAAAGCCGAAGGAAAGTGGATCAAGTATAAATCCAGATAGTCCAATTGTAAATCCGATAAGGTTTTTTCTACAGCTGGTCTTACATCAGATTTAGCATGCATAGTATTCCATAATTTACTTGTTATAAATAAGTCCTGCCTATCAACAACACCAAGGTTCATTTTTTCCTTCAAAGCGTTGCCAATTTCCACTTCGTTACCATATACAGGAGCGCAGTCGAAGTGCTTGTAACCTACATCAATAGCAGTTTTGACAGCATTAGCAGTTTTATTCTGACTAGACTTCCAAGTACCTAGGCCAATCAATGGCATGTAGGCTCCATTTTTTAATTTTATGGTAGGTGATAACATCATTTCTGGCCAACGTCGTATAAAAAATTCAAAGTTACTATCAGTTATTATTATTCTGTCTTCTCACTCTACTGATGATTGCACTTGTTGAGGTATGTCAAAGTAAAGTAAAAAGACCTTATTAAAAGTGGGTTTTACTTCGGGTGAGAAAATTCTGAGTTTAGCGTTCAGTGTGATACCGTACCGTCTGTACGTACTGTACATCGGTATACTGGATGTACACTATTGTATACTCAAATACTGAGAGGTTTTACGGAACAAGCTTCATACAGACAGAAAGGAGTGGACAAGAAACTCTACTCGGACGCTCGGACATTCGGCCTCATGCAGTATAATCTACTGCTCCAACCATAGAACACTTTTATTCGACTTACTAGCCAGTGTAAGCCCTGCTTAGCCGGGCATTTCTGCACAAAACGTATGAATTTATTACTCGGCAGAAAAATATCTAGATATATGACAGTTATATATATATATACAACCCACCTAGCTAAGCATTATCGCCCAAATTTTAAAGTAGCTTCACTCTCCGTTTGGCCGTGATTAAGCGGTTGCTCAATTCTAGACGTGGTAATCTTACGCTAAAGATGTCCTAAAATAATTCTACGCGAAAGGCATACAAGTAATCACCCTATAGCTAGGGCATAGTATTCCTATAGTAAAGACATACAGTAATAATCTTACAGTAAATGTATGCTAATGCTATAGTAAAGATATAGGAACCCTATAGGAACCCTATAGCAAAGATGCTATTGAAGCCTTACTTTGAACTCGATGTAAAAATATTAGCCTAATAAACAAGCTTTTGTTGACTTAGGTTATGATTTGATCTACTTTTATTATAAATCAAATTGTAAATCGATATTAGCAAATATACGCTTACATTGTACACGTACAATCACTTTAATGAGAGGAAGGTACTATTGATAAAGTTATTGCCGTTGCGATGTTGGATAACAGTCATCATGACTAATGCTCTTTTTGTGTATCAAATTTATTTCTAGATGGTTGACTATTCTTTACCGGAAGTCGAGACAAAATTTGAACGGTATTAAAATTTAACAGCTTCTCTTCTTGATACTTAACGTATCGTACATACGCGTATCATCTAGAGCTATATTGTACGACACGCGGGCACTTAATTTTATTCGTGGGTAATGCTAAGTTAGCTTTATTGGATGTTATCTTATTACATATCGAATGTACACGTACAAATTATACGAAAAGAGTCCAGATACTGACCGTGAGCAGAATATGATACTGTAGTGCTATAATAGTATGATCTAATTAATATATATGATAATAATGGCTGTGTGGTACAGTATTTACAGTTAAACAATTAATCTTTGCTATTATAATGTTGTTTTATGTAATTGAAAGTCATGTAAAAATTTAATTATGATTTAATGCAAACAGAGAATCGGGCATATAATGAAATTTTGGAGATTTACTAATGTCATTCGAGCTTCGATAATAATCGAATTAAGTATAAAATATAAATAATATGTGGTCGGTAGTAAATATAGGATATAACAATATGCGCATCAGCTAGCCCGCTAATCGAGTTTATCCTTAGAGCCTGAAATATCGTCCTCTTGTAAAGCTATGCGACGCGTATATTGCTATGCGTATTTTAAGTAGTTAATTAATGAACGTTTATATGAAAAGGTTGAAGTACTGTCACCATCTCCTCCGCGGAAGTCTGTAGGATATGCGCGTATATGTGTTTTATCTCCATTAGGGATTCGTAAATTATATTGTGTATGCCATAAAGGCGAAAGAGACACATTATACCTTCGTATTAAAGTAGGATAAGGTAGAAATATTTTATAGTACCTATAGAAATATACGGAGCGTATCTGTATTAGTTGTACGACAAACTGTTTGGACATAGTTAAAAGTTTTTGTATGATTATGGTAAGTTAAGCTAGGCTGTAAGTATGAAGACTGTACGCACAAATCATACTTTTGATATTCAATCTCCTCATTCAAACTCTACCATCTATCTACAATTAATTAAATGTATGACCCTATCGCTATTTATAAGCAGAAATCTTTTAAAATAGCAATCTAGAAATTTAAGGACGCATTGGCGTCATTCCATATTTAAGGCATCGTAACTTCCTTATACCTCGTAAACTTCTTTTAAAAATATCTAGATAAAACTGTCTCCATGCACAGCTAACACCATTACCATAAATATTATGTCGTAATCAATAATTTATTTACACATTTGCGTCAAAACATTGTAATTAAACATAATCAATTCTACTGATATTAAAAGCGAACTGCAGTATACTGTATATACAGTAAAGTACAGGGTAAGCGCCACCTCTTTTAGAAGAAACAGTCTAAAAATTTTAAGGGGACGCTTACCCGGTAATACTATTTTATCAATATTTACCCTTATCTATAGTTACGCAAATAATAATGCTTTGGCATCACTGATTCGTATATCTGTAGGCATTTATTGATAATCGTAACGTTCAATATTACTAAAGAAAATATCACAAAAACTATTATTTTGATACTGTACTCTTTCAATTAGCCAATATCAATAATATAATTATAACAGAAGTAAGAATAAAAAACGCAGATGAATTGTGATATTTAAATTAATGCAATAAACAATTTTATTCATGTTTCTATTGTTACATAGCGAATAATAATGAGTTCGCAATTAATCAGATACTATTGTCATCTACTTAGTAACAGTTGAGATCGATCCAAATTTATTTTGCGTAAACGGTAAGTATACTTGTTGACAACTATATACAATACGATATAGAGCCTACACAGTACATTTTATCCGTACCGAATTTTCTTTATCAAGGTAAGCAAGATTAAATGATCATTAAAAAAGTGTAAATCGTACAAAAATTATTTATACATCCATACTATAAAACTGCAATTAGAACTATATGCTACTGAATGACTACATCTTTTATTAACCATGATAAGTTTGCCATAAATTATCATTCAATAAATCCATTTTAATATATCACTCAAATCAATATAGTTAAGGAACCGTAATGGCAGTAAGCTGGTTTTGTTTCAGCGCTATTTTAAATAATTTTATTAGACACCAGAAAACGTTACCTAACACTATTGCCCCTGATGAAATTGAGATTATCTAACGGCTTATACTATGCTGACGGAGATATACAAAACTATGCATGTGCTTTGTATGCTGTATCGTCAAAGCTACATATGGTAGATGTGTTATCACGCTCTGCAAAATGCCAGTTATTCTAATAGGTAATTTATATTAATTATATGATTACATTAAGTAGATAACGTTCGTTCCTTAAATATATCAGTTTAATTTAAATACAAGAATTAAAATCTTCAGTGTGATTATATTGTATATCATAGAACCATTAAATAGTCGGTGCTTCTCTCTCAATATAACAAGTTCAAATTATTATTTATGAAACATGCTTTCTAGAGAATAACGCTAATGACAACAGTGTCGTTTACCTATATGAACTACTGCATGATTGGCACCACAGTTCATCATACGAGTATGTTATAAATGATATCTATATAAATTTTCCTATCTATCGATCTTAATGAGTTATCACTTGTATCTATCATAATAAGTGTCTACATTTATTGCACCAGTGAAGCTTGTTAGGACCTACATTACCCAACTTGATATTTTAAAATAGTACTGGAGCGGGTTCGCACACGCGTATTTAATAGAGAACCTCTGTTTGGTCATTCCAGGAATCAACAAACTTTACTGTATTAACCTATGATCTCCTTTCAAAACACACCACAATCAAGCATAGTATTTTGAAATTAGCATTTCAAATTGAATATTTTGACGTTATGGCTAGTATTAAAATTTTGAAGAAAGTTCAGGCATAGATTTATTATACGCATACGCTCCGTTGAAGATGTATATCTATATTTTACAAAGCTAGCGCTTTATCGATGTCACAATCACCCTGTAATTAACTGTAAGTTACTAAACTTAAAAGTTTAGATCGATACTACCGCACAGTATAGCTAGTCTGCAACAGATTAGGCAATTCCTACAACAGGAGTAGTTTTAAATTGTTTTTATTGAAAGTTAGGTTTTGACATCTAAGACTAGCTCAGCACCGAGTACAGTCAATTAAACAGCAACTGCAGCTACTGATATACTCTCGCTCGGTCATCGCTAGTGTATGTGCATACATACGAATAGCGTCCAAGCGCTATAGTGAGCTATACAGTAGTATACTCATACTACACTATCATAGCACCCGATGCTATACTATATATTAATTAACAAACTATATTGATTGTGTTTGTTTGCCTGCTTGTGAGGCAAACAATATTAGCAATTAATAAAGTTAAATTAATATGAAGCGTTAATTGCTTCGTAGGAGCTATTAGCTCCGTAAGATAACACAAAAAAGTGAATCAAATCATTGATGCTATACTAGAGTCTAGTAATTTAAAGGCACAAAATGTATCCATTTATATTCATTCTCCGCCCCTATCCCACTTCTCTTCCTTTATTATTATTATTATTATTTATGATTACTCTAATTATAATTAATTATAATATTGTTTCTCATATCTGTCAATTAAGATAATGGGGTGCTCATCATCTAAGCAAACAACAGTTACGAACGATGTGAATAAGCCACAACCACTACAAAATCAGGATCAAACTAACACTAAAATGGCTCCTACTGCTCAGGATTTGCAAACGATAAGGGAAACTTGGGCTTTAGTAGCTCCAGACTTGAAAAAACATGGTACAGTTTTATTCTTGAGGTACGTACAAGTATAGTATTTTAATATTTCAGATTTTTACGTAAATTACGAAAGCACAGCACATTGGCGTTCTCCTAGTCAAATTGATGATTATGCATCATAACCAGCTCATGACGATTTCAACTACAGTGATTTTCAACAAATCTTCTGTCGTTTCCGGAAATATTATACACAATTTCTTAATATTTATAACAGAAATACATCAAGATAACTATAATAGTGCCTGATTTAACCGTGCACTACGAATATATTCTATTATCAGTATACTTGCATGCAGTCCTCTGGTATAGTAGTTGTATATACCTCTAGTAAATTAACTTAATTGAACTATGACTTTACGATGATATATTTCAGTTTATATCATAGTGGTCAAGTTATCTAATGACATGAGCTCTTTATAAGCCTGGCAGTTATTTATGTAGCAGTATTCAAGGTATAAATTGCGATTACTTTAGGTCTAAGCCCTGATTTCTTGCCGTCTTATTTCATTGTTTGATCTCTATGCCAATCAGTAGACGGTGGATAAAATCTCAACACTCAAGAATAGTATAAATGTAATTTATGATATTTTTATAGCCTCCTGTAAGGGTTTTTACCTTGTGGCGTCACACGTATGACTAGAAAATTACCCATATCTTGAAAATAATCTATGGAAAAGTATTTGTTGATAATACAACGCTAACATTATATGAATATTTTAACTTACTAGTGCACATTTTAAGACTTATGCCTACACTGTACTGTATACTAAGGCCCTCACTTTATAGTATGCTGTATACCGTATATTACTGTGAGTGTACACCTTTTTTAGCAATACCTAATTTAGGTTACTATTAATAAGGCTGCTCAGTTGCTGCAAATTCGAATCGGACCGTAGGATAGCTAGCTGTAATTAGATATCTCTACACTATCTAGTAATTTAATCAATGAAGATAAGCCATTCCTGATACTATACCATATTGACTAGATAAATGTTTAGTACTTTGTAATCAAAATGATTGAACTGTATGATATGGAATAAGCGGCCAGAAAACAATAGAAAAAAATATTAATTGCTCTATCAAATATTTAAATTCCTTCTTAATTGTTATCCGCTGTATGCATTTTCTTATATTAATGAATCGTAAAACTGAACTTGCCGTATCCAATCTTATAAAACCATCTTTTGAACGAGTTCGGATAGATCAATTGATTAATTTCATAAAATGTGGTACTGTACGATACAAGCACTTCCCTAAAATCATAGGAATGTTTATTAACCATTAATAAACCCCTACAAATACTTTTCTAGCTTTTGTACGGGATTACAAATTAACATAGTACGCTAAATTCACAGTAAACTATAAATGTCAGGTGATTAAGCTGTTTTAACCCAAACTTACAAATCTAACCTTACATTACTGCACAATTACTACTGTTGATTTAAAGGTAAAGCTATTTTGAAAGTTATAAAACCATTCAAAAATTATATAGATGTATAGCATAGACACATTAGGCAGATAGATATTAATTTCAGAACTATTTTCATCTTCACTCAAATTATATATATTGCATATATATAGTTCAGGAGATACATAAATGTAACAAATGAAATAGTACCGTAGCTTCAAAGAGTAAGAGTCTGAAGATGGTAACTGTAACATCTACTTACAGAAATTTTTGTAAATTTTTAAGTATGATGATGATTTAAAAGCTATACAATGTGTATAATAAGATTGCACATTGATAAACGGCCAGCCTTAGTGCTAATGTCCTTTGTCCAGTTGTTGCTTAGATAATAAGATTTAGACAGAATCTAAAGAATAGCCGTAACACATATACTGTATATGAATCTGATATTACAGGTGTATTCTAATTAATGATTATATATAATTAGTCGTATGATTATCACGTTTCCAACCTTTCGCTCTATGTAAGGTCTTTAATTGAGGCTAATGCAATATTTGCTGCTATTAATTTAATTTTATACATAGTAGGCTGTACTTAGGTGTTAACATTTGTAATAATATCTTCTTTAAGTAGCGTAAAGTATTTTAAGGTAGACGATGATAGAAGGTATAAAGGATTTTATTGAGATACAAGTTATAGGCTAACAATGATATGGTTGTTATAGATAAGGTATTTGAGATAGCAGGAACGTAGGAACTAACTAACGAGTTAGCTTACAAGGGTATTTATAGGCTTTAGATGAGATTGAGATAATGTCTTTATATGTATAGCATGTCGTCTATATGTCGCCATGATGCCGTACATTATGAATGTAATGCAATACAGTACTTAAATGGTATATGATAAGTATTCGTATATTAGGATATTACTATACTAGACATCTTCTATATAAGATCATAATGTTACAACATTCACCATCCAGTTTACAAATCATGATATTCTGCTCCTGAAAATGTTTCGTAGCTTGCTCAACTTCTTCACCTAGATTACAGTACTTCTCTCTCAATAGTTATTATTTGAACAATAATTACGCTACGTAAAGTTAGATAGCTTTGTGAATTTTATTATGGCTGTTTTAGCTGTACTATAGAATATGTCACATCCTGAGCTCTACTCTGTTAACCCGGTTGCTATTTCCGCCTCACCTGGGCCCTAACGAGAAATGTTTAACAGTATTTCATCGTATTTATATCATTATTAGTATAGTATCACTCAAATATTATCTTTATCTCCAAATCGAAAAGTTACACGATTAGGTAATAAAACTAGATGAGGGTAAAATTTAAGCGAGCAATATTGTACACTATCGTTTCTTTAATAAAGTACGTAATAATTATCCAATAATCAAAACAAATTCTTACCAATAACTATGCTACGCAGTTTACAGATAGAATTCAATATAGCTACATATGGTATAATAAATTACGACCATCACTTGCCCTATTTACATGTTATGTACGATAAGGCCATCATCTAATAATATCTGTTTTTCTTGGTATCGTCACTAGGCTTTTTGAACAACATCCCGATGTTCAACGTTTATTTGAAAAGATAAAAGACGTACCTCATGACCAACTAGCAACCAATGAAAATTTTGTATTTCATACAACACGCGTTATGGAAACTATTGATCACGCAGTTAAGGGTATCGATAATCTTCCAGCTTTGACAGTATTACTGAAGCAGTTAGGATCATCTCATGCTCAATACAACGTGAAGAAAGAATACTTTAAGGTAATCATAATATGTAGTAATTTCTATCTAATATAGGAAACGTAAATTACTGTTCTAGACTTAAAAATTTGGTTATATAGATTGGATTGAGAATTTCAGAATTTTAGATATGCGTTTTGTATTGATCATCTAGTATTAGTATATATACAACAGAATAAATGGAATAATTTTATGTTATCGTTTGACGAAAGGCGGTATTCTCAGAATATAGTAGAGCCTACTGTTATGTATGTAGCATTAATACAATTGTGAAGTCGTTACCATCGAGCTTACGAGCCCGAATGTATCGGTCTTCACTACGGTAGGTGCCGCTGTAGATCACATGAATACTTTATTTAAAGGTGAAGGAGGAATAACAGGTTCCTACAAATTTATACATCTCCGGTTATAACTTATAAGCATTCGCGAGAATTAACAACTAAATCTCACCTACTTTACAATACTGAAGATGCATATACATTTTATACAGTACAGTATATAACGCAAATGCAGGGGCTTCTAAGAAAATCCGAAACGTGCAAAGTTCCTTCAGTACAAGAAATATATCTATGGATAAGATAGTAACCTAATACCGTATCTACATTACACTACATACAAATAAGGGAATGGGAGTATTATAGAAAATGCTGTAGCGATTACGATACTACAAAAACATTTTGCGCGAGTGAAAAAGAAGTAGCCATGAATTAACTGATAGCTGACAAGTATCGGGTACTTTATTGTATGAACGCATATTTAGTTTAACAAATACTTAAGGTAAATATCATCATGACGGTAAGATGATCATTTGCTAGCTATTTCTGACTAACTAATCACGACGCTATTATATAAATACAATGAAGAATATTTAATGTAAAATCGGATATGAGTCTTGTGATAAAGTGATCTTCAAAACAATAATTCAAGAACTACAGTTTCTCGCAAATTTCACTTTATTACTGAAGTTAGGTTCGTCCAACTACCAAGGACTATCTGACTATCTGACAATCTACTTATTACAGCAAAATTCACGATTTATATACGATTAGTTACAGAATGCTTTTACTGTAACAAATCTTATCTTGCCCATACAAGTCTAGACCATGATCAATAATAAATAATATTCTTAGCCAAATCATCTCTAAAACTCTCTTATAAAATCATCATGTACGTTTTTTAAATATCCATGTTGTGCGTAACATTTGATTAACAGATGGGTAAACGTGCACTTTTTTACTACGCTGAAATTATATTATCTAAAGATAATTATCAACTAGCAGTACATTTTTGTTGAATTATTAATGCAAGTAAAATTTACGATTGATTGCATTTTTGAAATAGCCGGTTGGTGATGCGTTGCTACACACATTAGAACAAGGTTTGGGCGAGAGATTTACGCCAGAAATTAAGACATCTTGGGCGAGACTATACGGAGTGATTATTGATAATATGTCTGAAGGATTGGATGCAAGTCCAAGTCAATAAACAGCAAATTTTTCAAGATAGCAATTAAAATTATTAAAATAAATATTAATTAATAGGGTTTACTTTTAATTTATGGTAATTATAATTAATTGGTCTAATCCATAACCTCCACTATGGAAAGAAGAAAATGACTAAGAGTACTTATTTGTAAAGAGCAAGCAATAGCATTTAAGATATTGAATTAACCGTTTCCTTTCTTTCATTTTTACGTATTGTCGAAAGTGTAGCATGTTATATTATAAGCTATAAGTGCTGCCTAACTGAATGAGTACCCTTAAATCATCCATCAATTGTATTCCTGAGGGTCCAACAATTAATGGCTTGAATATTAGTATTCTAGTTCTCATCAGAAAATAGCGTTAATTTGTAACCTAACTTTGAATAAAGATTAAGTAGAATTTTATCACGTTTATTTTCTTCTTAATTAAAAGAGTTAATTATGGTGTGCCAGGTTAATAAAATGAAATTATAAAATTGGAACATCTTCCGTCTATGCTCGATGAACCTGATGGTTTAGTTATAGAATATTGCATTATCTTCAATAATAATTTTGATCTTTCACTGATGAAGTGATGGTCGATAACTGACTGTCAGAATCTAGTTGCTATATGTGTATTAGATCACCCGAGTACGATTTGCAATTTAAAAAGAGGACCCTTACTTTTACATTGTACTCGTATCTTGGCAAGTCGTAATTATTACAACATTTTATTTCAGTCGCTTTCTTTTGGTAACCGTATATGTGTAGCTAACTATAGAGATATGAGTAAAAGAAGGTTCTCGTTGTACTTTAAACTCGTATTAAAACATTTTCAAATGAAAGACTTAGTAAACAGCCTTTGCATGTCTCACTGCATAAAAATTTACAATACGGACCTTCCTAGTTCTACGTATATGGAACTGGTAATAACTCTTCATATAAATATGGCATATCACGTGCCATTTATCAGTGATAAGAATAAAAAGCGTAACTCCTTCATTAACTGATAGAAGCTGTTAAGGAAACACAGGGTTGTCGATTATTTTATTTCGCATTACTGCAGACTGCATAATAATTAATTAAACACTGTCGCAATTTCTCTGTATATTACCCATCTAGCACCAAGTCTTGGAGTAATTCTACTTGCTACAGTACCTGCTACTACTTACTTATACTGTACAGTACCTTAAAACCAGATCGTACATGAGATACTTATACTGTAATCGTTCTCTTTTGTGTTAATGATATCAATCCGTTAGATTGCAATGTTTATTTATGTAATTTCAACTTCTTATCCTAGAAATTATGTTAGAGACATCCGTATAAAATATTTAACATGCGCATAGCTGTAATGTGCAGTGAACGGTAACTATCACTCGAAGGTAGTATTATACCAAATTAATGTTGCATATTCATTTTATAGTGTAGGATGCAAGTAAGGCTACGTACACTAAATCTATACTTCAAATCAGTATAGTATCTTTATAAAATTTGGAAAACCGGGCAGAGTGTTACTGCAATACCAATATCTACAACTACAGTATGCAGTACCGTGCATTAATAAGTAGTAAGTAAATTTACAGCAACTGCCTCTTTATCGTTATACATCGTGTGGGTGCAACAATTTAAATACATTATATTTTACATATATAATCTAAACTGCTATCTGATACGAGTATACTATGTATACATAAGCACTACACCAGCCCTGCAGCCCATTAAAGGATGAACTGTATCAATGCAGCATTTTTGAAACTTTTAAAACATAACAGCAACCTTAGCGGTAGATATCTAGATAATCCGATAGAGGAGCTTCAATAGTGCGCACCATTAGCCTAAAAAAAAATGATTAATTCCCATGTAATATCTAACTCCATCCATGCAGCATTGAGCAGCGTACCACTGTATATAAGCAAGTATAGCGCAGTAGTAACAGGCTGTCATAACGGTATTTAAACCATTTAATTATAATTATGCACAATTTCTTATGGGAGATATTGTAAGTATCATCGCATTATAATTTAATGCACCAAAACCAGATACGGTAAACAGATGAAATACCATTAAATTGATATAGATAAGTCACTTGCCCACACGGCCATTGTATGCTTAATTACGTTGTGGCTAAAATTACTAACAATTAACTAAGAAGCCAGACGATCTCCCTTTCCAGAATCTAAAAATAACGGATATAACATCAAAAATCGATATAGGACACCATAACTAGACGTATCTAGTCTACTGATGTGTAAATAAGCAGTTGATATTTACAGATTTATAAAAACATTTCTACGTAACAAAAAAAATTCGAAAATCGCGCAGCAATATTTCAAAAGTTGTATACTATAACTGTAATCATTTATTGTACTTTAACTGTAATAAGTCTCCAATATTGCTGATTTTCTCCAACGCCTACATGATACAAAAATATCAATACAACAGTGTTAGACACCAGAAATTTATTTTACTAAAATTTGAAATTAAATATATTACATCGTCCAACATTTCTTTAGTATGAGCAGCTGACAGACAAAATCGAACTCTCCCCGAATTTAATGGGGTCGCTGGATAGCCAACTACAACAACAGCAAGATTTTCTTGAAGACATCGACGACTAAGCTCAGCTATCTTTCCCGGCATAAATAAAAGCAATGGAACTACTGGAGAAGAATTATTTCCAAAAACCATAAAGCCCATCTCCCTTAGGCGCTTCCTAAAATAGCTTTTTAGATAAGACAGTAGATAGAATACTCATTAATTAATCGTGATATAACAATAATGCAACATGTTTGACAGAATGCACCAACGCATGTTGATAAGTAATGTAATGCAGTAAAAATAAAGTACCGGCAATTCCAAGCTAATCTTCTCAATCTGTTTTTTCCTAAAATTAATCATAGTTTAATACAATACTCGTGAATACGAATACTACTTTATTACAATTATCTAACAATTCAACTATAATTCATTCCAAAAAGTAAATCTTTTTGATACCATCTGAAGTTCCATCTTTATTCATAATAATAGAAAGAGCAGACAAGGTCTGCCGTGCTATTGGAGCAGACATAGTTGCCGAATAGGCAGAAGAATGAGAGTTGGCACGCAAATGGTCAATGACATCCTGAAAAGAAAATTAATTAAAGCTACCCTATTGACATCCATATCTCACAAAATGACTAGATTTAGCGTGTATTACTTTAGATGATGCAATATATCCTCCACATGCACCAAAGCTCTTAGTAAAGGTTCCCATTAAGATATCCACGTCATTTGGATCTACACTACAATGTTCGCATACTCCCCGACCAGTACGTCCTAGCGCACCAATACTATGTGCTTCGTCAATAAAAAGATAAGCGCCATACTTTTTTTTTAAGCGAATCACCTCAGGCAGCTTGATTATAGACCCTTCCATACTAAAGTAAAAGCACTTAGTTACGATCACGATGAATATATCGCAAATATACATTTATTGGTGAACCCAAAACTCTTTTAGATTTAAAAAATTTAAGACTTTAAGACTTTATTCACCTATAAATTCCTTCAACAATAATTAATAATTTTTTCCAAGGTCGATGGGTTCTTGGTTGTCCACTGATGACGGCTTGACGTAAAATCTTTTCTAGGTTTTCCATATCATTATGACGATATACGCTAACTTTAGCACCAGATAAGCGAGCGCCAGTTACAATTGAAGCGTGATTTAATTCGTCACTTATAATCATGCATCCCTTGCCAACTAATGCGGGAATACAAGTAGAGTTAACAGCAAAACCCATACCAAAAGCTAGTGCTGCTTCCTTTCCAACAAATTCAGCCATTCTTTCCTCAAGCTGCTTGTGAACGTCCAAAATGCCTAAAGTATAGAAATAAATATTTTACAATTAATATATAATATCTATTACATCCGTAAGTTATTCGATTTACGAAAATGTTAGTAGTAAAGCAACAGTATTTTAAGATCATGTAGTTTGACACATAGTAGCTTTAGATAGATAAGATTATCACTTAAGCTATAACTAGTCCGTGTAGATTATAATTATCCTTTACCAAAGTCGAGGCGTGATGCACAAGTAGATAGGCCATATTTTTCAATGGCTGTTTCAACTGCATCTGTACATGGTCCACTTTTTTCGGCGAACCCAAGATAGTTATAAGAACTAAGATTTAAGCAACGCTTTGTCCGCCCAGTATACCTAATAGTGATTATAATTAGATTGTTGAGCCTATTATTATATTAGCACTGACTTATCAGTGTCGTAATAACACGAGAAAAAGACAACTGTAAATTCGATTAATTATTACGATAGTAACTAATATGACTAATATGAAATCGACTAAAATCTGCAGAACTGGTTTAAAAGAAAGAGTTAATCACTAGTCTCCACGGAGATATCTGTTTATGGATTCTAATTTTGATTTACTTACTGAAATGTCCAATTATTATCAGTGGAATATCTTTCTAAAACATCAAACTCGGCACCTGGAACGCTAGCAATTGGTCGATTCCAACAATCTCGGATACGCATATAAATAAATCGGGTAAACAGAGCTTCAAAGTTAGAGTATAGAGGCACAAAATCCTATATTCCCGGGATCATAAATAGTAAATCAAAACGTCAATCACGTCTAATAATTAATCCAATATATTTAATGTTACAAATTACTTGCTTTTATCAGTTATCTATCGTAGTTTTTACTGTATTTCAATTGCGGAATATAAGTACTGTAATGTACACAACGAAGGTTTCTTATGCAATGGTCGAAATTGGTAAGGAAGTAGGAGTGAATTACAGTAGGGTGCCAAAGCAAGTAACATACCGAGATAGTACATGATACATTTTTAGACAATACAATGTTGTGTCTACTGTATATATCATAACAACATCGAGTACATCTATTAACGGCATGGCTGAATGCATACTATCTATTTAAAAAGTTTACTACGAACAGTACTACAAATGCAATAATAAATACAGTACACCAAATATTGTAAATTTGCTTAGTTATGTTTTTATACGTTGAGGAAAATCGAATATATCGGTATTGCTGTACAGTACAGTACTATATTCCACTGTAGAGTTTAATAATTACGAGTATAATTACACTTGTTACGATTAATTTAGATTAAAGTGTGTGTAAAGACTAAATTACTGTCAACGCCTATCTCTTTGTTGTAGAAAAATCGCAAAGGCCTATAAGCTTTATACGTATATCTGTGGTTGCATCCTATTATGAGTATGTTTCAGTAACGTATTGTCTTGGTAGGAATTACAAACTTCATTTAAAATGGGCCAAGAATTAAAAGTGACTTTAGTGAAATATCTCTAGGTACTCGTCCAAGCTAAATCTCCTACACATACAGTATATCTATTTTTTTTTTTGATATCATACTCTCTTATGAGCTGTTTGGCTGCTATATTTAACCTAGTCTAACGTTTCATTTTCATTTGTGACATAGGATGTGATAAATTGACTGTACTGTACAATCAACAATATTGCAATTCAGTGTACAACTTTATTGAAATATTATTCCAAATGTCCAGAGCTACTGTGCTACGGTAATAAGCAACTACTGTAGCTATCATGAAAGTACTACAACTCTCTATCTTGTAATACTGTACATTTACATATGACTGATAGATATCCAAGTTCAAGAATCCTATCGAAAGCATATTATACTGACCTCCATCTTGGATCTGCGTAGATTGCTACCAAAAGTCAAGATTCCATACCTGACTAAGATATCTTTTAAGTATGCAAGCATTATCAGCAGCGTATAGCTGACGTAAGTACTTATCGATACATGTAATGGCGGCTCTTCAAATTCTTCTTGTGCCTCGTATGAATAATCAAATTCTTCTTCATCATTACTTATCTCGTCAATTTTACCAGTATTTCCATTTTGATTGTCTAGATGCTCATCGTTCTCTTCGGAATTGTTATAACGCTTCTTATATGACGATCTTGTCACTCTCTTTGTCGCAAGCGTAGCACTAGCCGTCATGATCGGAAGTCACCTGATGACTATTGTAGGGAGTTACCACTTGCAATATACAAGCATGAAAACGTTGGCTTTTGCTCTTTCAAATAGTTAAGCAATAGTAATGTGTTCTCTACTATACCAAAAACGACGTCGTTACTAAAATACGAAAGTCTTTACACTTCAAAAACTGCGTTGAAATTAAATTAACCGTCAATTGGGCTAGGTGCGGCTAACGAGCAGAGCGAGATTTGCCAAAAGCAACAGTTACTGGGTTGCGTTTTAAAATGATTAAAATCGATCAATACACAACAGTACAGTACAGTACAGTACAATACAGCACCTTATTTGCATGGTCATATGCTTAATCACGAGCTTACAATCATTGTGAAGCCACAGAAAAAGCTTTGTCCAGTGATCACTAAGGAAATGGTCAAGTACTGTACAGTTCTGGGAGTCTGTATTGTATTTTCGGACATCACCTGATAACGGCGATGACGGCCATCATTCGATTTTACAGTACGATGCCGGTGGGTGGCGCACCTGCGCACTCAGTGCAGCGTACAAACTACCATACTGTACAGTGTACAGTACAGTACTACAGTATACTGTACTGTACTGTACTGTACACTACTGTAGTTTTCAGGCTGCTATGATACTGTACTGTACAGTACTGTAGCCTCGGAGTAAATGGGATCCATATGATCAACATCTGTAGTGTACAGCACGAGTCCTCTCTTTTCAGACAAGTCAGTGAATAAAAATATCTTTGGTTTTAGACCTGATTCTTTGAAATTTTATACGTGTAGATAGACGAAGACTTCATGAATATGTTTGTGCAGTTTATTTTCTGCAAATAAATGTTGTTAACCGCTTATTTTGGCGATTGATGGTGTACCGTTATTCTTCTAAAATTCGCTATTATACTGTACGCCATATTGCAACCGCCGAAATTTTTTTACGTCCTGTATGATGCGACAAAAACAAATCGTAGTCGTATAGGCGGCATAGGCGGTATAATGCTGTCTGCTCCAACTTGATTAGATAAACTTTAACTTTGAATATGTAAATTCCGCTGTTGTCATCATATTATCACGTAGGCTATGCAGATGTATGTACAGTACTGCATGTTGTAATCCGTGTTTAGCGGTTGAATAGTAAATGTACGTACAATGTCTACTTGGACACTGGTACCTTTCTTTGGAAGGAAAAACTCCCAGGCTTCCTTTCTGTTTACGACATAAATCAGAATCACTTTAATAACTTTCTCATTCTACAAACTAAAGTACTGTACATCACTTGGATAGTGTACAGTACAGTACAGCAGTACGGGTATCTAATAAGTACAGTACAGTACTGTATGTAATAAGGACTTCAGAAAAAAAGGTGGAGCACTTGCATAAGTAAACAAACAAATAAATGCAGAAATTGTAGCATAATCACACCATCCATCACATGATCAGATCAGGATCGAAACGCCAGTCCAAGTAGAAGCTTATTTACGTCACATCAAGGTTGTACGAAAGTTTTCAAATCACAGGATGCTTAAAAGTAAAAGTAACAAGGCCAATACGCTTGCTATACCATTTATGTTATAGACGAAGACCTTCTACTTACTGTACTACTCGGTCAACAAGAACGTGTGTAGTACGGTCTGTTAGGCCTGAAAGCCTATTCACTATGCAGCTAAATTAAAGTGTATTACTAACTGTTTACGTGTATGCCCGTTCACAAATGAACGGAATGCCAAAAAAAAAAACAGCAAGAAAGATCTTCGCTGGAAGCAACCACTCCTTTCTGACTTACGATTAATCATCTACGCACGTCGAATGTATACGGTACAGTACGGTATGTACTATGCAGTTCACCTCTTGGATAAGCGACGTATTCCTTGCTACTGAACTCTATCTACCAATGTGTCTACATATTTGAATACCCAAATAAATGTTTGCCTTGATAACCTGTATTGCATTATTCGCATGTAATGAAGGAAAGCCAGTTGATTAGTTTATAGCAGTAGCTGCTCCAAATCATATTAGCAATTATATAATATAAAGGTACACATTTACGACATAGTCTTACTGTACAATGTACATGTCGTTTTGTGAATTGACCGATAAGAAGTTTTATTCGAGCTACAGTACACGAATTTTTAGTATGAAATTCATTCATTTCCTTATAACGAGAAATCAAAGTCTTCAAAGTTGAAAGTCAACTCGTATAATAATGATAAGAAAAATTTTTTAATTTCATTCTTGAGTCAGTAGGCAGTTTTTTAAGCAAAATGTGGATAATTTATTTTCTATACGTACATGTATGATGTATCTTAAAATTGAAGTTAGCTAATGGGTCTATAGACCTGATTCAAATTCCTGAGCGTCTTTTTCAGTGTTTTCCAATCACTGTGATTGTAATTAACTCGAGAATACGCATAGAGTAGAGGTGTGTACTGCATCAATACGTACAATATAATGCACAATAATCTGATTATCTTGTATTAGTCATTAGACGTCTACGCGTAGTGTTCGTAAAACAGTAGGTAGCGATAGCGATATGTGCGGCCAGACTTTGAATTTCATTGCAAGACTTCAAAGCTACAGTAAGTGTACTCAACTAACTAGGGCTCATAAAGTATTGCAAAAGTATCATGGCAGTACATCGTGGAAGAAAGAGAGTTCTTGGGTGTTGAAATATATATTCTGAGACGTTTTAGGTGTTGTCTGTCGGTTGAATTTTACAGATCATGTACTTACTATGTACATGTACAGTACAGTAGTTGCAAATCTGTCTTCTAACATCTACAGTACACATACTGTACACGGTACAGTACAAAACACCCTGAATCTCTTGACACCACCAGGACTCCATCCATACTGTGCACTGAGTGTACAGTGTACAGTGTACAGTACACCAGACCTGTACAGTACAGGACTTCTTTTAGCAGAACAAGTTACACTGTACTGTAGGACTGTCACTACTGCGACTGCTCAAACTGGCCTCTACAGTATTCAGTGTTGTACTGTACTGTATGGTATGTACTGTACACTGTATGGTACGGTACTGTACACTATTATCGCTAGGCTTGGACGTACTGTACAGTACTGTACTAGACGTACTGTATATTGCCATGGTTATTGGTTATAGGGAGCCTACATGCTGGTAGAAGTTCATTGTTATCCTCGGTTGTAACGATCACAATTAAGGTTGCTCCTGCAGTATCTAACTTTAACACATTGGATGAAAATGGAGAAAACAGACACTCGTGGAACTGCCAAGGAAAAGACTGAACCTGGTTATGTCCGTAAATATCTACCTGTTATCTGCTTTCTTCTGGTTTGTTTATTAACCTGTTCGACAAGACTTTATAAGTTAGATGAACCGCAACATGTCTGGTAAGATAAATGGCATCTATGTATAAATTCAATGACAAAAAATTGGATACGATATAAGAGTACATCTCTCCATAATCCTGGAACAGACTTGATTGCTCTTTGAAATTTTAAAGTTATCGGTCCGGTACATAGAAATAACTAATCCTACGCACCATCTCTTTTATGCTATTCCCAAAAGTGCCAATGAAACTATTCCACATAGTGGTAGATATACTCGTAAAATATTCTATGAGATTGACTGATCATGACAAATTTTAAATTGTGCTATTCTGCGCAGTCCAGTGGATTCCTTGTCAAACTTTTATAGTTATTTTAGAGATCACTACTGATCAGATTTCAAAATTGATTACTAGACAGTTATAGGCCACCCATCTTATAAATAAATACCATATTTCGTAGGATACAACAGTATCAAGATCAGTTATCATGGATACCATGTAGCCAACTAAGTGCAAATTGTAACTAGGATACAGTAAGGAAAAATCATGGCCAAATTTTTTTCACTTTCACAATTACAAGCTATTAGAAAAAGACTACTGCTTGTCGTAATATTCTACTTTCATATAATAGCATTCACAGTCAGAAAGGATTGCCGCTAAATTAATGATCGTAGACCAATCTATGATGCTGTATCAGTTTAATTCATGTATTTTAGTAGATAAAACGTGCCTAATGCCAATCTCTTGAAGCTTGTACTGACTGAAGAGAAGAAATTCAGTTGTTATAGACAGATTAAACAGTAGCAACACCTATTTTAGGGAATAAGTTTGCTTACGAATACAACTCATGATTGAAGTTGTTTTACAAGTCATACAATACATCTCAGACTGACATAATATTATGTTAGTACTATGGTCTTTGATGAGCGTCAAAAGGGAATATCATTGCTGTTAGACCTGATTCAGCCTAAACTTCTTGAAAGTATCAAATAAAAACATCTCTAAGTGAATGTAACTAATCTTACAATAAAGGCACTATACCGTTATTGTCATCACACTGCAGACTGATTCAACATCAGAAGATCTTTAAACATCTGTGATATGATGAATTCAATAAAATAATTATTCACATTAATTAAATTGTATGCACAAGCTGTTATACATGTAAATGCTCTACACACACTTCTTATTGTGGATAATTTTTAGTAATTAAAATTAATTAACCCGTAAAGCATATTATAAGGCTAAAATATGTAATTGGTAAATTGACGATTTGTCATACTACTGTATGATACCTGACTTAACGTCTATGAGTACACGGTACACGTATGCGAATATACACTAATTGCACTGTATAGTCGTTATAGCAATATAAATTTGAAGTTATTACAATGTATCCAACGTTTATAAAACTTTGTAGTTGTAAATTACTAACTTTCTTAAATGTTTACCCCACACGAAATTCTATCAACACAACGATTGCTTATCAATTATTACTACTTTCTTATATTCCTTTCAAAGTTTATTAATTCATTCTACTTAATGAATAATTCACAGTTGGGACGAAGCCCATTTTGGTAAGCACGGTAGTTGGTATATTAATCGAACGTTCTTTTTCGACGTTCATCCACCTCTCGGCAAGGTAACCTAGTACGAATATTAAATAGTAAAAGATTTTACAAGATTAATTAAATTTCTTGAGAATGTATTGTATATTTTGTTTATCATTTCAGATGATATCATTGAATGATAGACTTTGTTAGGTATACTCTAAATACTTTCTACTTGAATTGTATTTAGATGTCGATAGGCCTAATTGGTTACTTAACAGGCTATAACGGAACCTTCGCCTTTGATAAGCCTGGAGACAAGTTTAATGGACACCTTGTCATGGGTATGAGATATGTAAGTATTAAATTAAATCATCTTACATATTCAATCATACATAGTTTCGGCTCGATGAAAAGTAAAAAATTTTAATTATTAGCTCTTTAAATAATAAATAACCATTTACTATTCGAATTAGTTCTGTGCAATTTTAGGATGTTTCTTTGTTGCTTTCGTTTACCTTATTACCTGGGAATTAAGTCAATCAGTCGAAGCTTCATGCCTTGCATCTCTATTTGCTATATTCGGTAATAACGTTGATATTGCTAAACATTTACAATATCTATTATAGTATTAATTAATAATTTCAAAAATCTAGAAGTAAAATGCCCTTCTAAGTTATCATCATAACATACGTGCAATTTAAATGTTCAAATTTAATTCTCTATTATGATAATTCCAACAGATCATGGTACTATTACACTATCACGTTATATCTTACTGGATCCGATTTTATTATTCTATATCATGTCGTCAACCTATTTCGGTATCAAATTTTTAAACACTAAAAATCGGTAAAAGAAAACACTTTCATATCATTTTGTATAAATTCTGCATTTCATGGATCGTGTAGATTGATATGCGATCAGTAATTGTTGCTATAAATTACTATAGTCCTTATTCATTGTCATGGTGGTTATGGCTATCTTTAACCGGCGTTTCGTTAGGATGTGCAATTAGGTTAGAAACTTTCGTTGTGGAACATGCATATAAATGAATTTCCGTAATGTAATAAAAAATTAATTATTTTTTATTATACAGCGTAAAATTTGTTGGCCTATTTGTTATCCTGTTTACCGGTTATTCAACAGTAATGGATTTATGGAGATTATTCGGAGATTTAAATCTGTCAATGGTACACTTTATTGCTATCGCTATCAATATCGATCGATTTGTAAATATACTATCAACAGTTGTAAAAGTTACTGTTATTTAATTTTACTGGCTTGTTTATCGATGCTGTTCAATAACAGGTTGACCTGATTAAACACTTTTTGGCCAGAGCAGTGTGCTTAATCCTGATTCCCTTATTGGTATATTCCTTGTTATTTGTAATTCATTTAAAAGTACTTCACAAAAGGTAATATTAGCTAATCATTTATTTGGGTGATAATACGAAAAAATTACACCTTTCTTCGGATATTTAGAAATAACTGTGTGATTGTAGTACTTTGTCATTGATGAACGTGTGAAATGAGCTAGATTTCTGAAAGTAGTAATATATTTTATCACCTTTCCGATTTATCCATCTGTGTAGTGGCAAAGGTGATGGATTTTACAGCTCCTCATTTCAAGCCACTTTGAAAGGAAACGACCTTTACGACGTCAAACTGCCCACATGTAATTTTTACTCTAATAATTAAGCGCTCCCCATTCTATTAAAATATTTCAGAAATGGTTTTAATACAAAATATTAACAGCAATAGAAAAACATCCATAATAATTATTTTTAATAATTCATTAATTTCTATAATGATAGATGTTGCGTATGGCTCAGTAGTTACAATAAGAAATTACCGAAGTGGAGGAGCTTTATTGCATTCACACCCACACTTATATCCACCCACAGTTGCCAAAATGCAGCAACAACAGGTTTATTCTTACGTACCGATATATCATACGCATGTATAATATTTGCTTAGTTTTTATGTAAAACTACGTGCTTACTCCAATTATATATAATAGGTTACTACATATTCTCACAAAGACGAAAATAACCTTTTTATGATTAAGAAACATAACGCCAGTTATAGTAAGTTTATGCTATACGAAACTATAATTTGTATAATAAATTTGAGATCTTATACTTACAAGATATTAATTACTGTTGATACAATAGGCGATCAACAATCGTTAGAGTACGTTAAAAATGGCGACATTATCAGATTAGAACATGTTCAGTAAGTACGGTATCTAACGTTATTAAATATTGCTGTCGATGCTATTGTTTTACTAATTTGACAGCTTGATAGTATGAAGATATAGAGGTAACAAGGTCTTTATATTATAAATTTTTATCGTTATTGTAGAACTAAACGTAACCTGCACAGTCATCTAGAGAGAGCTCCAGTTACTAAAAGACACTATCAAGTAACTTGCTATGGAAATGTAAGTAACCGTTACTAATAATATATGAGTGACAGTAATATATCATCCTAAATTCTATTTACTATTGGATCGTCTTATTTAGAATGGAACAGGAGATGATAATGACTACTGGGTGATACACGCGACTAATGCCGAAATTGGGAGTAAAATTTCTATCGTGAAATCTATTCTTCGCTTTGTACATTACAATGTCAAGTGTGCTTTGCATTCGCACGAAAAACAACTACCGAAATGGTCAACATAAATCCTTTTGTTTATAACAGACAATTATTTTTAAATTATAATTAAGAATCATGAAATACTACTATATAGCAGTGATATCAGTCTTTTATAATTTTCTTCGTAAAAATAGTCTTACAATATATCATGTCCTAAAGTATGATATCTTATCCATTTCAGGGGTTGGGAACAAATGGAGGTTACGTGTAACCCAAAAATTAAGCATAAAAACAACCTTTGGAATATTGAAGGCCACCAGAATCCTCGATGTAAGAAATTATACAGCGAATTAATGCATGCAGTTGCACTAACTAACTCAATGCATTATTTTTAATTACGCTATAAGTATCGGTTGATGACTCAGATGTACACAAGGCTTCCACTTATCAAAAGTTTTTGGAGTCTCATTTTGTTATGCTACAGGTAACGATGTACTTGAAAGTAATAATAGAAATACACATGCATGAATAAGATTATAAAATACTTTAATTACAATTTATACAGAGAAGTAAAATATAAATTATTGTCTTTCTAGGGAAATTCTAATCTCAAACCTAAAGAAGGAGAATATACCTCACAACCTTGGCATTGGCCAATCACATATAAGGTATCCTTAATCTACGATTATCCTTGATTGTATTGTCTGCATTAATTAATTATTCCTCCTTATTTCAAAATTTAATGCAGGGTCAGCACTTTTCCGGAGGTGATTTTAGAATATACTTACTTGGTAACCCAGTAAGTAATTACCGCTTTAAACGTTATTTGCTTAGCAGCTATTTTTAGGACTAGCTGTGAAGCTCCATTATATACGACTCGTATTCTATATCCGCTAACGTTAATACAATTTGGTACTACATACTTATTAGGTACTTTGGTGGACAAACCTAATAGTGCTGATAAGCTTTCCATTTGGCTACTTGTATCATGCAATAAGGTGCCAACGAGGTTGTCAAGATCAGAATGGTAACTAACTGATTTTAAGAATTTTTAAAGGCTAAACTAGAGAAAATACATATAACTGCACTAACGAGCTTTAAAAATTTATCAGAACTGCGAACGAAATTATTTTCTTCTTGCTGGTGGTTATATCTTGGATGGGCGACCCATTATATTCCTTTTTATTTAATGGGAAGAGTTTTATACTTTCACCATTACTTCCCTTCTTATTTGTACAGTTGTATGATAACCGGTACGTGTAAGCCGAAATGACCTCAATTTACAGAATTATGGAGGTAGCTTTAAGTTTCATAATTTTCCGTTTTTAGGAATCTTTCTATATTACCTAATTGAAAGCTATGGAGCAAGACTATCGACTCAAGAGAATAAGTTGTTTTTTTTCAAGATCGTATATACTGGTGTAGCTTTGGTTATTATTAGCAGGTGACTATGAGTATTTTAAATAAGGGTTACTTGCGTCATTAACTCAGCAATAATTTAAACATTAAACTTTTTAGTTTCGTTATCTTCCGTTCCTTAACGTATGGAATGTCTGGACCGAAAGGCGATATGCTGAATAGTCGTTATACGTGGATTAGATGGCTTAGCTCTTGGGAAATTTAATTTATTTTGAAAATAGTTATGAACCTGGTTTATAAATAATTGCTCATTTATCAACGGTCCACACGTGGAAAATTGTTTATTAAGTTAGATTATATTACTTAGGGAAGAAAATTATCTCGAACAATATAGTTATCCTTACAAGTTCAAAGTGAATTTTAAAATGTTACTTATTCTAACCCGCAGCCTGACCAATGATATTTTGACGAAAGATCTGTGCTGTTTACTTATTATTAAATTACTGATACCAAGTAATTTTCATATCATGTTTCTTATTTACAACGTTACAGTCATGTTGGATTAATAAATGTGAAGGACTTAATAAAGTTTAGTACCAAAGCATAGAAATCAAACTTATCAATACAACTACGAATAAATTTCGTATACCAACTTTTGAAGTGTATAAGAAAAAAGTTAAGTAGAAATTGATAAAGAAATTCAATATGACATGAATTGTATAATTACAAATTCGCATTTTCTTCAATTAATGTGTTCCAGTATTCCTTGCCTTATCAGATGCTCACATTGTGACCGTCTCATATAATGCTGTAATTAAAATTTTAAATATTCAATGAATCATAATGCTCTTGCGAAAATAAGTTACATACGTATGATACAGATAGTACACAGGAACTTACCCGTATATGACGACAAGATATTACATAATGAGTGTGTAGTAGTTTATAGATACTTTATATACGTACTAGTAATCATCAAATTCATATGCAAGCACAACTGTAATACGAAATAGTCATGATCTTGATAGCACAGTAGGTCTTACGCCAATGTTCACAAATCAGAAATTGAGTGAGCATTTACCGAACCTTATCAAGTTAAATTCCAAGTCATACCTGTGTATTTCTTTTTAATGATATAACATCACCATCATCTGTTACGAATTCACCATAGTCCTGTAGGCATCGCACCTGAAACAATTCATACATTAGGCGTAAATATTGACATCCATGCAGGATTGTAATATATGAGGTTGAAAACTGCAGGACTAGATTACCTCAATAAACACAGACTTTGGCGGCTTTAAGTCCTAAAGACAAATTTTAACTTACTTAATAATTCGTAATTATATGCTTTACACTTTATAGATAGAGTATAGTAAATAGTTAATATACTTAATGTATTTACTTGGGTTAAATCCAATCCAATATCACCAAATGATCTCATATACTTCACAAGAGACTTACTGTAATTCGTGAACCATTGTTTCTAGTAATTAAAAAGTAAAAAATGTAGCTATTAGTGCAGAATTATAACAATCAAGCTCAGGGTATGCCAGCTTACTTATGCTGGCATACTGTGACTGCATCATGTTAGAAACGAAGCATGAGAATAGTATGATACCATTAGAAATAGAAAGCATCAATCACGCTACAATCCTGAAAGACAATAGTTACATGATTACGTATCTATTTTACTTAGAGGTTTAACGTCCCTATTTAATATGAAATAGTGCCACATGGTTAAAGATTGTATGCAGATATAACATATCGGATTGTAATCAGAAATTATAACTGTTTAGCTTTACAATAGATATAAATCTGACGCCTATTATTGGTATATTGCACTGCTGTGCAGTATTACATTGCTAATGTAGTTACATTATACTTGGGTAACACATAGTTCCAAAATTTCACCCAGTTATATAGTTCACAATAATGATAATAAGATCGTTGTATTTTAATTTAAAACTTGCAAGAATTATATTCTCGCACGATTGTAGAATTGGTGGAGACTATACTTTTATATAAGTTAAGCACGGTTGACATTGAAGCACTACTCATCATATCGTAATTGAGCATGTACATAAAAAATGATCAGAAGTAATAAAGGATTAAAATATCTAGCTAAAATACTTTTACCTCCAATTCGCACAGGTTATCTCTAACATGAGCAGGCAATACACTCCCTAATTCCCACCTTAGCTGGCGAAGTCTTTGCATTCTCTCATAGCTGCACGAAAATTAGACGAATGTAGGATAAATTCGCTTTAATTCTCAAAAAATTTATTTCTAATCAATAATAAACATCTCCAATAATATAGTAAAGCTGATATTATAGATCAGGTGGTCTCTGCAGACACTAATGCATAACGACAAGACTGCAGGATTCACGAGTTATATGTGGTGCAATATACACGTATTTCCATAATATTAAAGTGAGTTGCTTAGGCAAGACTTTATATAGTCATAATTATGTAAGATAGCTCATTTTAGTATTCTTAATATTGATTCACTACATAACTTTTAAGTATTTGTATAAAAACACATCATAATACATAACTTAGACAGTATAGGACTTTGTATTTGGGCCGCGATCATAAAATTGTATTGCACTATTTAGAATGAGGCATATTGTCGTATAATGTATTTACCGTTGTAAATACATTTTACCGTGTACGATAAGAATATAGAATGTAAATTCTTATGTGTTAATTAGCGAACAGATACAACTGCCAAATAACTAAGGTTAGATGCTAACAAATATACTCTATTCTGATTTACAATCTGAAAATTCGTAATAGCACTGCTACGTTATCACTTACACATAAGCAAGTAAGCACCGCTTATTTCTTTCTAGGCTAGCATGTCGTAGCTGTATAGCAGAAAATAGGCCGTTTTTACCAGCAATAGTGGCGTTACTGTAAACATACATAAATCACAAGCAAGGTTAGTACATATCAGTTTTTAATCAGATTTGATTAAGCTAAATTTGAGGAGAATTAATACACACTTAGTAAGAACTAGATATAGTAGTAGTTTACGTATAGTAATATACAGTAGTAGATTCGTTTCGTGTTATTACGCTAATATTAATGTCCGTTAAATTCGAGTATATTTCAGATGATAATTACTTAGGATTGGAAGAATAGTAGAGATTATAGACATGTATATGCCTGTATAGATGTAATAATCAAAACATGGTAAAATATGATCGCTTATACACACATGGCCGGTAAGATTTGTATAAGTCTACGGCAATATACATATGCGGGCGAATATAATTTTAGCTTCTGCAATCAATTGTAACGGAATTTGCGATCATAGTTTCATCAATTTTTACCAAAATTGATGAGTTTATTGGCTGTAAGACAACGCACTACGACTGACTAAATGGATAAGACATCTTAAAATACCATATTGGTTTCATAATAAATGATAATTACGAAATTTGATAGACCATGGCATACTTTACTATCTGAATTATTCTGGCAGTTTGATGCTACAATAGAGCAATTCGATAATTCAATGTCCACAACATTGACGTGCAAAACAGATAATGTTCGCGCGTAAATAATTTTTGAAATTAATGATAAATTGTAAAAGTTTTACAACATAGTTTATAAAGCGTAATGTTCATTTGATTCATACATCAGATCAATAGTAGAAGGCGTACATAAATATAAATATAGTACTAACACATCTTCCTGATTTCGTTGAAAGAGGCTCTGCATTTCCTCAATGACTTGCCTAATTCCATCCTCCTAATAATTCGAATGATCGTACGAGTTAATATACCGTAGTATACTGCACTGTACTGTACTGTATATTTACAGTACAGTAATCTAAAATAAGTATAAGATTATAAAAGTACAGTATTAATAGATGATTTAAATTTACGTATTACGTCCAAAATTACATTATAAGAAGGTATGACATAATCGCTTGCACGTTGTAACTCTCGAATTAATTCAAGGCCTTGCTCCGCCAACATTGTATACTTGTATACAGGGATTCAAGATTAGCTATTACTGCAAAATTAAAATTATTAAAAGTGAACTTATTCGATTTTGAATGCGATAATACAGTCAACTTGTACAGTACTGTAAAAAAGGTATCTTCGACTACAGTACTGTGTACTGTACACTGTACACTGTACAGTACAGTACAGTACTGTACTGTATACTGTAGTACAGTACTGTACAGTACGGTAAGAACTTCTCTCCTGTACTACTATACAGACAGACCAGATGGACAACAGACGGACTTTTATTTTACCGAATGAGACCGTGAATTTCGAAATATGACTACTTAATGTAGTATGGATCTTTCGTGTCTGTTTTCTAAAAAATTGGTGTTAATTGAAATACCATGTACGATCTTACATAGCTATTTCCATGCAGAACTTAGTGACGGATAATAAGATTGAGCGTAATATTACTGTACTGTACTTACTGCTAATTTAGAAAAAATTAGTCAATGTAAAATCGACCATCTGCGTACTAAAGTACTGTTATAATGAAGCGTTTAGAACAATATTTGGACGAAATGAGGCCGAATAGGTCTGTCCGTCCAAGAGTGATCAGTCGATATCTTCTTCCAATAGTCCAATAGTCCAATGTACAGTGCATAGTACAGTACTGTACATGTAGAAAATGTTTTTCTGCATCATGAATACGCCTGCGCATAAATGCGGAGACGTTTATTGTACCTGAGTGTACAGTACAGTACTGTACTGTACTGTACAGTACATTACAGATGGATATTACTATTGTTTACTGGTCCACTATTATAAAAAATTTTTTAATTTTTAAAGCTCCAAGTTTTAGGAATCGATTCTATGTAGTGTTGCATACAGAGATCTATTGAGCTGTATAAGACTGAAGGACTTGATACACCACGCAAGTACATATTCTAGAGTTTTGCTGTACTAAAGTCCGTCCTGAAAGTATCCTACAATTAGGGTACTAAAGCTCTAGCAAAAGATGATAAGGCCATAAAAGTGTTCCTTTTCTGATTGTCAATGCCTTGGTGGAAGTTTTTTCGGGAATTCCTTAGCAAGGATTGTTGAAAATGACAACGATTGCAGGATAAGAAGTACTTACACTGCAAATACCAGCCAAAGAACTCCCGCTATTGAAATAAAAAAAAAAATAATAACACAAAAATATAAAAAGTACCGTTGAACTGCAAATAGTAAGTGGTTCAGCAATGCCCACGGCATGCCCAACTTTGGACAAAACCTTTCAATCCTGCGTGCAACTATTGTTCGTTCAGTAGCGTAGTGATGATTGCATTGTTTGATGTGTTCATTGCATTGTCACATGACTCTTAAGCAGGCCAACAGAAACCAGGCATTACTTTGAAAACAATAACATGCCAAAAGTCACAATAGAAAAGGTCATCATGCACGAGTCTAAGAGTCAACGTCTTGACTCGATGTAGACTCTGACCATATTAAGCCTTGCCATCATTGATTGTGATAAGTCGGTGACGACGTAAGTTTTGCAGAAATAGTCCGTGCCTTTCCTCATCCTTTCCTGTCGGCATCCTGTTCACCATTTAATAAGCACAAATAAGGTAAAGTCTTTCTCTACCGAACTTTCTAATTCCTTCTACATTAACTGTAAGAAACGATTGGATCAAGTCCAATAACGCTTATAGTATTTGCAGTTAGTGTTGGGAAATTTGTTAGCATGTACTGTACAAGATGAAAAAAATCTTGATGGCTTGTAGTGTGAATTACTGCAATGCCTCTTAATACAGTAAACGAAAGTACAATTTAGGACTTACTTCATTACCATAGTATCTTGCTATACTGTACAATGTCCATACTGTGCTTTAGTATGGTACAACAGAGCAGTATAATAATAATAATTATAATACCAATAGTGAATTGTTATAGCTGGCATTGAAGCACAACTGAATTCGGCGATGGCTATAATTATTATTATAGCCATCGCCGAAAGCAAAATCATGCATCCAGCAATTCTAGACCTAGATTTCGTAACTAGTCAACACCACCTCTGTGATGATCACACTAGTTTCTTGACAACACTAAAAAGTTGATAAAAATATCTTGGACCAAGACATGAACAATGCTTGTATTAATTGTACTGTAATTGTAATGGTAATCTGGTTATGCACCGCCTTGACCAGGGTAACAGTAACTATTTCACAACAAAATACCTAGTGTGTACAGTAGAACATTGCACGATTGGCTGACTAGGCTCGTCCTATTTGGAGAAATTCGCCTAAGTTCTTAAAATAGGTGCACCGTAGAATAAAATTTAAACCGCATATGGTATATATTATTTTTAATTTGCCATCGCTTGATACTGTATGTTGATATTGTGAACTATAATAGTCGTTCGGTCTTTAATCTTTCGAATATTTTCGACGTTGTTATCGAGCTGTAGCTAACGTTATCTTCATTAATCCCTCCAAGAATTGCAGTGCCAATCATGAAACGTCGCCAGCTAAACGATCAAACAGATCTTAATAATGTCAACCGCCTAGACAGAAGGCGAATGGAGAACAAAATACAGGAAGAAGAAAAACTTTCTAATGGTAACGATTGCTTAAGGTACCCGTCCGTCTTATATACCGTTTACCGAAAAATTAATAATTGATTCACGAACCACATTTGGAGTATAAATTTACGACTTTCGTAGATGTTAGATGTTATTACATACGACTATACGGTATGTATACAGTATACGTACAGTGCAATACTGTAAGTTTTGAAAAAAAACAAAATAGCAACAGCCCTTTCTAATTTAGACATTTTTAAATTTTGCAACATCGGCTGATCACTTATTATATTAGCCTCAGTACACCAACTGTACTTTATACGAAAATATCGCTCTCTTTCTATCAACTACAGTACTATCATTTTGATATTTGTAGCATACTGTGTACGTATTATTAAATTGCATACTTTCTTCGGTACGTTAGGAGGATAGCCTATGCAATCCTTTCTGTCTTCCTGTTCTATGCCTTTATCATCTTCCTTATTATGTGCAGTCCGACATTTCGGTTACATCTGCTCTACATGCATTACGGTAAGGAGGGATACAACATGCTGTACAGGCATAACCCAGCTCTGTGCTGTACAGCTGACATTATTATGCTAATGAAATCTTACGAATCCTCTTGATATTCCTTTAAATTTAAAAATCGAGTTCAACGCACGTTGTTGCACCGATTCCTGTACTGTATTGCATAAAATTTAAATCAATTGCCAGTAAATCGTAATTACCTTGAACTGAGAATGTGTTCTAACACAAACACTGGCAGCTAGAATGACATTTTATGATGTCAAGTGTTTAACAGTTGACTGTGCAAAATCGAATGATATGCGTATGTGATAATGTCGTATTTACAATTTACTGTATGTACACACATATATTCATCATACTGTAGTAAATTAGGATTTTTATTTTGACTACAGTATACGCATGTAGCACAATGATTAAGTTTAGTTTATATGTACAAATATGTAAACTACAAATTTGACTTAATAATTAAGCCCAGCTTTTGCATTTATTTTCTTCCTACAGTTCGTATACCTTTTTCTAATGCTTCTCAGCCCCAACAGTTTGGCATGACTGGAACCAGAAATTTTATGGTGAAAACAAGTGATAATGAATTCCTGGGTGCTTGGTAAGAACAGCAGGAACTGTGTTCGCACGTTGTATCATTTTACTCATGAGATGTAACCATAATTAGTACGCAACACATAGTCTCCAGCAGTACGCGCATCGATGTTTAGAGAATATACAGAAGAGTATTGTTTCCTGACGTATACTATAGTCGTGCACTCTCTATCTCATTACTAAGTATTCTTGATTGCTTTAAACGTCAAATCCATGGTCAATTAATACCATACGTTATGCTCATTGCTATATAATCTGTAAATTTATTACCTTTCACTCTGCAAGGTGTCTTATTTAAAGGCGCATAAATTATAACTTATAATACTCCTACAATATCTTAAATTAGGCACGTTCTCCCTAAGAGTTTGATTCCAACTGTGGACGACCAGATTGATTTCGATAATAGCCTGAAATCAGGCAAACCTATTTTTATTTATTTCCATGGTAATTCGGGCTCTAGGTTAGTAATTCTTGGTTTGTGAAATATTACAAGCTATTGCTACAACGTTTAATAGATATAAATTTGTACTAAACATTTGAATTTAATCTGGCTAATGATAAATATATCCATTAATTCCATGTAAAATTTTTTAGAGCGTCTTATCATAGGATAGAAATATATAAGGTTAGTTGCTTTGAATTTTAAAATTTATCTTGGACATCCTTTTAAATTTCCTGGCGATAGAATATTAAGTGACTTTCCGCTTTTGTAAACTACAGAGATTTTCTTCCTTCGATTACCACGTTGTTACAGTTGACTATCGAGGTAATAACGATTGATTATGATTGTTAACAGAAGACATTATTATCTGATATTGCTGTGATACATCGTACTTTCGTATACAGATGATATAATATCAGAGGTTGTCATCTAATTTTACGTATTAAAATTCTACTATATGAAGACTAAAATGTAGATTGTAATCGCTTAAATATATCGCTTTTGATCTTGATTAGGATACGAAGATTCTTCTGGAATTCCTTCAGAGGAAGGTATGATTTACATAGTATAATGTACCATAATATCCAGTAAAAATAGATCTCGTACTGTATACAACCTTCGATTGTAGAAATACCAATATCTTTATTAATTAAATCTATTGCTTAGGCCTGACTGAAGATGGAATATCATTGTGGAAATGGACTAAACAGAGGAGCGGTTCATCTCCAATATATATTTATGGTCATTCACTGGGAGGCGCGTAAGTTTTTAAGTAATAGATAATTATGAAAATGTTGCACTACGCAATCTAGAACTGTCATTACTTTTAATAATCCCTTTTCCGGTACTTAAAAAATCTTAATGATTCCTTTATGATAAACCTTCTACTATAACAGTGTTGCAGTAAATGTCGCAGCTCGCCTATGCGACTCTGGTAAGAGAACCTTTGTCATATTATTTGAGTTACTAAACGAAACTGCACCTTAATTAATTTCTTGCTGAAGAATCATCAAATATAATTCTGTTAATTAATTTTTCGAATACCCAGATGAATGTCCAAAGGGTGTAATAATCCAAAGTTCGTTCTCTTCACTACAAGAAGCTTGCTATGGGCATATACTCAGTAAGGTAAGCATCTAAATACAATGTAAGATATTTTCGTCTATTAGGCGTAATTGCAATATGTAAGCAATAACTTACATGACGCAATCATCACTACCTTCTAATCATATTTGCTACTATCTTTAAACAGCCGCTTAAGATATTGCCATTCTATTATTCCAATGTATTGAATGTAGTATCTGGTGAATACATGGTTAAAGAAAGGTAGGTACTTTAATAACGATTTTACATATTTGGCTATAAGCTGTAATTAGTACTTAGTTTGTATAACCGAAATGATCGTATCCCAGGATTCGTGGAGTGCATTGCCCTATTTTGATAATCCATGCAAATCAAGACGCAGTTATTCCAATTTCTTTGGCTGAGGAGGTTTGGATTGCACTATTATTGATTTTTTAGCACTTGCCATTTGTTAATTGCTATTCTTGTTAGTAGGATAATAACTTAATATTTGATTATAATTTCTCGCATTATTTCTACCGTTGCTTGCAGTTATATAAAGCTGCTAAATCAAGACCAGCATCTTCAGGAAAAGTTGTCTTAGAAAAACTCGATGATACTCAGCTTGGGCATAATAACATCCATAGATTTGATCGATTTTCTGATATGATTAGGTATTGATAGTATATTTGTTATATTACAATTAGAGTTTCTTTAATCATACTCACATGCCCTCAAATTTTGTATAATAGACAATTTACAAGTACGAATTTATGAAATAAACGCATCAATTCATCGACGAAAACAATCAATACATCTTCAATATTTTCCAAAACCTAATGCTGGCAATTTCTTGTTATTAATTATTAGCTATCAGTTGAGGCTTATTCTGTTGTACAACGCTTACCATAAAAAATTGAAAAATTCATTTTCTGAGCATATCTGTTATCGATGCATCAGATACTAAACATAATTTTTTAATACATATGACTGCTGGCTGATGTATTTCAAAATGAGCATAAGAAAGTATCTTACTTTGTAATGAAAGCTAAGTCTAGCAACGATGTTTGCCTTAGTGTTATAACTTATTAGGACAATGAGTAATAGAATTCACGATGCAAGTGAGCTAAATAGTAATTATTAATTGTCGCTATAGACATTATAATTTAAAATGTGTATATTATAATTGCTGGTCATTAATTGAGATGTTCGTATGAACACATCTGTGGCTTGTTATATTAAGAATTCTGTGTCATACTCGTTTGCAGATATCGCGATATTATATCTTTACACGCAGTAATTATTATCTAATCGACTTGATGTAAAAATTAATTGCAAGGTTGACATTCCTCAATCATGATAGTCGACGTTTCGCTAATTTACTCTTTCTAGTCTTTTCTCGTTTAGCTAAATTCTAACAATGTAACACGTACGTTTCATGAATTTCACTGACCAAATCTCATCAAAAATATTGTGATCGGCAGCAAATAACTACTGTATTCTAAATCTTAATGCGAAGCATTCCTACATGATGTAAATTTCACTGGCCGAGTGTAAGGTATTAGATTAAAGATTCTTCTGCTAATTATCTGGAAACTAAATTCTTTAGTAAGCCAGCCACTATTAGCATCGAAAATACGAGATGAACAATCATACAGTATATCTATCAGCTATGCTCAGCTGACAATATACTCTACTCTATCACTATAAAAGGCGACCAAAGCCACTATTGTTTTGCGTATATATCAGCTATGTTCAGCTGACAATATCCTGTATCTGAGTGAGTGTATCACTATAAAAGGCAACCAAAGCTACTATTGCTAATACATCATTGGTTAGAGTTGCAACCGTAATTCATTTTATTAAAGATGTTATATTCGATCATTATTGTAATTATCAATTAATGCTTGTACAGCATGTCGCAATTAATCCATTTCTCTCATTTGAACTTAAAACTCTGCTAATAGTATACGAATTAAGAATATGGCGTTGATATTGAGCAAATTATCACATTCAAACAACCAATATCGGGATCTTTACATTAACAATTTACTATAAATTTAGTTTAGAATTCTCTTGTACGATTATTGCTACATATTAGTCGATATTATAGTATACATTAATGGAACTGTCTACATTATACTGTAGATGTACAGTATAATTAGATACTGTTTCGCATTACAGCATGCTCTTTGGTGAGATATCAGTATCCGGAATATTTATAAATATAGTAATTTTAACTTGAGGTTGCTGAGAGCAATTAAAAATAAGTAGGAAGTATTACTGTTTAGTCCAGTATTAGAGTACTATGTAAAAATTGCACTTTGGAGCTACGAATAGCAGTGCATGATAGACGTTAAGAACTTTTAACAATGTAAGTTTCCTTGTATTGTTCGTCGACTTCGTCATGATCTAGTAAACAGTCTACTTCAATGTTAGACACTGCTTGTCTTTCTGGATATAGTCTTGCATATACAATAGTAAAGCAACAACCGTAATTTCCTCTAGACAGTGGATCATCACTGACAAATGGCCGTGTATTAGCTTGACTTGTTGATATATTTAAATCATCCGCCATCATTGCCTTAAACTGAGCTTCCTTCATTTCTTGTAAACTATGAAGTAATTCTTGGCTCAAATTACCACGGCGTCTCGTATCACTGTATTTGATTTTCTCTAACTTTTTTTCTAATATATTACAATAAACAAATATATAGCAACAACGTTAAATTCATCATAATTTTTGACAAGATCTTTAATACTCGTATAGAAAAAGGGCATTAACATGAGAAGCACCACCGCAGATAGTTTATTATCTAGCATGGATACTGCTTGTGAGCATACCCAGTATCTGTAACTGTACTGTAGCACTTGGTTGAAAGACAATGTGTATCAATAGCTCTATGTTGTATTCCATATATTCAATTGTACGCACCTAATTTGTTGATATAATTTAGCGAATCATCTTGGTCAAGAGAGATTGTACTAGCATTACCCTTTTTTTTACTGTCAAAATTGCAACAGCTACTGGTATCGTTACAGCGGCGTTGAAGTGAAACAACCTGATTAACTTTTTGTACGCTCCAATTACCAAAATCGTCTTCGAAGTTCATTATAATCGTTATATAAGCATACTGTTTAAACAAGCAATCAATATATTGTCGAATGAAATAAAATCAAGTACAGCGACGTTTCCACGTAGTTCCTGGTCAATCCTGTCCTTCGGCCAAGATACGAGTCTGTGCTAATTAGTCAGGTCAGAGAATACTGTACAGTACTTTATATGTTCAGTAACAATGCTGTAAAGAGAAAATTCTTCCTAGAAATCCCAAACTGTACCGTACTATATTGTATTGTACGGTACTGTGCATTGTGCAATGTACAGTCTGTACTGTACTGCACTGTACTGTACTATAGAGTGCGCTAAACGCTGAAGGTCTGTGAAAATGCGATGTCTCACTCTGAAAAGTTACTTTTCAATGGTACCGCTGTAGCACTCTACTGTACTGTATGTACTGTACGCTTGTACAGTACTGTACTATACTCTACGTATGACAGTTCATAGACAACTAATACGAACTGCTGAAATTAGTTTAGTTTATTCATTTAGTTTTTAACAGGCTTACACTAGGTTATATTTTATTTTAAGTGAAACCTAATAGAAGTTTTGTGGATTTTATTAATTAAAACTAAAGAACAAAAAGTCATTTTTAACGGAACTACAGCACCGTATGACCGTACTGTACAGCATATAAACTGTAAACTGAGTAGAATACTCGTACAGTATGTACAATACTTTATGGTACTTGCATAATCCCAGAGAGCCAATTTTTTTCTCTACTTCATACTTATTACTTACTGTAGGTTTCTTATACCTTCAGCCTGCATTACAAAATGATGCCACATGTGTAGATTCCCTTCCTAGTTATTACACGTAATAGGAACATCATTTTTGCGAGTGATTTGAGATTGTCACTCACATTTATCATTTTCTCGCCAGTTACAACTGTTATCGATTAGTCATACGAACTCATACCGCAGACCCCTTAGTTTCTCCTCTTTCTACTAAAACGGATGCCGTGAGTCTAATTAAGTAACGATTAGCATTGCTACATAAAAAACCTCACCATGGCCTTTACACGACGTCTAATTTGCATATTTTTGAGTATAGAAATACAATATTTATTAAATACTGCATTCGTACGATAATATTGTACCTTTCTTCTTAACCTTAACTGAATTAATTGTAATTCTCCAGAGTTCCTATGCTATATATCAGAATGATATAGTAGATATCAAGCGTGAAGGATTTGCTGATGACAAAATTCTTATAAATTTTAACTTTTACTATTTAGTGGCTTATCTACAGCTACACCAGAACATATAACGCACTCTTATAGTAATAGAACAGCAAGGATTTTAAAAATACTTGACTGTTAAATCATGTCTATATCCGAAAAGATATACTGACGCATTTGATTACATGCAACTGTTAAGTAGAAAATGACGACAACATTGCACAGTAGTAATATAAATGCAATGTGTGGATAACACCTCTATTTGCATTTATACAGTAGTACTACTAAGCTAGTAACTGACTGTAATGAGTTGCGTATATTTTAGAAAGCAATCAACAAATAGTGTCAGCGCCAAATATTGCATATGATTACTACATTCGATAACCTAAGGACGCCACTAGATACATCTTTATTAGTCGTGCACGGTATACCGTACCAAAGACTTGCTTGAGTTTAACCAGCCTGTCAACCATTTATAGTACACAGCATAACGGATATAAAAGGATTTTATTCAAGATTTGTGACTGATCTATCATAGATGAAGTCTGAGGATGCGATGAAAACGAAAGTGTTACTTACCGATATGGTAACGTTTTAACGATGATAGTAGAAGCAAATAAATCATTAAATTTATTAAGGTATCTCAAATCATAGTAATGTGTTATTTACCGTTAGAATTGACATACCTAACCTACTTAAATCAAGATTACTAGTGCAAACTCCCGTCGCTTTGCTGACGGTTTACGATAATATGCTCATTTAACAGATAGTATTATCATTTGATAGACCTGTTACAACCCGTCACTTTAATTTACTAAAATGCATAAAATTTCGAGTTTTTAACCTTAATAATATTTATCTTAATTATGGTAGTTCTATCTGACAAAATCATGCCTGCTTCCGATACTGTTTACCCTTAAATGTACATTATAAACTAACGCAAGGTCTCTTTTTTTACCAATTGAAATCTCTTAAAATCTCCAGTATAACATTGAAATTTTAATTGTACCAGCATCATATGGCAATTAAATCAATTTTAGATTTTCAAATGTTTAAAATATTTATCTCTATTTAAGGCACTGTATGTAAATTCTGGAACGATTCATTATTATTTATCGATATGCCCTAAAATTATAGCGACGCGTTAGGACTCCTTATTTCAATATGAAAAAACCAAATAAGTGTAAGCAGTCAGACCGTAAAAAGAAGGCGGATAGGTTAGTCTTCATCAAATGTCAGCTTATGACAGCCCTATATTTCAATACAATAAGCGTATGTATGCATACAACATCAATAATTTTGGTTTAAAAATATTTATAATATTCACATTTAATGCGTATGTTAATATGTACATTGTTATCCTAATCCTATACTTATAATGACTTAATGTTCGTAAACTTACGTATAATACGAGTATTTTTTATCTAAACTCATAACTTAACTCTGTACTCGGTTAGCAGCAAAGACACTTTCTACCACACAATAACGTTACATTACTTTATAGACTTACTTACTCGTATACCATGTTATGGTAAATACTGTATACTTTATATGTAATCGCATATTTACGCTAGGAAAAAAAAGAAGAAAAAGAGTGAATCGTCATCTTCACACCATCTTTTAGCAAGCAAGAGAAAATTTTCATTCAAAAATATTGACCTTAAGGCCTATTTTAAAAAATGTGCTGATATATTACAAAATGACAGTGCATTCGCGAAATCTGATGCCTCAACATGCCAAAATGATCAGATTAACTACCAATCAGAATTATCATGCAATAACGGTATCATATTACCTTTTACCAAGCGCCCAATAGAAATCCTAGCATTTTACTGCTTATATCTTTGTAACTTAAAATGAAGATAAATCTTAAATATCAAATTTTATCATGAATATAACATTCTATGCATATTAACATACCGTATTATGTATGCTTGGTCATCTTTACATTGGCAGTTTTACTAAACATGTAAATCCTTAGAGTGTAAACATATAAATCCTTAGAGTCTAGTAATATAGGTCCTGTCCGATGATGATGCATCTAAAATATGTGTATTTAATTAAACTTTACTATAAAGACGCATCCTCCATTGAGAATGCAAGAGATCCCAATTTGACCGAGTCTGAAAATCTTGCTGTTGATGGAATCACTAACCAAGAAAAATTTACAGCTGACATGAAAATAGAAATGGAACAATCAGATTCTACGATTTCAAAGGGTAAACTACTTTAAAATCAAGTAAATTAGTCCATTGTTACCTGTAATCCATTACTGATTTGTCAACCAAGCTCAGAATGGAAATAAAGAGGATCTTTGCTTTTACTTTTCTAGATATCGAAACTAGTACACATGACGATTCTATGTCCATGACGGTATGCGATCAAGTAACTCCATCAATTCTAAGAGCATTAATGGTATATTTCGGAAAAACAATGTCTGGCTTTTTAAAATAAATATTTTTAAGATTACAGTATAAGTGTTAGCCAATAGCCTCGTGTAACGGACGGATTCTCTTACAGAATCCTAGTCGATTATACCCCGAAATGTATGCTGCGTTAAATTCAAATTTCTCAACGTCAGTGGATATAGTATCAAATACTGAAAATCAATCTGATGGCAGCAATCACGAAAATATTGAGGTATAAAAACACCAAATTAAATTAGTGCCCTACTTTAAACTTGATCAATGTTCACATTATATTTTTATGATAATTTATTACATGTGTTGGACAGCAATAGATCAGTAATAATAACATCTATTCTAAAATTGATAGATAGTACATGCATTACCATATTTATAGCCTTCTATGTTTCAGCCGTATGAGGACCCAATTCCAATCACTGCAAGTACTCGAATTTTGGATGATGTACGCTTAGCAAGCTTTACTACATCACAATATTGCAATCTTTATCAAGGGAATTGTTATTATAAATTAACAAAATATATATATTGATATTAAAAATGCAATAATACATGTATTATAATTATCCACAGTTAACTTTTAGTACATTTCTTCCATACAATGTGGCTTAAAGCTTCACTTTATTAAGTTAGATGACAGAAATTTCGGATATGCCTTCTACAAGCAATCATATTAGCACAAGCAAAAAATTATTTGAGAGCTTTATGTCCTATAGCGAGATCATCCAATCGGTAAAGCAAACACATTTTGTATGACCACCGTTAATTAAATTCGTATACTGAATTCTAATCAGAAACAGAAGCTAGCGGTAGATAATTGAGTTATAATGCAGAGTTTTCAAATAAATACGCTCCAATTTCAGGAGTCTTTGACCGAATGTTTCCTTATTGCAATGGAAAAATCAGAACTCAAACCAATGAAATTAAAGTGGTATGATGTTGTCACTCGTTATAAAAATTTGGAAGATGCTCCAATAGATATCATCATATTGTTTGATAAATATCGCTAAGTGCTTAATTAGTATAGTTAAACATTGGTGGAAATTCGATTGTCAAGTTGTGTGATGGCCCGATGAATTGATATACTAGTGATTATATGAAATTGTTGAATAACACTTCTTAAAGTTGATTACTGTACAAATTAGTTCGATGCCATTAAGATTCATGTCAGCATTTTCGATCCTACTATATTCCTCAAATATAATTATACTTTACCATACGTTACACTTCTACTAATTGCAAAATGGCGCAAAAAGCAAAGATGATATTTATCACTAAAGCTTGAAAATTACGCGGATACTTCATTTTATTACAATGCAGAAGGAAAATTGATGTTACATTTACACTTTTTTACAAGATCTACAAATGATGCTAAAATACTTAATCTTCATGACTAATAAATACGCTTCGTAGGAATATCCATCATCCAAGTTTCATATACATATATATATTTATATACTAAATAACATGTAAGCATCTGTAATAAAAATTACATTAAATTTTCGACTCTCATAATTGATTAAGCTCACAAGTCACTGATGTAAATCATTCCACATTCTTCGCTTAATTTACAGTGCAACGATAAGACACATAATAGATCTAGTAGGCTTAATATTTAATATAAGCCATATTCTGGGTGTGCCCAGATCATTTTGTAGATTCATTTGATGTGGTGTCTCTAGTGGATGTAGAGACAGATGGTGAAGAAATCTCAGTAGCTGCTGCAGAAGCGCTAGCTTTGTTATCTTCACTCAATTCCTTATTATCGGATCTTTCAGATAAATTTTCAGTCACAGTATCAGTATTTTTAACGTCTTCATCGGAATCCTCATCGTCAGCGTCGGTACTACTATCACTATCGTCAAACCTATTATATTAAATAGTATATTTAAGTACATCGCTGTAAATATTAAATTCATATAGCACAGAGCTTCCGTATAATAAATAGATAAAACCGACCAAGTTTTACGTTTCTTAACCGAGTCTGATGTTCCAGTAAGCGCTTTTCGCTTTTTCGAAACTTCAGTGCTTGATTGAGCATTCTTTAATCCTATTAAATTATACTTATTAGTATTGTAACAGATACAGAAAATATATCGTTTATTCACAGTTAACAGCATCTGAGACCTTGCTTTAGAGCATCTTCCACACTATCGACAGAAGCACGGACTTGAGCGGCATATTGATCGCCTTCAAATGGTTTTACAATTGGATTTAAGACACGTTGAATGCGTTCTTTCTTTCTTTCCTCTATTTCCCTTTTCCTTTCTGCTTCAGCATTAACCCAGTCTGCTAATCTAAAGGATTTGTTAAAGTAAGCTTGATCTTTACACGAGTAAAAACTACGCACAGTGAACTAGTTGGTTGATATTTCAAAAACATTCATAAACAATAGTATCCCATTAGGACACCATTTATTCATGGATGTGCAAATATAGGGTTTACAATTCACATCTATGAATTCAACACGCCAAGTATGTGTACTCGTATATTTAATTTTTGCATCTTCCTTACTTTTTTTCGTTATTAACGTCACGCATCCTTCGACCAGATAAATCTCGGCAAGCCTCTCGATTAGTCGTCTTTTCAATTTGCGCACCGATAGACCGTAACATGGAGCCAAAGCCTAGTAGCAATAAATAAACATTACTTTCGTTTATCATCGTCTAAAGGCCTCTCAGATAGTAATACAGTACATATAATACGCATTAAGGTAAACATTTACGTACTAAGCAGCTATCATTACTGCAGCAAACATCACTACACGCCTAAATAATTAAAAGTTAAGCGTTAATTGCAGCATTTACACGTACAATCTATTGCTGTACAGCAATTAGTTAACATTTTTATCATCAGTGATAGATAAATATACAATATATTAACAAGAGAAATCAATTTTTGTTAGAAGAGTATACATTGTTATAGCATGGATAATGCAATATGCAGTAACTAATCACCAATCAGTATATACTCATACGCGTGCACTAGCTTTTTTATTCTACTTGCCTCCCTTTCCGCCAAGCAGCCTATAATGAATTTGCAAACATAAATTACTACCACAGTAAATCGATGCATCGTTGCCGTAAGTTCTACCATTCACTGTCCAGTAAAAGTTCTCCGTTGGAAGGTTCTGAAAGAATAAGTGTTTTAGAAAGGGAATATTGATCCGTAATCCTTTAATTAATCTCGTGCGTAGGAGTAAATCATACTGTCCAACTCTTTTACCATCCTTTCACAATAATTACAATTCAATTCACGGGTGATATCAAGTGCATGTATTATTTGATACAGTACTCTGATTTCATTCTAATAATTAATTAACGGATCATAAATTGACGATAACACATCAAGGCATTTCGATTCTTAACTCGTTGAGTGGACAGCTAACTGTTCAACGTCCAATAGTCTAATTACATATTAATCAAAAGGTCCGCTTTAATATATTCTATTTAGAGCGAGTAATATTAACTGCAATTTCTTATGAATTTGATAGCATGAAAAAGCAGCCTGGTAAATTCAGCTATAGGGTGCGTTAAAAAACTAGAGATCTATAATATGTTCTATCTATTCAAGTAGTATTAAAATATAGGACATACACAGTATCCGTGTTTTGGTTTAAAACGCTTTCAAATGTTCAATTAAATTCATTTCTAAAAACGTACATTTTCCTTATTTTATATTTTACGTACCAGTTGCCGGGATATTAATTGCTGCAATTCGTCGCTAGTAAGAGAACTTTTATCGCTTACTAGGTAATGCAATTGACCATCACCAGATCGACAGTAGAAATTAGCCATTTTATAACTGTATCCTTCATGAACTGCAGACCAAATCAACTTGGGATTGGAACAAGCTGCGCATCAAAGCATCATACAATCACAGTATCACTGTACTGTACTGTACGGTCATGATGACTGTGAGTGTCGTGCTGTACAGTACAGTACTGTACAGTGTACAGTACAGCGCATACAGTATAAAACATTGAAAAACATACTGTACACTGTACAGTATAGTACTGTATGTATGGTAGACCGCGCTGTAGTACAGTACTGTACAGTACAGTACGTTGAACTGCAGTGAGCCAGTGACACGTGATACTGCTTCAATTCCACTCACTACTACTGTACAAGTGTACAGTATAGTGTACAGTACTGTAGAGTATACTGTACTGTACTACGGTGGCTCACAAGGCTCAGCGCAATACTGTACGCCGTAAGAACTGGTGATACGCTACAGAAATGATGTCACACAATCTTAATAAAAAATTTAGAGATTCTTTCAACGTCTTTTCATTTACGAAATTCGCAGAAACTCAACGGCGTAGAAGAATTTGACTTGAGCTGGTCAAAAGATGTAATTAAACGTAAGCAATGACCATAGTATACAATATGTTGCACGGTGTCATACCAGTATCGGGTTATTCGTGCGTGATTCCTGGTTATTGACCTGGGTTATAAGGCTTTATTACAGCTTGTTATTTGACCCACAGTAGGTTGTACTTTTGTACTGAGTTCTTGGGTTACCTGACTACGGTTATACCTACTGCCAGCGAACGCTGTGTCATACTGTCGTACTGTATTTAGTATTGCTAGAACTCTTCGTCCCCAATCTTTCCCTCGTTTAATAAATAAATTAAATTAAACGTTTCAATGTCTACGCCTCTACTTTTTTCGTGTGTCTTACTTATTGTTCTTCATTAGTAAGAAAAACGAAAAGAATAGACGAAAGATTTGAGACGTCTAGACTCGGGACGTAATGTTTCTAGGAAAGGAAGGATTCTAACTGTAAAATACGTAATGCTAATACGTATTTAGTATGAAAACTATCAAAAAAGAAATTGAGTAACCAGTGTCCTTAGCGACACATACATACCGGTATTGTTGGAGTAGTTGATCGTGTGAGTAATCGTGAGTCAGCAACTTACGGTACCTTCCTTTCCTTGCTGTACTGTAGGTACTGTAAATTGTACAGTGGGCACACTGCACACGGACCATTCAAAAACAGTACAGATGTACAGTACAGTACACGGTGCTAAGGCCGAAGGCAATAAAACCTTCTGCATCAACGATTTCCAGGCATTACAACACAAGCGGCTTTGCAACTTGTAAGATCAAGCTAGCAGACCTCAAGAAAAGACGATGGTTGTTAAAGTTCATATAGTTTACTGGTCAGTATTACTCAATCTAAAGTAAATGAGTTCTTATTTTTAAAGTCATAACCACTAATCTTACTAATAGCTAGAAAGTACATACAGTATATTATGGCAATATACAATACTGTAGGTGTAGAACTGTATATGAACCTGCGATATACTGTACTAGTACTGTATTTATAACTTGTAAAATTGAACGCCGTTTACAAATCTGCTTACTGTATAAACAAACAAAATGCCTGTGCATTGCACAGTAAGTATAGTATAGGTGGTACTGAAAAGTTTAAAATGTAAAATTAAAGTTATGGTCAATAACCGAGATGATAAACTAATGCTTAAATACTCTCATACAAAGTGTAATTATCTAATCCTTGAATCATTTTACTTTTTATCATTTTAGCGGCGCCTGAGGGTACGCTCCTAAGGTATGTACTGTACGTGGTTTCAATACCTGAACTAAATCTCTAGGTCGCTTCGTTCGCTAAATTGAAGTCCCTGTAGGATTAGATTTCCTGTGCACTTTTTTTATGATGAATGCAAACGAGTATAGCACTACAGTATGGCTTGCGACCAATGGTTAATTATTGTACTGTACTGTAATAACTGAGTCATGGGTTCCTTCGGAGCTACTTAAAAGCATGCTAACTATAATAGTGCTATATGCTCATACGTATCTCTATGTTTCAGCTAAATAATGGAATTTGCTCAAATAGACATACATGCCATCGGATTTGTAATCCTTTCTCTAACTAAATCTTATTTTAAAAATTAAATAGTTCAGAACTGTACGGGATATGCTCTACGATGAATTTGGGAACGATATCCAAGTTGTAAGTACATGATAGTAATTTAGCATTAACCATAAACGGATTACAGTATATAGTTTATATCGGTTAAGATAAAAAATTGAAGACAACACAATTAGTAGTCATCCCGAGGCTCATGACTGAAATGAATAATACTGACAGCTTATAGTACTAATATGACTTAATGATAATCTCCATCCTGATGTTTTATATTTTGCTCCGTTCGCCTGCAACCGTACAAATTTTACATCATGCATCATTGACATGCACTTACAGTGCATTTCAAGTGTATTGTACCTCACTCTGCCTTTGATTTTACAAATCTTCTCTACTATAAGATTGATCAGCTAGCATTCAATCTTTATTACTGTACAATCATGTGCAAATCAAGTCTCTACGCTACAAGTACATCTAATTTTGAACGCAACTGTAAAATACAATCGTAATTGCAAAATGAATTAGTGCATGCAATATACCGCAACACTATATACGTATCATTTGGAGCGTGCAGTTGTTAAAGTGTCCGTTAGTACTATGCTTGTACACCAAAATAATTTACAGCGGTGCAAACACGAACTGCGTTTCAAATTAAAGTGCCCTCATTACATATAGATGATAGCATGGTAGCGATTGAAAAATAATTCTTTTTCAACATACCGTATATAAAATAATGTTTCAAATTTCATCATACCAATGCTTTATCTACTCCAGACCGGTGAAGCAACTCCAGAGTTTACATCATATTTTGAAGTAAAAATTGTTGGTGGAAAACTAATTCATTCTAAAAAGGTAATTACGTCTAACCGAACTTTCGCTATCGGGTTATGAATGAAATTATCCTTAGATAAATAACCTACGTAAATATTTAATTTACGCGATCGAATTCTGCTCCGAGGGCTTGACATTTTTTCCATCTTACCTATCAGGCTGGTGACGGATATGTAGATACTGAGGCGAAAATGCAGAAGATTATTAAGGCAATTGGAGAGCACCTGAAGTAACAGGTCGACGAATCCTCAGTTCTCGACAAAGAAATAATATGAGTAAGTGTTTAAAGAATTCACAACTTTATTATATTTGCTGACCTGAAATACTGTATTAGCCTTGAATTACACTTCGGTAATGATTAAAGTGGTAAAATAATTATGAACGGTAATTAAAATCTGTTATTACCTTAACTAGGTTGGTGAAGAAATTGAAGGCTATGTAGATTTTGATGGGATACTCTGAAATCACACATTCGCAAAGACTATCCTTGATGATGCTCCTACTTATATGGAAGTCCTACAGTACCTTCTCTTGGTTTGCTTGCTGTATCATTTCTTTAATATCACTAAGATTTTCAATTTATCACGAAGTAGATAGATATCTTTGTCTGTGTATTGCATTGTAATTTCGCAGATTAGTTATGTTGTTTAAAAGATACAGTCAATATTTTGTCTCTACTTAGTCCATCTACTGTTGCTGTTGCTGTATCGTCAACATTCGGTATCCATCATAAGAAAGCGTTACGGTTATTGGAGATTGTCAATCGCTTATTTTAATCATCAGAATCTAGCTTTGCTAGAGTTAATACGATATTTGAAGACTATCTATGGTTTATTTAATTATCAGGCTCTAGCTATGCTAGAGTTGATACGATATTTGGAGACTATCAATCGCTTATTTAATTATCAGAATCTAGCTTGCTAGAATTAATACGATATTTGAACAGCAACGGCAGTCGTTATTAGACGACAAAATGAATAAAAAACCGTAGCTTCTTATTATCCTAGCCGTGTAAGTCATTCACAAATGAATTTTTGTACAACAAGGAATTAAAAACTACTGCACGAGTATGATTGATCAAAGAAGTAGAAGGTCTTTCATTTCAAGTTGTGGCAAAGCCAACTTGCACAAGATTAAAATTAACAGACCGATCATGACACAATTGTGATCGTTCTGTTAGCGAGTATTATACTCGTACAGTATATACTGTATATTTGCCAATCAAACTGTTTACCTTGTATAAATGAGAATTTACGGTAACTTCTAGGTTTTTAAATGACGTATTTCTATAATATACTAGCTTGATTGCATCAATTGCAATCCCAATCGCAATGCGTCTGTGCAAAACAGGTGCCATACCGTATCATACGATGTACTGTACATTTAGGACAGTAGCTATGGAGTTTTCTCAACTCTACAGTACTGTATGCAGTAGCCCTAGACCTTCATACAGGACAAACAACACTGCTGTAGTGTACACACAGTACAGTACTGTATGTACAGTACAGTTACAGTGTGTAGTACAGTACTGTACTGTATGCAGTAAAGAGTTCTGTTAGTATTGGACAGTACCGTATAAATCCACTCGGCAAGTAAGAACTAGAGGTACACAGTAAAACCTTTCTTACCTCTATGAGTACTGTTGTAAGACTGAGTTAATTTACGGCATAGCACTAACAATATCCACTGAGCAAAGTGGCCCATTCCATTACTGCAAGCCATCCATTCAAAAACTCCACCTAATAAATACTATTTTACAGTTATTTACAGTAAGTAAAAGAGAATGATAATAATCGATCCATTTGGTAATGGCTATTATTGCTAATTAAAGAAAAAGTGTAGTCAATTGTACTACGTGTACAGTAGACAGTATATTCTATCTATTTACAGTACAAGTTATTAAGGTTCAAGGATTTTACTGTACAATATTTAGTATACGTACAGTATATCAATCTTGGGTCAAATAAATTAATTACAAAATTCTTGATATTTATAACTGTAGCTACTGGTCGCAAGGAAGCTTGACGGTGACCCAAATTACTATCATTTTCAAAGAGAAGCCTAAAAGTGGATCCTACGACAGATCAGTTGCCATCGGGCACTTTACTTAACTACCTCTTTTGAAAACCTCATCAATTAGAATCATTCCATATCAGATAGAAAGTTCATCGAGTACAGTATGTGGTCTTGGATATCCAAAGTAAGTCAAGGTAAATTGAACGCCAACTTTCCATACGAAATGGGAGAAAAGATCGATTTTGGAGAAGAGATATCACCATGGACATTGTATGAAGGGAAAAAAATTGTATGTTAGCTAATAATTATATAATTATCACTGTTAACGTAAATGACTCCTAGAAGGAATGAGGCAAGATTAGATAATGTTGGAAATTTACGTCGTAAGAATATCAGGTCTTTCTAAATTACATTATTTCATAGACTAGCTATTAGCGATGGTTTATAGTATGGATTCAATACATGATAAGTATTGATAGATGCTCAAACGATACTAGCGACACTACGTAGTGATAGAAATATACAATCGAAATAATGATATACAGTACTTGGTTCTATACGAGTACGTCTTGTGTTAATCGTATTTATTGATAATATCATTGATCCACAAGTGTAGAATAAACTGCCATAATAAACCAATAGCAATAACTTAAAGTTTTGTGGGAAGATATATGACGATCTCTATATCTTTCCCAGTTTTAACCATCCAGAACTATATTCAGTAGATGAAGTTATCGGCAAAGTCTTACCTTACTCTATAGTCAACTATGCAGTATTATCCCATCACTTATCTGACACGTTTACCAAATAATAGATTGAAATCACCATGCCAAGGGTATTAGATGAACAATCATTTTGTATGCATTTAAAGATCATACACGTGCCTCATATTTAATATAGAGTGCATTTGTACTATTGTACATACGCACGTACTCGTATTCGTATAATTAAGATTTCCAAACTGTTTATCAAAATTAATATACTGTGCCATGACTGTATTATACATATTATCCCTACTCTACTGTCTTATGAGAAGTAAAACTCAGCTAAATCAGGAAATATATAATACTGCAGCACTTTCTTCACCATTATGCGAATCCTAGCAAGATACAGTATATTGAAAATCAGCTCTATACTACTAACACTCTGCTCTATCTCTTTATAGAATGGAGGTGAAAAAGTCTCAATATTTATTTGCGACATTAGCAAAGTTGGCACTGATCAGGTTGGTTTAGATATACTGTAATAGTAAAGTATATATTTGGTCATGTATAATATATACCTCGCAACTTACAACCAAATGAAGTGCATATTTAGGGTCTTAATGCAGTATTCTCATATCGCAGCTAGTTCGTATCCTACCTATAAAGTTTTCTAGATTATACCACACCCTTACTCGTTCCAATTTGAATCTATTTTTAAACGCTATGTAGTATTTTGTACCGTCTAGTACATGCGTGTTGTATAGAATGCTAGATTGAGAACTTATACAGTAATACATACTATATACATTAATTATAGATTGATGATAACAGTATTTACACCATCCAAAGACAATGTTTCTAATGTTCATAACTGAAGAAGAAGCTAAATTCTTTACTTTCAAGCGTATAGAATATATTACCTCTTTACTGTAGCTAACTTTCCACTAATGTAATCGTCTCGCCATAATTACTTTGTAGGGTAATGTTGCCAAAGCTGATTACAAGCGTATTAAAACGACGAGACATCCTAACGTTTTGAAATATATCGACGGACTAGAAGTAAGATTGATGATATTATTTATGGTAAAACGTATGTAAAATGAGCAATCCGCAAACTAAATAAAATTAATTTCTGCCTTTCATATTAGTTAATAAATTACTATTTTTATTCTTTTAACGCTATGTTTATATTTAAAATTTGCTAAATATTTTTAACTAAATTAACTCTAAATTATGTTGGTACGTGCACGCATAAAATATAGACTGATGGTAATATTTCGCTGGTAACGGAACATGTCGTACCGTTAATCGATTACGTTAATGAAGAAAGCGATCGCAATGAATATGAAATTTCTTGGGGACTATATCAGATACTAGTAATTGCTTCAGTACTGCTGTTTAACTAATTTTATGAAATATTAACTAAAACAATATTTAAAAGCATCATCTTTAAGTTACACTCCTTATTTTATAGAAAATTGCATCCTTTCTCAATATCGATTGCAAAATAATCCATAATAACATCACTATAAATTCCATTTTCGTCGATAAATTTGGCGACTGGAAACTGGGCGGTTTTGGTTTTGCTCATAATAATGCTGAGCCATCAACCTTAATACCGACAAAAGTCTTCCCAGCTCTCAGTAAATATAAGCATTACTTTCAAGACGAAGGGAAAACTGAATGTTGGTATGTCTTATTTATTAATAATCTTTAAATTACACTTCCTAAAAATTATTTTATTTAAATAGTTCTTATAAAATCTTCTTAATTCTTCCTGGACTACACTTCCATAATTGTTTCTCTTTTAGGTCAAATGATATACAATCTATAGGCAGTCTTATTTGGGAATTATTCAATGGACCTTTATCGGAATCATCCTCATTGAGTAATACTATGAAGGTAAGATCTTGTCAAGTATCATTTTATTACCGTGCTTTTAAGTTAAAAACCGTAACGTAGGTATCTATCTCCGTCTTTTGTTAAGTATACTTTACTACCTTGATTACCACAGATCCCAAAATTATTAATAACGCATTATCGAAAAATGATAAGTCCGAAACCTCATTTACGTCCAAGCCCGCGCCAACTAATCGACCATTGCAGATCTGATGGTGGCTTTATGAAGAATAGTTATGTAGACACTAATCTATTCTTAGAGGAATTACAGGTAAGAACGATGTAATTTGATTGTTTCATGTTGCATATAGTTTTTCAATCAAATTTAACACTTCTACATACCGTAATATGTCATGATTAATAATTACATAGATTTTATTTTCGTATTTTTTAAAGCTTATCGAGTTAAAATGATCTTTTATGCAACATGATCATATCCCTATGCCAAAGCTATTTTTGTTAGCATTACTAAATATCAAATTCATTTTCTTAGCTCAAAGATACAGACGAAAAAACGGCATTCTTTAAATCCTTAAACGATCATGTAGATGAATTTCCTGTCAAATTTTGTAAACAAAGGTTGCTACCACAATTAATTAATGCTTTTGAGTTTGGCGGGGCTGGATCCGCAGTTCTACAGCCCTTAATAAAGGTGATTCATTCGTATAATATATTGATGTGCTCAACAAGTGTGATCCACTTAATTCCTAATAATTATGACCATTAATGAAACTTATTTTATACTTTATGATAGATTGGACGTCATCTAACAGATGAGGAATATCAAGAAAAAGTTATACCGTGTATTATTAAGTTGTTTTCATCGCCAGATCGAAGCACTAGGATTAATCTGTTACAGCAGGTACATTTATGGTCAAAATAACCCTACGAAACATTTTAAAACCCTCTTAATTTCGTATAAATATTTTATCTCATATATATATATACAAATTAATGGATTACATGGATCTTCTGCTTGTTAAAAATTTAACTATTAGATGGAATTTTTTGCCAAATATCTAAATCCAAAAGTAGTCGACTCACAAATATACCCCCAATTGGCTACGGGCTTTACCGATACTGTACCGGCATTAAGAGAGGAAACAATAAAAGTATTGTAACGCTCAATAAATTTTGTTTTTTTTGAAAACTAACTATTGATGTTTGTATTAATTTTTAACTTACATGTAAGTCTATGGTTCTGCTCGTTCCCAAATTATCGGAATCAACTATTTCAAAGGATTTACTAAAGCATTTTGCTATACTACAACAAGATGAACAATCTAGTATTAGGACTAATACTACGATTTGCTTGGGAAAAGTTGCCTGTCACTTCAGTGAAGCCGTAAGTTTCATTAAACAGCAAATTAGAATATCCGAGCATATATTGCCCTAATTTTTTAAAAACTCCTGCTAAATTTTGCGCTATGCCGCACCTCTTCCCCTGATATAGATCTACTACCAAATGCTCACTAATACGATAGATATCTATTCGACTCAGTACACAGATAAATTATGATTATCTAATATAATTGCAATACATATACAGAACTATAGAATGAAAAATTTCTATTACTAGTTGTTGGTATAATTATGGCACATTTTAGTAATTCAATGTAACTACAATTGCATCACCGAATTACTGAAAGTCTGTTCGGGTTTCTACTCGTTTGTTCTATTTCATGAAATTAATATATTTGCAATTTAGACTCGCCAGCGGGTTCTGGCAACAGCTTTTTTACGTGCTATGCAAGATCCATTCCCACCTGCTCGCATTGCTGGCATTCTCGGATTTGCTGCAACTAAATCTTACTACTCGCAAAAGGATATCGCGGAAAAAATTCTTCCTAACTTATGCTCGAAAACTTTAGATTCTGATAAGTCAGTAAGAGATCAGGTATTGAAATGCCGATTTACGGTTGCTATATCATTTCGGTATAATAAAACCCAATATACTTTTTAAAAATATATATTTTTTGTATATGTAAGCTGTTTTCATTTCATGCGTTCCAAGCTCAATTTATACCACTATTCATCTCCATTATAGATTTTTGCAAGTATTCGACAGTTTCTAGCTATTATGGAAAGCTATTCAGAGCAGATGAAAAGGGAACCTACTGAAAATGGTAAATTGAAGATATGGAAATGTAGATTGTTGATAAATCTTTTTAACTAGATGACTAAATTTTCTATTATAATTTAGCACTCTTATACGCCTACAGTACATTCGGTAATTTGTCAACGGATTATATTTCTGAACTTGTGCATGAAAACATGTTTTACCTATTATAAATAAAGGTACCGTAAATGACGATCAAGGACTCGCCGCAACTGCTGCAGGGGCTGCCTCTTCCTGGGCTGGTTGGGCTGTAAATTCGCTAGCGTCTAAAATAATTACGAAAGGCCCTGATGAAAATCAAACAGATAATACCAAAAGTTCTAGTAATGGTAAGAGAAACCTGCTTTATTTTATGATGTTCGCAACAACAATTAACCTCTTCATTGGTGATACTATAACACTAAATGCACATATAATCTACGCATTTTTAGATTACGAAAGAACTATTGTGAAAGCAAATCAAGATACCCACGAATCGAAGCAAAAATCTGCGGAAGATCTCAATGGAAAAACATATAAAAATGATTCTCAGCCAGATATTGATTTTAGTGGAGGTGGCTGGGAAAATGATTGGGATCAGCCATCATTAGTTAGTTGAATTATAACTAATAGCCACGATCAACCTATCTCGAATTATGTTTTTTTATGTATAATCATAATTTATGTTACATTTCTTAGGATAATTCCATGAATGATAAAACTGATGATTGGGATGATGTTAACTGGGAAACTTCATTTGGCGATAGTTCTATTAAACAAAGTAAAGGAAAACAGCAGGTATTGTTAAAGCATCATAATTAGGTATTATTAAGTATTGTGTTGCCAACGTAGGTTATTTTGTCAACAGTGCAATGTGCGCAGTATTTTGATCTACAAATTAATCGTTCTTGCTAAACTACAATCGATTATATGATATAAATATTGGTATTTCTAGTAGGGGCTAATAGAACTAAAATTATTAATTTACCTTTTTAAATTTCGAATCAGAATGCATATAGTGACATATCAGCAAAGACTAGCGAATGGGATCAAACGTCGGATTGGAATACAACTGATTGGGGTGACAGTCAATCACGTAATTCTAATGAACAGCAAAATACTGCAAATTCAGGTAATCCGTTGCTATCGCAAATGTTTCAGCTGGGACTTAAAGTGATAACTCAAACTGAAGTATCATTACCATTACGCTTTCATCTTAGCTTACTACTATACATTGCAGCTATTTCTATTTTTATTCGAACACGTAGGTGGATGGGATAATGATGAATGGGAACCTTTCGAAGAAGAGGCACAACGAGAACCATCGCAATCCGCTGCGAAAGAGTCTTCCCCATCAAAAGTACAGACTTCACACCAGAACAGAAAAGAAGAAAAGTCTCTTAACACGGAAAAGAAACGAGAAGAAAGGCGACAACGCCAGCAAGCATTAAAAGAAAAAAGAGCTGCTGGTGCGAAAAAAAATCGACCCATGAAACTTGGTGCCGTTAAAAAATCTGACTAACCTACCTAAATTGAATTAAATCATACAGTATTACATTTATTGTCAAAATTGATGAATTTTGTAAATATTAATTAATTTTTAACAATCAAATTATCTATGTAACGGCTAATAACATGTCGTGATGCAAAACAAGATTAAATATTGCTATCGTTATTTCTTACAATAATATGGGTATCATATGAAGCAGCAGATTAAATTCTTCACTGAAATAATACGTATCTTAAATTTTATTAATATATACTCATCCGTGCTTAATTTTTTTATATACGGAAACAATCATTCTATTACTAACAAAGTAGTCAGCAATATCTAGCATATTAATAAAAATGGCAACAAAATTTGCTCAGTGATTATTAGCTAATTGAATATCAGCTGCCTATACAAGTAAATATTGATACTGCAACAAGTATGAAATTACATCATCTGCCGTTAATGATTTTGGAAGAGTGCTATAGAACCTTAGAGAATGGTTTTAAATTGTATTAGTTATATCGATAGGTTCTTAATTTATTTCAGTTTTGATAGTTCTGCAATGTACTCGGTAGTTGCGGTACTAGATTCTCCAGTATTATATCTTAAGAGCAACATCATAATTATTATTATAATCAAGGTATTTTTACTGAATACTGCCGACTGTAATAAAATTGGTTTCTTATTACTGGTGTGTGGTTTGTCCTGTAACACAACATAGAACCTGAAATCATAAATCTTCAGTAGATTGAGAAAAATACAAAACTCTAATCATCTTTCAACCAGACCGGAATAATGCCAGTTATTGCAAATTGTACACAATACAATAGCTCATTTATGATAGGTATCAAAAGCATTCATACCTACAGTACCAGTAATGACTAATTATTTCAGATGTAACTACTGATACTAGAAATTAATAAACGATGGCGTAATAAGTATTAAATGATCTCCGCATGATTTGATTACGTCATAAAAGAATATTTGGCATCATACGGTACATTTATTTATTCTAGATACTATTACGAGCATATTATGCAGCTAAGGAAGCCTAAGCAAACTCAAACATTCCGTTCAATTGTATGGGTTGTTATCTAGTATTATTTAACGACATTAGCGTTTAAAAAATATAGCACGGACTACAGTACTTGATATGGTGCATCTAGTAGTCCATAATTATAGTATTTCATATATACAGTACAATGCTTGCTGCATGTACCGTAGGTGATACAATAACATACTCGTATACTATAGAAATGGTAAAGTAGATAATTCCATAATTCACAAAATTGAACCATACCCTTCTATATATATTTAACCGATTTTATATTTTATATACCACACGATAGTATTATCATGCCATGATATGTTAATATCAACTTCTTATAAACGCTGACACAAACTCTTTTTTGATTTAAGTCGTAGCGCGCTAATTACCCTCAAATATTTGTAATACCTAAGTGCAGAGCTTGTTGCATTACAGTATACACGTATGTGAAAAAGCATATTAATACCGTATCACCTATATGAAGACATAGTCAGAGAATTGAGTAATAATAATTTACTCAATATCAGCCAATAAGACTTATTTGTGTATCTCTAGACTCTATCCCCATTTGGTTACTACTTTATCATCTTTTAGCAGTGGCAAATATCCAATAAAGGTAATAAAGCAAAGCAAACCTATAGGATTTATGTTGAAATTAACAGTAAATTAATTATATTACGCATTTTGATAACTACTACGGGTTAAAATTACTTCAAGAACCTGATTATTGATCGATGTGTAATCATGTAATTAATACTGCATTGCTCGAAAATTTCTGTAGCCAGATTCGTCATTGGCAGAGTAGATCTACTTTTGTCTTATTACCTTACCTGTATGACTTCCTATATTTATATGACTGGCCAAAATTTATTTATATTATTCTAATGAAAACATAGTCCAAAGGTTATAAAGCAGTGATCCCGTGAGAATATTTGCCTGTAATATTGTACGCCTTGGAACAACTCAAATCAAGAACGGCTTAACTAACATGTCTAATACTAGATACAATCCATCACAATTATCTTCAATCGTAAGAAATAGAAGATTCTTTTAATTCTTGTCACTGATCAATCGTTAGTCTTTCATTTACAATGGTGAAAGACAATATCAATCTTATTTTATCGTCAGAATGAGCTTATAAAAGGAAACTATAATGTACACCTTTAATATAATTATCTAGCTTTATTCCTGTTGATCTACTCTTGTATTCAAAATAGTCCCTGTTCAGTGGCTATCTCAATATCTCGAAATCGTCAGGATGGAATAGAATGGCCAAAAAACGCTGGATTGTTATTACACTAGAGTCGTTGCAATACTATCGTGAAAAAGATGTAAGATATTATTAATCATTGCAATCTATTCTATCATTTTTTTCTTAAATCGTTAGCATATTCTCACAAATTTTCAAGATATATTATATATCTTTTGAAGCTTCTTCTAAATTGGATTTATTTTGATAAAAGAATAACTTTTAATCAATATTTTCAGTTAATATCACCTTTTATAACTTCTTCAGGACACTAAGGTAGCAGGTTCCGTATCATTAATTGGTTGTACTATTAATGAACTTTCGATAGAAAATGGGGAACATCGATTTGAAATATCCAGTGAGAGTTAACTTGTATTACGTGGAAAAGGATTATAGAAATGCATTATTTCTCTACATTTTTACTATTTACTATACAGTCAAGCTCATGACATGTTCATGAGTAGATCAAGGGTATCCAAACTATACTAATGTATCTTAATCCTTTTAAGATCCTCCTGACAATCATGTCATTAGTTCCAATACTGCTAAAGATATTGAAGATGCCATAAAAGCTATTAGGAAAGGAATGGATCAAGTAATTTATTTTTATACTGAAATAGTAAAGTAAATTCTATACAGCAAGTCTATTCGACAGATATTGTATGATGATTAACATCTTCAATGAAAATCATTCCAGTAATTATGCTAAAATACAGTAATGTAAAGATAGCAAATCATTCAATTTTAATTTTTCATCTATATATATTTAAAAATGGTATAGAGAGAAAATGCAGTTTTTGGTCAGAGATTAAGCCAAGTGATACGCCGCCAAAGTACTACCTTATCCAAAGGTTCTATTCCCAATGTTGTACGAGAGAGCGTCAAGTTTATTCGATCAACAGGTTACTACTTCATGATATAGCGTAACCATATCTGATGACAACTTGTGCAGATTTTTCTCTTCTTCATTATTCTTATTCTAAAAATTGAAAAAATCAGACCAATTTATTATTTTACCATAATACAAATCAATATGAAATAGTTTTATTTATAACTAATTTGCAGGCTTGGACGAGGAAGGTCTTTTCCGCCTTCCTGGCAATACAAATAAAGTTAAAGACCTTAAGGCGCATTTCGACGAAGGTAAGATCGAGTTACAGAGATAGCAAATCGAGTGCATTCACTCATAATAATTACATTAAATTGTAAAAGAGTACATAGCAAGTATTTAGCTATGAACTTAATCTTTTTTTATAGTTATCCTGATAATTACAGTCTTACTTTACTGCTTGGTGTCTGTCACGATAAACATTCTTATTTAATCTAAAATTACTGAATCCCTATTCACATTAGTACATTCTTATAGTATACCTACTTAAATGTCATCATATACTGATTATTGGATAAAACCTCATACCTGAATATTCCGATATATTATATGCTTTTTTTACGATATTTCAGTAGCAGTAAAGTGTTTAATATGTCTTATATTCACTTCAATAAATTACGGAGAGTGTGCAACAGTATAATAAATCTTAAAATCTCACCGATCTAGCTATGCTTCTATCCATATTAATAAGTACAGTAAAAAAATTTCAGCAATGTCGCGGTAGATGAAACCCTAATAGTAATAAGACTTGCCATAGGAGCTATATTTACAATATAGTTCTATGACATAACTCGTTATTAAAGAAGCAATTAATTGGACGTACTTGTTAATTCACCAATTGACAAAAAGGCTAATTAGAAAGATATTCGTAGTATTACGTAAAATATCCATTTAAAATATTATGGTAAAACTTTGACCTTTATATTCTTCGTAGGAATTGATTATATCATACCAGAAGAGACTGATATTCATACCGTCGCATCATTACTAAAACTCTATCTACGAGAATTGCCAGAATCATTGATTCCGAGTGAAAATTATGATTTATGTGTGATAGCTATCAATAGTAAGCTAGACTATTGGCGCCTTAATGTTGAATATATTTTTAATATGAGAGATTTTAGCATACGTAATCGCTATCCTAATCGGATACTTTGTCATTGATGTAATTATTTTAGCATATGATGCAAATAAGTTTAAAGGTATCAATCAAATCATTCAAATACTAAATGAAATTCCAAGTGTAAATTATGACCTTGTCAAGTTCCTTATGTACGCTTTATTTTTCCATAATTTAACAATAGATCATTCCTTAAAGTAATATTATTTCTTAACTAAAATTTTTTTAAATTTAGCTACTGATCTAAAACTGGGATCTAAATAATTGATTCATTACCACTTCCAGGAAATTTTTAAATGATGTGCAAGAATATTCATCGATGAATAAAATGGATATTGATAACTTATCTACCGTATTTGGACCCAATATGCTGACCGTTAATGTAAGATCAAATAAATGAAATCGTGTTCGAAAAACTATCATTAGGGCCTTAATTACTGAAATTTTTACATGCATATTGGATATATGCTGATGGTATATACTATTCTTTCAACTACTACTAGATCTTTAACTGTTTTTTTTATAGTTCCATGACCCTGAAGTGCTAATGAAAAGCACCAAAATGTTGGCTGACATTACGAAAGTTTTAATTCGACATTATAATGACATTTTTGTCATCAGTGCTTCGAAACCAGATGGCAGGTAATTATTAGCGTCAATCCCACAAACTTTTTATTACATTTCTATTTTGGGAAATAATTTCCTTATCAAATGGAACTAAAATCTATTACAGCGTAGAGTATAATTGTCATTGTTACATTTATACGCATATTCTTGTCGATTTGTATAAAATTTTCACCTAATTTGATAGCTGAAGAATTTCTGATAGTTTAACAAAGGTAAAAATTACACATGTGTATCTGTCACTCAATTTTTTGTTTGAATAGTCTTTACTACCGAACTTTATTAATATCTATAGTTGTTTAATTATAGCATTGCTTATTTTATTGCTGGCAATATTACTGAATACAGGACATATAATTTTATTGCAAAGATTAGAAAGAATTTCTGATTTTTATCTAGCAACTTATCTGTATAGAATTGCGCGTATTGTAAATTTATTAGCTCAGTGAAATTTCTTTAATGATTTCTAACTTTAATTGTTAATTTCACAATATAGTTAAAGGTAACCCTGATATTATAATGACCACATAGCCAAAGCATAAGATAGCAAAGACGAAGTCATTTTATCATGCCAAATAATTCTGATGAACAAGGAATTGGATAAATGATGCCTTGCTTGTTAAGATCTTGCTTTGTTTTCTGTTCTTTATATTAAAATCTTAGCGATCAGAGCAGAGAAAGTACTATATCAGAAGACATTTATCAAGATTTGGAAGTTGCTAGTTCGCAGTTATGTAAGTCGAAAGTTATTGCTCATAATAATAACAACTAAAATTAGTATCCTTGTAATGATTTTGGTATTACTGTAATTTTATTACATAGAGATAGTAAACGATTAGTATTTACCATTGATAAATCATACTTACATATTTTCAAAAATTTCCAGCTCAATCCTACAATACAGCTAGTACTGAAATTACGATATTAGAAAAAGAAAAGTCTAAACTGAAAGGTCAGGTAGATAAGTTAGTGGGCCAAATGGAAACATTGAAGACAGAATACGAGGACAAATTAAAGGATTTAATAAAATTGCTTGAAACTGAAAGAAAAACAACCCGAGTATTGCAAATTAAATTGAAATACGAAAGAAGAGCAAGGTCTAAATTTGTTAATTTATTTTCTTATTCTAGATCATGATAGATAAGAACATATTTTAGAACAACTAATACATGAATCGATCTTTATCAATAGCGTATTTATTAGCTTTCTTTTGTAATAGGTTGACTGTAGAAGATAGGAATGCACAACTACAAACCGAATTAGATAGGTTGTGTAGTACAATGCTTGAGGAATAAGTCGATAATTTTATTCGATAGCATCACAATTAAGATTAATTAATATTCTTATGGGAGTGAATTTATAAACCGCTATAATTAAGAATATTTCTAAGCTTAATTTGAGGTAAAAAGTCTTGTATGGTGAGTGTTTGCAATGTAAGTGTAATTTTCACTCTGAAGTTCTTTAATTACACAGTGTTATAGCCTCGTTGGATATAATTTAATGCCTCAGTCGAGATATAAATTCTTCAAGGATGTTGTATTCTAAATAACCGATTGATAAGCTTTTCCTACCTCAGTCACGACTTGGTAGTCACACCAAGACATGAATTCTTCATAGTTTACTGAGTATTTTACCATGATAATTTCGGTTATATCATTTCATAGCTGAATTATTAACAATATAAAATTACCCTCTAGTTTCGGATGAAATATCGTATAATTAATTACGAAATGAGAATACCTATCTTTAGGTGGATTGCATACGAAATAGTAAAATGATAGAATTAGCTAGTTTAGAAATCGTAATTGATGTAAAGATTGAATAGTCGATAGAATCTCCGTGGAATTATCTTCTTATCCGTGTGTATCTTATCCACTAAATACGATACTCTGTGTGTGCTTCCTGAATCCAAATAACAATAAATTATTGCAGTTGCTAAATATAAATGATATAATGGTCATAATCATGCAAATTAAAGCAATGGCTTCTAGCATTGAGACTTTCTTTCGATCAGAAACAGCATCATTCCAAACTTGTAATATGTTAAATATATATTATATTATATAATTTATAATTATTAATTAATTAAACACGAGTATGATATAAGGAAGGTCTGACCTCGTGAGATGAATAGTTTTTAGGAATAAATCCTCAGATACTACAATAAGTAGGTATTTCGGTTAATAAATAAAGTATATTAAACGTAAAGATAATGGGGACCCATTCGATTATACTGCAATGTTGAGAAGTTAAATCGCTGTCTGCACAGATGGTGATGACGTATCGACAGTATATTAGTAGTGTGGTGGATCTTGAGGTTGAGTAGTGATACTTTTCATAAAATGCAGCTCGCACTTTGCTACTAGTTTATAGACTTTATTGAAGGCTGTGCTGTACATACATTAGCAGAGTCATTGAATGATCGTGTGAAGCAAAGCCGAAGAGGTCTTAAGACTTTCCTTTTTACAAGATTCTCGCTCTAATGGTAACGGATCGTTTTGTAACTTAGCAGCGTCGTACTATACAGATATTAAAGTTTACTCAATTGCTAGACACTACACAGACAAGCATTTTGATAGCATAACATGTTGATAATTTGTAATCTAAGATTATTATAACTTAGAACCTACCTGTTATAATTACAGTATGATTAAATTATCAGACATGACATTACGCTACGGTTCGGACTTCGTGTGTTAGTCTAACGATACACATATTTTTAATGATTATTCGCGACAAGTAGACTTGTTGGATACCCGTATACAGCAGTGTCTGTTCATTTCAAACGGGTATTTCTACTACTTGCTACGGGCAAAGAAGAAATCTAGGAATCGTGCATGATGAATATAGAGCTCAAATCAAAGCAGTCGAAAAAGAACCATATGGCTATGGCTCAATTAAACAAAGGTGGTAAACTACTGTACACCAATGGCAGAAACAACAGCAGAGCAATCGATCAGTCTAATATATATAAATCAATTTGTTTAAATAGTTGTGATTTACTGTATTGCCACTATAGCACGTAATTGGAGGCGAAATATGGCGGTGTAGATACAAAACGCTTAAATTACTTCCATCCTTTTAATTAGGTCAGAAATTGAAATAGGCTAGGTTTACATTCAATTCAAATCACTGGCCCTTTGCTTTATTAAAGCATTGGTACAATCCACTAAGGGACTACTGTAACTGTACTGTACGGTATTGTATACAGTATGACGATGACTATAAAAAATTGCATCAATAATCGACGTTCAGGCAAATAGGGAAGTAGGAGGAATTTACATGACTATACTGGTATATATTATTTTGCAAGGCACTGATCACCACTACTAAACATTGCGTCACAAATCACCAATCCAGAAAGAAAAGATGGCTGTAGCTCCAATCTTGCTTCGAATGGTGGCTTCGTCCGTATCACTGGCTGCTTCGGCTGGCCAACATATTCGTAGAATTATGAAAACTGGACATCTTGAAGTTATAGATAAGGTATTTTTCATATACAGTACTGTAAGTGTATATTTCCAGCACTAGTCATACCACGCTACTTAGTGGATATCGTCTGCAATCGCCGGTAGCAGAAGTACTAGTCTACGATTAGAATATTAATTCTAGCGTAGGATGAGGTAATCAAGCACGAATACTGTGGTTACTCCAACACTTTATAATTAATTACCGACATAGTACATTTCAATGATATCCGCTTTTAAATACAGTATATATTAATCCTAAGAAAGGTTTAATATCACTTTATTGTACTATATACTGTGTTGTAGACCTGAGAAAGGTTTGGTTTATGTTCTACGTCTGCTATACTGTACAATACTGTAGTACCCTACAAGCAAACGTCCAGGGTGGTACAGTAGTAGCAAGAGTTGACATTGGATAACTTACTGTTAATAATGATCTTCATGTAGATCTTTTTTCTGCAAAGATACTACTAGCGCCAAAAAGAAATAATCAGCATTTTACTGTTACTTCCTAGCGATGGAGAGATCGTCAGCATTTTAGAATCGTCCCGTAGCTAGATGTCGGGGAGGACAAACCTGACAGTAGCGATCCGTAGGGTCCAATTTCCTAGTCATTGCTTTCGTTCTCTTCGATATAAATTTCCTTTTGTAACAATTGTACTTATGTGGAATTTTCGTCGTAGACAATATAAGCTGATCTTCTTTGATTAATTATTATATGTGTAATATACTATATCGTACACTGACGATATTTATTATGCCTTCGTACTCACAGTCAGTACTTGAATATTCCATGAAAGTGAACACGACCGATAATGCTATCATCGATATTATTGTTGCAACGCTAATGTCAATTAACGTAGTGATTCAATTGCTTTATAAACAAGGTGTATAAAATTGATTATGGTATAAGTACTGTATTGTAACCAGGATCAGCTATTACTAGTCCTAAATACTGTATTATGCTGTAATAATCAGTCATAATTGCCACTTAAATTACTTACGCCTATCAGAAAGTATACTTGTACGAAATTGAAGCACTAATCTATATAGGAAATCAGTCATATTTTACGGTTACCAGTATCTAGAATCAAGCCTACACAACGGTAACTTACTCAGCTAATCGTTGAACTTGATCTTTGATCTAACATAGGGAATTAATGATCCGCAAACTGAAGCTGACCGTGTTGCTCAGCAGCATATTATCGGTTCGTTAATAAGGCAATATCCAAAGGCAACCATCATTGGAGAAGAAGTAATGAAACTTCACGAATAGTGTTTATTAACAATTGCTAATCTTATTATTGTTCCTAATATTATGACAAACTAAGAATAGACTGTAGTGTAATAAGTTACCGTAAAAAGATTTACGTCACTTAAAACATTTATAGATTGATTCCCTAATATTGTACTGTGAAATTAGTTAAAGACAAGGCTGTATTATACGCGTACGTACACGTTATTATAGAGAGTATACAACTAATAGTGAATATTTAATTTATTGCTGCAATTCCAGACTATAAAATATTTTGTACGATATTTTTAAGAATAAGATATGAAAACAGAGCTACTTGATTAAAAGTTTTACCATGTTCATGCCGTAGGATGAGAAGAACATCTGAGAATGCATAGAATTATTAATACGTAGAACCCTTTATTAGCATATACTGAATGAATTTATAATAACTTGATCGCCTTCATACACAATTTTCATATGCGTATCTCAATTACAAATTATGGCGATGAGGGCTATTTTTAATGTTATCAATACTGTTAACGACTTAATTTAAATGAAATCACTCCGCTATTATATAAAATTTGAACGAGTTAGCTGGAATAAGTTCAATATGTATAACGATATTAGTATTTTAAATATTCTTGCTGAACTTACTTAGGATCTGGATCCAAATGATATTTCGCCAGAATTATTTTCTTCTGATTCAAGTGAAGATGTTCTTAAACTAAAATGTCATGAAAAGATACACAGTATAAAAGAAGAAGATGTCGTCGTTTGGGTTGATCCATTAGACGGAACTAGAGAATTTGCACAAGGTTTTCGCAAATTGTATTTATGTCAGTTTCTTTTCAATGTTGGATCCTGATGATAGGCATTACTATTTGTTAAAGAATAAGCTTACTAGGACTCTGATACGCTATTCTAGTCTAAAAATACTGTAAAATGATGATTATACTTTTTTATGGAATTACTTCAAATTAGGACGATATTTAATATGTTATACTTGCAAAAGTTAATAGATTACTCCTTCATCTACCTGTACATGTAAAATTTAAGATAAATTTCTGCATTTCTATTCAAACTAATTTGCCCTTTTACACTGTAAATCGAACTTGCTCGTAGAGTACGCCATATTAATTAATTATTCTATTGCATTGACTAGGCTTCACGGACCATGTAACTGTCCTAATTGGATTTGCATTTGAGGGTAAACCTATTGCTGGTATCATTCATCAACCTTATTATAAGAACAGTGAGAGTCGGCTTGGGCGCACACTATATGGTATTGTAGGCATTGGAACCTACGGCTTTACTTACACGACACCGCCAAATGATAGGTGTATAGTTATTTCAACTAAATCACGGATTAGTCAAGTTATCACTGACTCTATTAACGCAATGAAACCGGATAAAGTTCTTCATGTTGGGGGTGCTGGGTACAAGACCGTTCTACTACTAGAAGGTAATTATACTTCGATATATTGATATGTCTCTTTGATGTAAGCAAAACAATCCGTTTGAGCGTAAACACAGCACAATTCTATTAAGAACAAGGCATAAGAAATGCAAGTCAGATATCTATGTTAAGTTCAGTTTCAAATTTTTTCATTCTATCTATGTACATTCAAGTGTAGGACATCTCAAGATTGTAACTTAATTAACTTCTGCTTTGAATCACTTGCTTAATAATTACTAACTATATACAGGTGCTGCTGATGTATATCTCTATGCAAGCAAAGGAACGAAAAAATGGGATACTTGTGCATGCGAAGCTCTTGTGGAGACTATCGGAGGGAAACTTACAGATGTTTTTGGCAATCATATGCAGTATCATAAGACTGTTGAACATATTAATGAATTTGGAGTGCTTGCTACGATGCAAAATCATGATCGCTACGTCAGTCGTATACCAATATCCGTTCGAAACACATTTTCTAAGATTTAATAGCAGAATTTCTTTAATTAATGTAGCTATATTTTCGAGAATCTACATCTGACCCATCATAGCTGCTGTAGCCTTATCTTGAATATTGATTGTCGTTAACTTTCTAGCTATTTATAACTCCCGTTCGCTAGATCAAACAGAATTTACATGAGCTGTATGTGTTGCTATAAAATACGATACAATGAGAAGACCGTATAGTTATTTCAATTTTATCGATAAATTGGATATTCTCTATAATTCAATAGATGAAATTTGTACTAATGTTTGATATATATGTTCTTTGTTAAAGAATTTAATCGGTAAATGAAATGTGTCATAATATCGTACAAAAAGAGTGATATACTTATTCTTTCAACTTTCAATTTGGCAATATTTAATCCTTAGAACAGCACTAAGTGTTTCTGGAATAAAATAAAATAAACTTAGGTGGAAAATTCGTTGCAGTATAGAAACTCTTTAATTAACCTGAAGAATACTTAAAGTAAAAATAATAAAATACAATCGAGAAGATACTATTACTCTTATTTGTACTGTATATAGAAGTAGAGAAGGAATTTGATTCAATACTTTATCACATGCATGTTGTGAAAATTGATTGATCTCATAAATATGGAAATTAATTGCTGCATAATTAACTACTGATCTCTAAAAGTTAGTATATTAGTAATACTAGCCAACAACCCGCTTGCTTAGACCGTACATGTCATACACACATGCACAATTGCACATCCATATACCACATACGTTGGATTACTAGATGCACGATATCCGAATTCTTTAGAGTTATCGTAGTTTATGGATTAGCATGACTCAGTACTGTATAAGAGTAATGCAATAAAATTGGCGACTAAGTGCTTTGTTGTCGAATTTCAGTGCTAGATACCCTAGACTGGACAGATTTACTGTATGTAGCGACCTATTAAAGTCCCGAGGCAACTTCATTTTATGCTGTACACCGTGTACAGAATGATGGTACATTAAGGTTCGAGAAAGTAACGAGAGTCGGATAGGTAGGTGAAGAGACTTTAATATATAATATAAAGATAGTTGGATAGAAAGCAGTACTGTGTAAAATAACAATATTATTAATCGTTTGTAAAGCTCATCGAATATAAAATAACGTTTTTAAAATCCTAAAAATGAATTATTTTAAAGCTAAAATTAAATGACGCAAGTATCAGCAGAATAAGAGTGAGAGAGTGAATGAGTGATGTGTACTGTACTGTACACTGTACAGTATACCGAATACAGTACAATACTGTACAGTACAGTACAAATTGCCTCAATTAGTACGGTAGTACGGTACTACGGTACTTTTCCAGATCTCAAGTCTGATCTAAATTAAATTAATTAATTACTACTACAGTATCTGTAAAATTTAGTATGCAATGATAAACTAACTGTGAGCGCCTATTTATAAATAAAAAATAGCCTAATAGGCGATAATTGCCTTTTTCTCTATATTATTCTCGTCTCAGATATTATACTATCTTCGTTATATGCAATATGGTACAGAGTACAGCACACTTCTAACAACAGCTCAGTGGAAAGCTTGCCTGGATCGATTTGGAGATGCCTGACCTAGACATTGCTAAAGTTCAGACACCGTCTAATGCTTATAAAATTGTTAAAAACGCTATCTCAGGAACTTTGGGGGGAATAGCAGTATGCTTGATTGGTCATCCGTTCGATACGTTGAAAGTACGACTGCAGACTCAAAGTGTAGCGAATCCAGTTTACGTTGGATTGCGTGACTGTTTCATAAAGACATTGCGATGGGAAGGCATAGCCGGTTTATACAAAGGAGTTGGTAAGAGATCACAGAGCACATGATATCATTTACATAATTATACATAATGATACATTATCCATACTGGTTAGAATCTAATTCAATACTAGTTGATTAGTCTACCAGAAGAATAAATTATTATTATATGTGTACGATTTCTACGTATTTAGGTTCCCCTCTTGTCGGGCAAATGTTTTTTCGTGCAACTTTATTTACAACATATTTTCAGGTTTGAAATCGATATGAAGAACACCCAACTTTGTACGGTGTTCTTGCTTGCATGAGTAGCACAGTAGGATTCTGAATTAATTATCTCTGTAAACAGTAAATCTAATAGCTCATTTTGAGCAAGATCAAATAGTAATTAATCACTATTGCTAATGCAGTCTATTCACTTCTCTTATTCTTACCGAATAGAATTGACTTTCAATTTGCTTTCTTACTACGCTAGTCACAAGAATTCTTTAAACGAAATAAGGATAACCATACTAGACTTAATGGCAGCGAATATTTCCGATGTGGGATGTATACTGGCTTCATTGTTTCATTTATAGAAGGACCAATCGATTTGGTAAGATACTGATAGATACCAATTTTAAACTATAGCAATAAAACACAGCAACTATACTTTGTTTCAATAATTAATACAAATTCCTTTGCATAATTTTTGAAAAAGTTTAAGTCTAAAATGCAAACTGAAATTATGAAAGTAAAACAAGGTCAACCTGCCAGTTATCGTAATGTATTCCACTGTGCTAGTGTTATATCTCAAAAATATGGAATTAGAGGAATCTATCAAGCATTACCTGCTGTCTGCCTACGAAATATACCATCCAATGCCTTTTACTTTGGTTCTTTTGAAGCATTGATGACGTATATGACTCCAAAAGGTTATATCGGAATTCATACACAGAAACCATTGTGTAATTTGTTTTAGTTTAACGAAGTAATGACATAATAGACGCTAAGCGATCTTCTATGGTCATTAGTACTAAATATACGTACATGAATAGGGCGAATTTCTCATAAATCAATTTTAAAATCAAATCAATATTAATGTAGGGGGCACTACGGCCGACTTATCAGCCTCAGATCTACTCCTTTCTGGTGGAATAGCTGGGTTTTTATACTGGTTTGTGACTTACCCTACTGATGTAATTAAATCAGCAATGCAAGCTGATGCTTCAGAAGTTACAAAGAGGAAATATCCAAGCATTTTACAATGTATACGAACTTTATACCAAGAAGAAGGTTGGAAGAGATTTTATAGAGGTACGTAATAATTAATTATATGTTGGATAACTAATAATTACATCATAAAGGTTCCATCAATATCTTACTCGTCAATTTTTTAAAAATCACGAAACCAGGTTTTACGCCTTGCCTGATGCGTTCTATTCCAGCTAATGCGGTCATGCTGTTTGTGGTACAAAAAGTTCGTGTGTTGTTAAAATTATGATTAACCTTCACTAGTCGTACGCTCGATCATATGGATATATACATATAAGACTAAAACATACGATATATAAAATTAAATTTATGAATATAATCATACATTTGATAAATAATATTTATTCTGTTCGTGAGCTGAATTTACTTTCATCAACATTGCAGATAATTGTTTAGCTTATTCTAACCCTCTATATATTCAATTTCCCTAAACAATATAATGCTACTTTGTTTTTTAATACATCATATTTTACATATGTTATTATAGTATACTCGTAAATTGTATCTTGTATTTAATATACGACTAATTCTTAATCAGAAATTTAATAGCATTTCGCTTTGATCTATAAGATTTATAAAGATTTATTGGAAGTGTTATGCCATGCGAGCATATAGTGATAAGAATTCACATAAAATGAACATATAGACCGCTTAATAATGGTAATAATATGATTTTAGTTATTAGCAAAAGGAAGCACCTTTACGTTTAGCAAGTTAAGTTAGATCAGTAAAATTTCTACGACAATTTTTTTCTAAATTTGCCTCATCTCGGCATTTTATACCGTATTATGCTGCGTAGATGATGATGAAAAGATTTATGTATGGTAATGTTTAGCTGACTTTCTATTATTTTAACTTTCACTGCATTACCTTTAAATATATATATACACGAATGGACCTGGTAAAAACTTTACTCAGATACAATTGGTGAATCTATACGTTAGACTGCAAGCTTACAGTCATATTACATTACACTTCAACGATAGCAAAATAAAGAGTACCCAAAGGTAAAACCTAGACTATTATGCCAGAAATAAGTGAATAAAAATGAACTAATTTTTAAGATTGAAATACTCTTAAGACCTCGGTTATTCTTTTACGACAAATCGGACATCCATCACTTCTTTTCTTGACGATCTTTGCACAATCTATACAACTACACATGTGATTACACGGCCTAAAGACACAATTTCTTGGTTTATCCATACAAATTGCACACTCTTTCTCTAAAATAAAAACGAATTTGAGATAATATTTAAAAAATATTCATGTGATTGGGATAATAGTAAACATTTTCATACACCTAGAACTATCGCGCAAACCTTAAGTGTGATATATAATTGTACAGTACTAAAATATAAAACACCTATTGAGTGATCAAAGTATGGGTATAGACTATAGAATAAGTATTAAATAATCCTTTATGTCTTATTAATGAAAATGAAATAGGCGCCTGTGTAACAAGGTATATCATCCAAAAGGGCTAAAAAAGCCAGGCATTACTGACGACAAACCTAAGCAAACTATAGCATGTGTACAGTGCGACTATGTCTGTAAAAGAAGACTTCATATGAAAGTAAAAATATCTTTATTAGAATGTTCCTATTACTTTGTAACAAGCGTCCAAAATCTTTATATAATCTCATAATTAAAGACTCTTAACAATATTAATGCAGTGGTTATATTTGAGCTCGAACAGGATTTCGTGACCAGATATCGCTAAGAGCGCTTTCAAACATAATAATTATTAGATTACGATAATCATTGAGTAGCTACCTTTAACGTCAGACGTTTCTCCTGTGGTTAATGCTCTTCTTCTAGTTTCTTCAATACGGTTACGCTTAGCAATTACCCTGGCTTCTATCTGAAGGGGACTAAGGACTAGCGGCGATCCAGATCTGGGAAGTAGGGTTTTTCCTATTTCTGTTAACAGCGTTTTGACTATAATACAATATAACATTAAAAAGATAGGAAAACCCATAAGAACTTGATCGATAGATTTAAATATTATATCTATTGTATTTAAATCAATATCTATACAATCAGCCCTGTTAATGTGTTACATAGCTTATTTACTGCATATATTACACAATGAATATATAATTTCTTTAATGCAGAAAGAAAGTTTATTGAAAGTTGATTATGCATATACTGTACTTGATGAACACTCATAGTGATGCCACCTTCAGATTATATTCTCTACATGCATACTGGTTTAGAGTAATGAAATGATTGACATACCTTTCTCTACAGCATACGGTGCTGTACAATCAGTCGTAGTTAATTCTACCTCAGGAATACAATATACAGGGTATAAGAATCGTAGGCCGATCACTCTTTCAGGGTATTCAGCGTATTGAGCCAAATCATTAATGTCTAATCGAATAGTATTAGAGGCAATAATGGTGTCATGTCGACTCATATGCGATATTCCTAAGAATAAGGCGAATAAAATAATTAGGTTGACTGTGGGCACAGAGAATATATCGATATGCGATTAACAATTAATTTACTTGATTAGAACTATCAGCCAATTCTCTCTCAATAAGTATCAGTAAATTATAAATTCATAAACAATACATACTCAAAAATCGAACTTACTATCTAGTATAGATCGCTTAACATCAGTATCATCGACTGCAGCTTCAAAAACAAAATCGGCATTTTTTACTGCTTCGGTCAACACATTAGTTAAAATGATATTACCCTGTATTAAGAAAGTTCGCTATTAGAAGAGTACGGCTTTATTATTTTGTATCATAATAATTATCGAGTAATGATATCACTTTGTGAAAGTCTATAATGAATTAAACATAAGTAACCAGGCATTGCAGTATTTCATAACGATGTAAATATGTAAATATTCTACTGAGTAAAAACTAGAATTTCAAAAATTATTCATATCTAAGGACAGTGATATAAATTGTTTGATGAAAAGAGTTCCAAAATCAGCACTGCCCGAATATTAAATTTCTAGTCAAATTTACTAACCAGGAAATTATCACGATGTAATATGCCTTCTTTTTTTAGTTCTTCTTTATCTTTAGCTAATGTCATCCATACTGAATCCATAGTTTTATCATCGCCTTTGTGAACATACAACTTAACATTTTGGCTATTAAAAGCCAACTCACCTGAAATTCGACAATTGAATTATACTTGTAAATGCCAATTTGCTATGTATTCTTTTTGTTTCAATATCGTTAATCGCTTTTTTGTTTCCGCAGTACAGATGCGGGTAATAACGATAAAATTATTTACTCCATTACATTTTATAGATGATTGCTACTGCCAAAATGTATCTTAACAACCAACGTATTTATTAATTCTAAGTATACGCTGTATCGTCCTTCAAATGCAATCAGGAAAATTCTGACCATTTATTCTGAGCCTTATTTAGCTGTATATTAATTCTTGATACTATCAAAATTAGCTAACTCGTGCATAATTATCGTAGCGTACTACCTAAAGTAGTTAAAATACATGACAATTAGATAAGTCCCGCTTCTAATAACTATGCCAAATTTACTCATTACTGTAACTATATCTCAATTGTATAACAACTCGTTATAATGTTAAAATTGACTGGTATTTATATTAAGAATCTTCATACGGAGAATAGAACTTAGGTTTTGACCAAGTATATAAAATGTGCGACTTAAAATAGTATATTATGGAAATAAGTTTTTAATATCTAAACTATTACTTCTTACAGTACCAGAAGTTAAAGTGTTAGCGCAATAATTCTTCATAACTGGTATTACCTGCTATTTTAGAACCGAGAGATCCACTACTACTAGAGGAATGTTATAGGCCGGCATTGAAAAATCGATCGATACTATCGCGAACAAAATAGATAAGTCAAACTATCTAGTTCAAATTGTACACAATTTTTAGTACATTTACGGATTGAAGTCTTTTAGATTTTAAACTATTCATTCAAAAAAAAAATATTATCGAAGCCTAGAATATAGAAGTACTGTATATACAAACATTTATAGGTGAGTTAGAAGTAAAACAGTTAGAAAAAAATTGTGATAAATACGTAAGCATGTCAATTTCATAAAGGTACTTTGTAATTCTTTGCTAAATCGATATTTGTTACTCAAAGTAGACATACCCAGGTTAAGATTTTAAACAATTAATCGTGTTCGGCAGTGCAAAAAAACTTTGCACGTAATCCTTCCCTCTGCCGATTTTTCTTTTCTATAAGAAGTCGCCTGAAAGAAAATTCATATTATGTGTATCATTTTCATTCCATAGGATCGGGCAACTTTTATTATATCTAAACTCAGTTGGAAATGGTAGAAAGAATAATCGATCAATTTTATAGGTGCCAGGAATATAAGTAACGTAATTCTAAATTTAAATAGTCAGACAAGGCAGTTATAATCCTAGAACTCTACCCTTATTATCTAAGTACTTCGATCTGTGTTTCGCTATAGCATCTATTATTTACTGTATAACTACTTAATGCAACTAACTGATCGATCTATAGCACTATTTTCGAAATTATTCTAACTATGCAATATGTATAACAATATAGCGTAAGTATTGTATGCGTAAATTAACAATCAGATCCAGTACTGTATACTTAATATTATGATGAATAAAAAATACTTCTCCCTTAAACAAAAGATATGTTCTATTGAAAGAGCTGACAAGAAGAATTTTATACTAGACAAGTCTTCCATTGTTTCGAATTGGTATGAAAAATGAGTATTCGTCTATTAATAAATACATCCTATAAACTATACGGTTATGAAATGATATTGTATGCTATAGTACTGAGTATCAACGCACATAAAAAACGTAAGTATAGGTGTAATTATTATAAACTAATATGAGGGAGTTGCGTATAGCTCGCGATCGTCATGCTCTCACTAATCACTATGTCATACCTGTAAATAGTAAGGAGGCCAATACAAATTTGTAGCCTAATGCTATAATACTAATTTTCTAATGACTATAGCTCCCAGGTATCACTAATAGCGCATAAAAATCATTATGATATTTTTGATTCAGAGTAGTTTTTCAAATACACTAGTATATATTTGGTATCAATGATTTATCTTATATCGGAGGAATATCACGATATATTTTCGCGAACCCTTAGACTGGTAGATAGTAGTGATATAAAGAAGAATCCATAAAGTTTTTTAAATTAATATTGTATAGACACAAATTTTGCAGTTTAATTAGCCATACGAAAAGCAAATTGTACACATGAAGATCTTTTCTACATAATTGAATCTTAACACTAGCTTAATGATATAATAAGAGTGATGCTTCTAACGTGCTCGCTAATTTATTTTATAACTAATTAGCTAATCGCACAGTGTTATACTTAATTTAATTTAATAGCAGGTACATAGCCTACGAATATTTGTACGTGTAATTTTATTAATCAAAAGTTAACGACAATTAAGACCATTATGAAAGATAGGATATTTGTGCATCTGTATAGAGTATTACAGAAATCTTTCTTGTAGTAGATCCTAAGTAATTTCGCTACAAATATCGTTAGGTTACTTACGTTATTAAATTTCGGATAATATAGGTATCAATGCAAAAATGCTGTAAAATTTTGATTCACTTTACACTATTTACTATACTATCAGTCTTACTTGATATGGCCTCCCATATCTTAGAATAATAACAGAGTTTACCTTTGATATACCCAAAATAATGCACGTATTTACTAATGCTAATCATCCGTGATATCTAATAGCGCATAATATTGTGAGATCGTCTAAGAAGTAAAATCTCAATCATCATACTACAAGATTAACATACCGACTAATGCCTCATGATAAACTACTATCATAAGTGTCTCGTAAACTTAATCCTTACAGTACTGTTATGTACACTTTATGTAATTCTAGCGTATAATGCAGTTTGGCTTTATACAGTTGCTACGCTGCTACCACAAGAGGAATTTCCTCCTCATGTTAAGTTCAAAAAGAGGTGATATTATTCAGTAAATTATTAACATCCGTACATATACAACATCGCATTCGCACTAATGCTCGATGTAGAGTAGTAGGAGAATATAGCTATCGCTAATTATTATTTGTCAAAGACCACAAAAATAACGATTTATTGGATTACTAGGTTATTCCACGTCCTCTTGTAATAACGGACTGTCATCATCAAATGGAGACACCGTTTGATATTTTTTAGATCTATAATATTGTCGTCTTTTCAATACATATAGGATCACAACATCCGATATTACAGATGCCTAAACGAGTAAAATATACAGTAAATTAGTATTTAGACATACAACCCAATAATCAAAATTTAAAAATCAGCTTACAATGGCCAACAAGGCAAGCCCGGAACCAATATTCAGAAGCAGTGGAACAACAGAGAATCTCCCGGCCTATACAAACCGAATGAAGAAAATTTACTACAAACATGTACTAATTTACATCAACTTTATGATGGTAGTAGAATATGCAAACCAGTAGGCTTAGCGGTAAAATCCTAATAATACTTATCGATTTAACGTTACTCCAACGTTACTTTGCAAATAAATGAAATTAACAGAAAAAGCAATGTACAATACCAATATATCTCACTTACCCGACCAACAATTATAAAAACAAATCTAATTCCATAAGCCTTAATAAGATCCCGATGTAACTTGTTATTGACCTCATAATAAATTGGGTATCTAAATATATGAAGATGGAACTCGGTTAATTTGCATACTTTTTACGTAAGTCGAAATTAAATAGAAGCATTTTATGATACAAATTACAGTAAGTATCAAGATACCTAAAGTTATATCCAACAGCCGTCGGAGCATGGGGGTCATCAAGTCTTTAACAGTTTAGAGTAAATTACCGATGTATAAAAATTTTTAATTATAGTTACAATTATAATATTTCTTATTACTTTGAGCTTTTTACTTCTCAACCATGCTATCGTAACTTTATACCTTCTGAAGGTTAACTTAGGTTGACAGTTCCTTATATCAAAGTCCAGATTACAGTCCCAGTTCAATATAATTGCGATAACTCCTCCCTATAATATGAACAATCAGATGAATATTGAGCAAAAGCTCGATGCAAAGTTTAAAGCTGAAACTAAACACTAGAGTATCTATATACAGGAATAAGAAGGTCTTATTCAATAAAACTCTACTTCAATGAGATTGTGGTCACTTGACAGCTGTATACTCTATTTTATTACCTTATAGGCAATTTTATTAAAATCCTGCTCCGCGCTATTAACTATAGTTCCAAGTTTAAGAATTGGACATAGAGCATCGTGGACGGGATCGTACATGCAATGCTTCAAGTCTTCGCTATTTTTAACGGCATCTATGTTACTCCTTTGAATAGGCAAAAACATTGATGTTACTACACATAAAACATATCAAAAGAATATATGAACAACTGTATTTGACCTTCGAACGTTAAATTTTGGAAAGGCAATACTATTCTTGATTAATACTGTAAAATTTACCGCTTCTCCCAGGAAGGGGTAATTGGTCCTAAGCAATAAATGAACCGACGTAATTTTTGGAGATTATTTATTAAATGACTAATTACAAAACATTAGAGCTTCAATTTACCGAAGATGATCATATTCGAGCGGACACCAAGAATAAATTTCACAAGTCATTTCGTCTGAATCCGGTGACACAGGTACACACTCCCCTGTGTTAACGCCTAAAGTATAATAGGAGTATCCAACATGGTGATACAGTTCACATTATTTCTCGTCACTCGAATAAATAGGAAACTCATAGGTAAACATCACTAAGATTTATATTTATCCATTATCACTCTAGGGCACCGTACACGTATAGTTAGGCTACTTAAACGTAACAATGCAAACAATATGTATCGAAGTTGATCTTGTAGCATTACCATGTCCTAGGTATAAATGTTTACCAGGTATGCAGTCAGTAGAATCAGTACAGTTTGCTCCGCGAATGGACATATCCTGCAAGTATGATTACTAGTTATTCGTCATCATGTAGTATGATTTATAATGAGATTATAAGGTACAAATAATATATTCTGCCACATTAAGTAAGCCTTACCTCGGGACATACTGTATTTGTTTGATTCTTAGTAATAATCATGTTGGTCATGACGAAAAAGGCCCCATTTTCCTATGTTAAACAGTAACAATTTTTAAAAAATTGGTTAGGGTTAGTAATAAGCGTGTATGCCTTTAATAGATACGAGTTGAATATATTGATACGGTAGTAGGTGTATTAATACTCGTAGAATTGGTCAAAGCTGAACATGGGTCTCCTACATTAAATTACTGTCCATAAAACTATCGTAAAGTCTCACTTTCCAGTAAATTTAAAATAGATTAAGTGTACCTCAGGAGGAATTATATAGTCGGCTGGATCCCATACCCTTGTTCCAATGTTGGGATCTTTAGTATAGTTTACAAAAGCTACACCTTTAACTTTAGATGTTACAGAATTTTGAGCAGTATCAAATTCTTGATAACCTTTCTTATAAACTAGAACATATCTAACGTAAAGATCGTACAATTAGTAAAAGCGATAAAGTCTTATGATATATTATACAGCAAGCATCTAGCACTGAGGAAAAATTAATGAATTTATGCATTGTCTCAAAAAATTCACCAAGAACTTTGTGAAAGTGCCAATCATAAAACGATAAAAGAAAAAATGTATGGGATGAGCCAAAGCTACACTACGATGACATCATGCATTTACCTAGCTGTCCAGGTAATCGATTACTCATACAACTGAATTTAAAAATTTAAATACAGTACAAGCTAATACTTAATTGATATCTATGTAATCCTATACTATAATACATTAACATTAAGATTATCTTAATGTGTAACAGTTTCATTCATTCTAATTTTCGACGGCAAGTTGCAAGTAAAGCATCCATTTTGATATCGTTTAAATAATCATAATTGATGAAGTTAATTATAATAATAATTATTATAATTAATACGAAACTTGAGCACTAGCAATGATTGCCTACAGTTTAATGTTTCTTACCCGATGATATAACCAACAATAGCAAGTTGAATGAATCTGTTTATAAATCCAACAACTTTGCTTTTAATATGAATAATTTTAGGTGTATTGTAATCCAGAGCCAAATCCGCGAATCTATTGCAACAGTTTTCCATCTTTAAAAGAGATTCTGCTTTCTAGGCCTCTGTTGACTGTCTTCCAGGGAATTAAAGGTTCGGTACAGTCGATATTACAGTAACTCATGGCAGCGTTCCGATTTCCTCACCGAGATTCTGCGCATGAAGATTAATTACTACAAACGTACAGTACTGTACAGTACTCAAACTTGAATCTCAAACTACAGTACTGTACAGCACAGGCGCACTGAGGCGACTACCCCAGTAGCGCCCTACAGTGTACAGTATGCCGCATACAGTACTATACACCGTAACCCAACTAAGGTCGTACTGTACACTGTACAGTATGTAAAAACTTTGTACAAACTACAAATTAATATCTGCAACTTGTCACATTTTATTTATTTCATTTCCGTCTCAACATTTTATAAACTGGTTTTCTAAAGTTATTATTCTTTGTATTGATCTATCGTATCTATCAGTATACAAAAGTGAATAAATAGCGGCCGAAGTGCATTACAGTACAGTAGTTTATTACGGTTTACCATGCTGTATACAGTACAGTATGCTTTTTCAGCAGACCTTTTGGCGTTTTTACGCATTTTTCTTCTTCTGTGTTTGTACTACTGTATGCATAGTGTGCAGTACTCTGTACACTCACTGATCGCGGTGTACAGTTACACCTGTCGAAGGTTTTACGGTACTGAATAGTATAGTACGTACTGCAGCACCAGTATCTTTTCATATTTTAACGTCTCGAACGGTGAGTGCTGTAATTTCGTTAATAAGTAATTAGTACATCCTACTGCTGTCAACGACTACAGTATATCACTTTACAATTGTACAGTACCGTACAATCGTACGTGATGCCGAAAACAGTAGAGTACAGCCACAGCACAGTAGTTCTATATAAATAAATAAATAAATAAATAAATACCAATACGAATACTTTACAATGTACATAAAACTGTGTAAATAGCGTAGAATACGCATACTGTGCAGAGTATATAGACGTAAATAGGACATATAGCGAAATCAATAATACAACAGGACAGTATTTCGGCTTAGAAGGCCTCAGGCTTGAGCAGTTTTATAAAAGAAAGAAAAACAATCGGCGTTCTGTTGCTCGATAAATTATTTTTTTTTAACTGTATCTAGTATCTACAGTACAGTACAGTACTGTGCTGTACGTATGGACGTGTACAGTACAGTACAGTACTGCTACTTGTACAGTAAAGTACACACAGTACGGTGTTGTACTGGGTACATAGCGAAAGCCTACAGTGTTAGCCAACAGTATGTACAGTACAGCAGACTATGAAACTACAGTACTGTACTGTACTGTACAGTACAGTAAAGCAAGTGCACAGTGTATTGTACTGTACTGTACAGTACGTTTGGCTTTGTTTTACTACCGTACGGTGTGAAAGCCCTCTGGTCTCGAATACATACGGTAGGCTTGAAAGGCTGAAGAGCAGCTCTTCACAAATAGTGGGCACGCCGAACGCCAAAACTGGAAAGTGAAACGCGTTGGATAGCCTGCTTTGGTTTGAGTGATTAATAAGTTAGCAAGGCAAATTGGTGAGCTTTTGAGGACTGACTATAATTCTTCTATCTTATACAATTACCTAGAACATTGATAGCATTAATACTTAAACTAGGAATAAAACCTTCCAGAAAAATGAGCACAACTAGCGCATCAGGAAAAAAGAAAGGACCTCGATTGGATGAGATAAAAGAGAAACGCGAACGCGTCCTGCAGCGTTTCAACAAATTTAAAGATGGATCTCAAGATCTTAAAAAGAAGTTAGAAGATGCCCGTGATTTTCAACGGTTCAAGCGCAATGTCAGTGAATTGGAAGAGTGGATTGATGAACAAATGAAGATAGCAAATGATGAATCTTATAAAGATCCGGTTAACATACAGGTTAGAATTAGATGATTAAGAGCGCTTAGACTGCATGATCTACGTATTACAGTGTACTGAATTGTACGCCTAACCCGTTCTAGACTACGTGCTGTCACCGCTAAAGATCGACGTTCATGTTTTGATTTTACAACTTATTATTTATTAATATCCGTTAAATCGGTAGTATTATCTAAAAAAGTTGTAGAAGGATAGTCGAAGTAATTTCTTACTTTAAACTAAGTTAGATATCTAGTCGTACGTCACATGAAAGGTATGCGACGTAAACGTCGACACTTATTACGATTGGGGTCACCGCCCATTTATGCAATACTGTAAAACGTTCCTTGAACTTGCAAATGGATTTAAAACTACAGTACTAATCGTTTCAATTGAATCACTCGAATGAAAATTGTTCAAATTTAATTAGTAAGAAGAGTTTACGCCCATTTTATGTTAGTAATTCTACGGGGCTTAAAGTTATTAGCCCGATTAAGGTAATCCGTAATTTTATTTTATCCCATACACATTCTTTATGGCACTATATTCATAATTGTTTCTTTGTTGGGGCATGGGTAATGATGCCAGGAGGGATTACCATAGGAAAGGTTAAAATCCGTTACGCCTTGCCGGATTACTACGGTACAGTAGTAGCGTGGACTACTAATCATTTCTAGTCGTCCATGGTAGTACTCTTTGAGATGAATGTACATTTATCTGGACCATCTTAACATGTCTTGACTTGTTTCTTTGCTCTTAAGTTCGATTTCAGGATTTAAAATTTTCGCCACAGTTAGTGAAATGAATGACAGAACTAGATCGGTGTTTTTTGCGGTTACAACATTTTTAAGAGTCTGAACGATATACAGTATATTATACAGTACTGTACTTACATTACTGCCGACTGGGGATTGCAAACGTAGAAAATTGTACAGTAGAACAGAAATTTAAATTGAACTTATTATACCTACCAAGCGATATACAGTACAAGATACTATGCGGTACAACAAGTCTATTACGAATGTCTAGACTCTGGCGGATAATCTTACTTTAAAAAAAATAGTATTGAATTACCGTACTTAAACTGATCACTCTCTGGCACGATATTCTACAAGTTATTTCGATTTCATGAATATTCTCCTTGTATATTTTCTTACGTGACGCTAGTACAAGTATCTCGATAGCATAGAGCATTATCAGCTAATTTAAGGATAATTGAAAAGTTCTTTCTACGCGATAACTAATTAGTCCTCCAGCATATATAGTACTGTATACAGTACAATCGTAATCGCTTTTTACCCATATACTGTACTATTTAGAAAATTTAATGTTACATCTCCTTCATGTAGACTGTATTTGTATACTGTACAGTGTACATTCTGTCTGTAGTTTTGGATTGGGTGAGGTTAACCAGAGAAAACTCGTCTAATTCTTCAATTAGTAATGCGATATTTTCTGAACTATCTTATAGTCTGACCTTATTACTGTATCAGACCACCGGGGATGTAAATTAGAATACCTATGTAGAAGATATCAATCGCGTTAATTTAGCGCTTGTTTTACAAAACAGCTGGCATCATATACAGTACGTACTCAAAGCTAAGCTAGGTGATACCATTTATTGATCAATTTATAATATGAGCGTACTATGGTAGTACAGTCATAAATACAGCGTTGGAGTACGCTGTATCTTGAAACATGTTGTTTGTTAGCTAACAATTAGTTTCTGTCTGCAAGCTGAGCACTAATTTATATATCAGTCGATGATTTAAGTTGAATCAATGGATGTGTCTAGCTTACTGTTAATCGCAGCAAGCGGTTAATTAACGAAGGGGGACGTGCGATTATGTTATCACACGGTATACCGTATAGTTCAATACTTCATTAATTATAGCGCAGATATTGGAAATAAAAAGGAATCAAGGTTCTATGAGTCCACAATATATATGTACCAAGCGTAACCATAGTACTACACTTCATTAATTATAGGCAGATATTGGAAATAAAAAGGAGCCAAGGTTCTATGCGTCCCCAATATACGTACCAAGGCTAACCATAGTACTTTACACTTTTGAATGCGTACAGTATAGAACACGTTTCGAAAAGCTGGAGCATAGTGCGTACGGTACCAAAAACCGTTAAACAGTACTGTCTAGAAATCATAAAGTTCAGACAAAACCTCAATGACAATAATACGTATATACAGTACGGTATTGTGTACAGTACTGTACAATCACAAGGGCACATCCCTGCTGCGATTCGGAATCATTTTTGGCTAATCGAAAATAAGATCTATTCATGCTTTGTATGACTAAACTGTTAAATAGCTAATAAAAACGAATAAATTACTATACTGCACTACACACGCTGGGTTCTGGGTTCAGCAGTTGAGACAGGGTCTACAAAAGAAAAAATTCTCATCACCTTATGTACTGTTACAGTTTGTCAGCCGATTTGAATTGACACATACGCGTAGAGTCGTAGACATTCGGTAATAATATTTCCTTATTTACCCTACACCAATGTTACGAATGTAATCGAAGCCACAACTAGAACCTATGATAATACGTATAGCCATTACACTATGGTGCAAATTAAAAACTTTATGAATTATAATCGTTTTTTCATGCATCGGAGACAAATACAGTACCCAATGGTACTGTTATACTGTACATATTACTATTTCTACTGGAATCTATACAAAATTAACAATATGAATAAACAGATTGAATATTTATTAATAGTTACAAATAAATGCCCAAATCTGTGAAAATTCGATCTCACTATAGGCCTGCAGTACTTACCGTATTTCTTAGCTAACAGACATTTAAGCAGTATTGTCTATTTAATTCTCTACTATAGTAGTGCGTTGTGATTTTATAATTTCATTCATTATTCGTTACTGTATAGTAATGTTTAAATAACAGACAGTACAAAATTAGCAAGTCTCTACTAAAAAATTCAGATATAAACCCTATGAACAAAAATCAGAGAACTACGTATTACTTTAGCTACCGCCTTTTATAAAACCATAAATAATGTAGCTATGACTTTATATTTATCACTATATCTCCTTCATTGTCATTGCTGTATACTATAGTATAGATTATTAAACTTACACGAATTTGAACTACATACTTGTAGTAAACTTTCAAATATTAGCAGTATTTATGATCTGTTCTAATCTAGCTGTTAAATTTAATTGAATTACATTTGCCTTATTTTTTTTCATTTCATTTAATTATCTTACCAGATAAAGGTTAAGCGTCATGAAGACTTTCAAGGGGTTATAGCCAAGCAAAAGGACGTTTTAGATGAGCTGGTCAAAGAAGGAAGTGATATGATCGATAACGAGCACCTATTCTTCGAACAAATCCAGGTTTGAGCTTTATTTCAAAAATGCGTCATAATACCTGGTGTCCATAAATTAAGCGTCTTATTATAGATTGTAATGTCACTATACTAAACTAATATCCTGGTATTACTAATCTTACAACTGACGTAATAGAATAGAAATACGATAGCCTGAGTATTTGCAAATTTCATTGGAGAAATGCTTGAATATTTGTAGGAACTCCTTAAGCAATTGCTAAATCATTGGGAGGAATTAGATGATAAATTATCGAGCAAAGGAGCAAAATTAAGAGAAACTCAAAAGTTATCAGCCTTTACGCGAGAAGTCGATGAGTTATTGGCATGGATTGCTGAAAAAGTAATTAAATTATTAGTAGGAAATTAACAACACATAACAGTAACTGTAGATAATGTTGTCCTCGATTTTGGTAAAGAATGTTCCCATTCCTTTGGAATAGGCTGCAAATTTTTTTAAATTGACAATTTATCAACTTAACTGATAGTCCTTACCTGATATAATTTCTAATTGTTGCCTAAATTAGGAAGCGGTTGCTAGCTCCGATGATTACGGAAGAGATTTGGAACATGCTGAATTTTTATTTAAAAAGTTCGAAGAAGTACAAATTGTACGTAAGAACTTTATTTCCGGTTAAAGATATATAGCCATAATAATAGCTTAATCTTTCCACACTTTTTAAATTATCTTCCTACGTAATAATAATCGCAGGAAGTAAAAACTGGAGAGCTTCGCGTTGAGCACGTGAAGGAGGTCGCTCAGCCGCTTATTGATGAGGATCATCCCGGTAAAGAAACTGTCACGGAGAGAATTGAGGTATCGCTTATTTACTGATGTTATTCGTGTATATTAACTTTTCAACTATTGGAAGCTGACGAAGCATTTCAAGGTTAGCTTAACTACATGTGATTAAAAGTATATCGTTGCTGCTACAGACTATAATCGTTGCTTGGGAGAAACTACTTATTACTATCCAAATTCGCCATGATAAGTTGTTGGCATCTGTAGAGAAGAATAGATATAAAAAGTAAGGGCAATCTAGACTTAATTATACTTACTGGAGGAAGAAATTATATACAAAATTCTTATTCTTGATTTTAGTGCTGTCGAAGATGCCAAACAGTGGATCGATGAACGTCTTGCATCAGTAAAAGATGATGATGATCCATCTAATGAAGAAAATGCTGCAGCGATTAAGCGAAAGCATGATAGAATAGGCAATGAAGTTGCAGCCATTGAAGAAAAGGTTGTATAGATAAGCAACTTTGTTGATTTACGATAAGTATTCTGATGACTGTTAAACTGTTTAATCGTATAGTAAACTTATGCATGTATTGAATGGCTTACCATCATCTTGTATCGGATACATTCTTATTTAGGTTAACCAACTCCAAGCTCAAGCAAATGAACTTTGTGATAAATTCCCTGACGATGAAGATGAAATACGAGCCGGTTCTGATAGTCTTGATGAGAAATGGAATAGCTTGAAAGATGAGGTAATTTAGCACACCATTGTTGTGCCCTAATTACATGATTACAAACGTCACACTCTTTCGTTCGTAAATATTTAAATTATCTACTTTAGGTTAATATGAAGAGACTTAAGCTAAATAGTGGTTTAAACTGGCTGTCACTTCAATCGAGATGCAAAGACTATGAAATGTGGGCAAACACAAAGAAAAGCGATCTAGCAGAAGATATCACTAAAGAAAATATCAGTGCTGATGTTTTAGAAGCTCAGCACGAAGAATTAAAGGTAATATTATGACGTTTTAACTACAGTTCTTCCACTTAGCAGAAATTAGAAGTAACTACTATGAAGCTAACTTATCCGCGCGGCATTTTTCAGCATGAAATTCGAGCTAGAAATGAAAACCTAGATGAATTACTTGAAGAATGCGACCAGTTACTTGTATCAGATCATCAATCATCAGACAGTATCAAAAACAAAGTTAGTAATGAAGTTTTTCTTACTGTAAGTTATTACGGTGCTTTTATTTCAATACATATATGTATATTACTGTCACTGTTACTAGATGGATTTATTAAAGAATTTACGAGAAGAACTTCTCGAAGATTGGGAAGAAAGAAACGGAGTGATCGAAATAATGGCTTCATATCAAGAATATGTTCGTGGCGTTAACCAAGTTGATAGTTGGATGGATAAACGAGAGGTAAATCATAAATGTAACTTACTCATTCTACATTATTAAGGTGAATGTGATTACTATAATTTTAAGTGACCGATATTCGATTACAGTTTTAATATATCTTAATTTCTTTGTATTATACAATCTTGTCTTAATATAGCCGTTACTAGCAACAGATATGCCTATCGAGAGTTTAGATTCGGCACAAGCTTTGATTAAAAAACATGAAAATTTTGAAACAACTTTTACAACTCAGCAAGAGAAAGCTAAAACCCTTTATGAGAGCGCTGATAAGTTAGTAGACGAAAATCATTACGCAACAGAAGATATCGTAAACCGGAAAAACAAGGTTAATGACTTAAAAGAGCCCTTGATCTTATTACGCTAATGTGTAGTGTACAATATATAATTCATTGATTTTATTTCGTATATACTGTGATTTATTAATATTGATATATACATATACGCATACATATCTCTATATATATATATGTATTTATCACGACTTAGAAATTTATATAAATTCTACTGCTGTAGCTTGAAAAACATATTCAAGACACTGTTCTCAAAGCGGAAAGAAGACGGCATTTTTTGGATGATGCTCATCAGTATTATAACTTTGTTAACGTAGCAGAAGAAACAATTCAGTGGATAAATGAGCAGATTACTACAGTTAGTGATGACTCTTATAAGGTAACGAAACATTACAGTTAGGATATGATAAAAACTTTCCCAATCCTGGGAAATAACATAATAAAGTGCAAACTTTTAAATATGCTTAATGGATTACTAGGACTTATCCAACATGCAAGGCAAACTTCGTAAACATCAAGCCTTTGAAGCAGAAGTTTCTGCAAATAGAACACGAATAGACAATGTTAATAATTCCGGAAAAGCTTTAATCGAAGCTGAACACCCAAAAACTGATAAAATTGAAGATAAACTAGATGAAATCAATGGATTATGGGATAAACTTGTTCGCTTATCATCGGATAAAGGCTCAAAATTAAGAGATGCCCATCGAGAATTACTATTCAATAGAGAAGTTGATGATATGGAACGTTGGATAGCAGAAGTGGAGTTACAATTATATTCTGAAGACATTGGCAGAGTAAATAATATGATAATATCATAATCTTATCAGAATGTGTTATAATTTATCTATTGTATTTAATAATAATATAGGATCTGGTCAGCGTACAAAATTTGATAAAGAAACATACCCTATTAGAGGCCGATATAGCAGCTCATACTGAAGCCTTGAAAGCAATTACAGAACAAGCAGATGCTTTCATCTCCGAAGAACATTTCCATGCTGATAGTATTAAAGATAAGCAACAACAAGTTGCCTTGAGATTTTCAGGACTTGAGGTATTATAATATATATTCTCTTTCACCCCTGACTCTCGTATTTTCATGCACAATTATATGATATGAACTCTAACTTTAAATTTTGTATGAACTTACAGGATCCAGTCTCAGAACGAAAAGCAAAACTTAATGATTCTCTACTGCTGTTTCAATTTTTGAGAGACGTAGAAGATGAAGAAACCTGGATTCGAGAAAAAGAGGCTATTGCTTCTTCAGGTAGCCATGGCCGAGATCTCCTAACGGTACAGAGTTTAATAAAGAAGCATCAAGCAATGCAAGTACGTACCACAAATGATGTCAATGTGAATTAATGAACTAGTTATCGCCATTAAAGTATCTCAATATTTACTTAGACCGAGATTGATAACCACGAAACAAAAATAGATGCTGTATGTGCAGATGGACAAAAGCTTATTGATGATGGTAAGAAATTGAATTCTGAAATGATCGTAAAGTAACATAAATGTATATATTATCTCTTAGCATTTTCTAAAATTCCTATAGACGATATGCTTTTTATAAAGGGACAGACGATATTAAAATTTCTATTAAAGTAGTTAACTTAACTAATCGTGCAATATTTAGTTTACGCATATTAAAAATAAATGTTTTACTTTTAACCAGAACATTATGCAACGAACGATATAAATGAAGGAATAAATAAACTGAAAGACGCATGGAATTTGCTTAAGGTTAACATAACACCTAAAATAAAAATTATAGAAGGATAAAATTTATTTGTTATTAAAATTCTGAATAAATTTTAAAAGGACAAATGTATTGGAAGAAAAAGTGAATTGGATGACTCGTTGCGAACTCACCAGTACTTTGCTGATAGTAGCGAGGCAGAACAATGGATTAAAGATAAAGATCAACTAACATCAAGTACTGATTACGGCAAAGACGAAGATAGTGCTCAGGTTAGACTTCACTATGATAATTTGCTTTAGTTGCGCCGATGCTTAAGGTAAATCTTCTTAAATAGTCACTATTAAGAAAACACGACGCGGTATTATCGGAAATTGAAGCGTACGGGGAAACGATAGACAACTTAAGAACTGCAAGCAGTAAATGCAAGGTTATCTATCCTTTTAATCTTGAATAGTCGATGAAGAAGTGTTGTTGGACAGTTTTAAATGAATTTTGTTTATATACAGTTTGCTATACTTGTCAGTAATTCCTCCTAAATTACCCTTATATGATCGCTTTAGGATATTAAACCATCTGCGTCGGAAGTCCCTCCTGGTACGGAAATGAAAGCTTTAGAAGACTTCGACCCAGATAGTTCACATGAACTATCGTTACAAAAAGACGACGTAGTATCCGTTGTGCATGCTGCCAATCCCGTTAGTCCCATATAATGCAATTATAGTATATATGATCTCTTAAGTTATTCACTTTTTGGTTATCATTTTTAATACTTCTAGAAATGGTGGAAGGTTGTTAAAGATGACAAGGTCGGTTTTGTTCCCGCTTCCATCTTGATGCAGGTATCCGACAATTCGAGTGAAACGCCTCTAAGTCCTGTTTCATCGCTAAGTCCAACGGTACGGCCAAGATCGGTATCGAGATTATCGGTCTCTCGCATGTCTATGATGGGTCCAGTTGAGTTAGAAAATGTTGCAAGTCGCCAACAAGCTCTAGATGATAGGTAGGGTGTGCAATAGTGCAGTAGATTAAGGTTGTAATGATTACTATCGCCTAAATCACCCTTCTTTAAATATATCTAATTTTATTTCATTAACAAAAGGTATAATGCACTGCTCAAGAAAGCAAGAGAAAGACGACAGAAGTTAGTAGACTCTTATAAACGCCATGGACTAAGCCGTGAAATGAGCGAACTTGAAACATGGATCGAAGAGAAAGTAAATATCACAACACTTAAAATATACTATTTTATCATACATGATATGTTGATCAAAGTATGTATAACATTAACCAAACGTACAAACAGAAAGCTGCCAATACTTCAGCTGAATTAGGAAATGATCTAGATCATGTTGAAGCTTTAAAACAAAAGTTCGACGATTTTCTTAAAGTAAGAATAGTACCTTTTCAAATCTCAAACCTATGTACCATATCTAAAATTATTTGGGTTCTTTAATCATACTGGAATATCTGCTGTTTCCTTATTAGGATCTTGAGGCAAATGAAACACGTGTCAATGAAGTTAATGAAGTTTCGCAAAAATTACAGAACGAAGGTCATTCTGATGCTGAAGCAATTCGGCAACAAACATTGGTTAGTTTGACTCACTATGACTGCCATAAAATGTCATCTATTGATTAATAATTTATTCTCTGTGGGTATTTAGAATTTGTTAGAAAATTGGGACAATCTCAAAAAATTGACGGAAAAACGCAGAGCTGACCTGAGTGGTTCTCACGATATTCACAAGTTCTTTAGGTAGTATTATAGCTGACTTAAAGCCCTAACTCAGAGTCCTTGTGGTGATGATAATAATTCTCAAATCTTTAAAATTTCTTCCAAGGGATGCTGATGAGACGACGTCCTATATAAGTGAGAAAGTTGCCGTAATGTCCTCTGATGAAGTCGGACGAGATCTAGCTAGCGTTCAAGCACTGATGCGCAAGCATGATGGAATTGAACGAGATATTGCGGTCTTAGAAGATAAGGTTCGCTATGCCCCGCAACTTACTTTAATTTTATCTTAAACTACTCTGACTTACAAACCTTGCTGAAAACTAATAAATTAGATTCAAGGACTTGATGTTGAAGCTACAAAATTAGCGGAAATCCACCCAGATTCTGCGGAAAGAATTTGCGCTAAGCAATCTGAAATCGCTGAAGCTTGGGATAACCTCGTGAAACAGGTAAACCTACATAATTTAAGGCGGTCCAGTGACAATAAGAAAATTAAAATATCTACTTTACTGTATGTATTTAGGCAGCATCACGAAAAGCCAAACTAACCGACTCTCAGGACTATCAACAATTTTTAAATGATCACAGGTTCTAGTGATTATTAATTTTCTCCCATATAGTAGTTTTATATTAACTATAGTTTTATGATTTGATAATTAGGGATATATCTTCTTGGATTAATGGTATGAATTCATTGGTTTCATCCAATGAATTAGCTCATGATGTTCCTGGAGCTGAAACCCTTCTTGAAGTGCACCTGGTACTCACAATACAATTAACTAGAGGCATAATTAGGCACACTTGGTGTTACATTCTAAACCTTCACAAATGTCGTAGCTATGCGAACCAGTTCTCATGAAATCGAAAAACTAATTTTATGCTACCATTTGTTCAGGAACATCGAACCGAGATTGATTCTCGTGACGAAAGTTTGCAAAATTTAAAAAATTTTGGTCAAAGTTTAATTGACAAGGAACACTATGCAAGTGAAGATATAAGTGAGAAATTATCTTCAATTCAAGTGGATATGCAGCAGTTAGAAAAGTACGCACTTCTATAAGTTTTTAATTTTTCTTTAAATCTTTATCATTAATTTATTTTGCTTATTTCTCTTCAACTACAGCAATTGGGAGTTTAGAAAAGTGCGGCTTGATCAATGTCTTGGCCTACAGGTCAGCGACACAAAAAATATTGATTATGAATTTATAGATGTACTTTGCGTCAATGCATAACAGTCATTTTATTTGTTTTCCTGCGTATGCAGATGTTCCACAGGGATGCTCAACAAGCTGAAAGTTGGATGTCTGTTAAAGAAAATTTTTTCTCTACATACGACATTGCAGCTCAAGAAGATACCACAGGTAGCAAAAAGCGTGAGAATCTTGACAAAGCCTTTGCCTTACAGGTAATATTATATCCATGTAACTACTGAAGTTTATAAATATTTAGTATTCGTTTTTGTCTAAATGTCCGATGCTAATTTAAACGTATACAGGAAGAAAAAATTAATGCCTTAAGGGATATGTCTGATCTGCTAACTGAAGAAGGTCATTATGATGCCGAGTCTATTGCTAGTAAACGCGACGAAATTCTTGACAGGTATTCATAAATGGAATAATTCCGCGATCCCTATCTTTTGTTTGGTCTAAACTATAATGTTGACATGTAGATGGAATAAACTAAAGGACATGTTGGAATCTCATCGCTCTAAACTTGGACAAACAAAAACCCTAAATCAATTCAATCTCGATGCAGACGAAATGGAAGGATGGCTAAATGACAAATTGAAATCACTACAAGACGACTCCTATCAAGATCCAGCTTTCGTTCAAGTAAATTATCTGTAACCCTGTCAGAAATCGTATAATGCTAATAATTTTGCGCTAGCAAAAAGTGCAAAATTTTAACCGAGTTAACAATTACTAAATTTCAGCATTTGTTTTAAAATCTATACAGAGTAAATTGCAGAAGCAACAAGCTTTGGAAGCAGAAGTAGCTGCAAATGAAGATCGTATTAAAGCAGTTATTGATATGGGAAATGGTTGGTCATCTTTCCTATACGTTATAAATCTGTCGGACATGGCAGTGAATAATATGTAATGATTGCAGTATATGTAAACGTGACAATCAGCAATATTTATTTTTACCAGATCTTATGGCCAATGACGCTTGCTCTGGTAACGAAGAGGATGTTAAGAAGCGTATTAAAGATTTGGAAGATCAATTGCTGAAATTAAAGGAACAAATGTCGGAAAAAAACACAAGACTGAAGGAAGCTAGCGTCCTTTTACAATTTACAAATACCGTGAAGGACTTAGACTTTTGGTTTGTACAGGTAAACTATATACTTGCACCTATTACTATATCAAAGAGATAAGTATTTAAACGAAATGAATTTATGTCAGATGGAAGGTGCCTTATGATTTATGCGTATAGTTACGGTGCAAATTTGAGCAATGATGTAAACCGTTTTATGTAAGATTGATTTTAAACATGGATTTATTTTACGCATAGATCGAAGTTTTACTGACTGGTGAAGATTACGGTAAAGATTTAGTAACCGTCTCCAACATTCTAAAAAAGCATCAAGTACTCCTAGCTGACGTTGAAGTCCATGCGGTACGAACGTAACTAATGGTCTTACTACCTCTACGATTGTTTAACTCTTAACGTTTATTGAAATAGGAACGTGTTGAGGATCTAAAAAAACAAGGACAAGACCTAATTGCTGGTGATCATTATGGCAAGGATACTATCGCGGAACAGATCAAAGATGTCGCTGATAAATTTAACAAGTAACTAGCAGTAACCTGAGTATCTTATTGTCAAACAAATAAATAAACCCGTAAATCTTTCAAATAGAGTAAAAGGTCTTTGCGCAGTTCGCCACGACAAGCTACAAAAGTCATACATACTATTTCAGTTCTATCGTGATATCGAAGATGAAGAGACATGGATAAGGTAATACAACTGCGCGTACTTGTATGATTTCATTTATACCATGTATATTTATCATCACATTATTACAGTGAAAAGAAGCTACTCATGGGCTCGGAAGACTATGGAAAAGATCTTACAAGTGTCCAAAATTTGCGTAAAAACCATCAGAGATTTCAGACAGAGTTATCCGGCCATGACAATCGCATAAAGGTAAGAATTCAATAATAATTTGATTATTTTACATCGGGACCATAATATTTCGATATCATTATTAGAACATTCAAGAAACTGCTGATAAATTACTAAACGATGAGAGTTATCCACAAGCTGATATCAAAAATCGTTCCGAAAGCGTCAGCAATCTATGGATGGAATTGAAAGATGCCGTTGCAAGAAGGTGAAAGAAGCTGATTTTAATTTTTATGTGCCAACTCTAGATATGTATTTTAAAAAAGTCAATTAAAATAAATTATAACATACGTATGACTGTTTCTAAATCGTAAACAGGACTGAAAAATTAGAGCAATCCTATGGTTATCAGCAATTTATGTTCGATGTCGAAGAAGAGGAATCTTGGATCAACGAGAAATTCGCTATGGTTAATAGCGATGACTACGGTGATAGCCTGGCAACGGTGCAGGTACAAAATTATCGCTTTAATATTTGATACTTGACGATACATTTTAGTTTTTTTAGTATCAAACTCGGTGATCACGCTACTTTAATCTGCTGCTAATATATTAAACATACTGTTTCAATTACTGTTTATAATAGAATCTTCTAAAAAAACATGAAGCTTTTGAGACTGATCTAGAAATTAGGCGTGATCGTGTAGAGAAGACCGTTAGAGATGGCGAAAAACTAGTCAACGATGTAAGTGATAAAGAAATGAAATTTTAAATTTAAGTAAATCAGATAGTAATGATGCACTTTGTCTTATAGGGTCATTACCAATCGGATAATATTTCCGCACGATGTCAGTCACTAGATGTAAGTATTGTAAATACCTTGTTAAGTACAGTAACAAGAGTAAGCTATGAATATTAATTTGTAATTTTTTTATTGTCACTGGTAGTCAAAACTGCATGTCTTAATAAATGTTGCGGTTACACGAAAAGCTGGCTTAAGGGAATCTCACAATTTCTTGCAATTTAAGTGGAAAGCTGACGTTGTTGAATCTTGGATAGGTAGTATATTTGCAATTTGGGTATTTATCATTGAAATAATAAATGAATACAATATGGTTTATTAAGTAACTCCTTGATACTTTATTTACTTTTAAATTAGATGATAAAGAAAATCAAATAAAATCCGGAGATTACGGAAAGGATTTATCATCCGTTCAGGCTTTAATTACTAAGCTTGTATGAGTATAAAATTAGTGGCTATTGTAACAGTAATTTGTTAAATAATGATGTAATTCTATTACTTCCAGGATACCTTTGATTCTGGACTCGCGGCTTTTGAACAAGAAGGAATTGCAAATCTTACATCCCTCAAGGACGACCTAATTGATTCGAAACATGCCAAATCTGATGACATCCATGCCCGTCACAAAAAAGTTGCAGATCGATGGGAAAATTTAAAAAATCTGTCAGCTGATCGTCGTGGACGCTTGTTGCAAAGCCAAGACAAATTTAAAGAAGTATGTAATATTTATCTTTCATGTTAAATTAACTTAAATCTTTGCTAGACTTATTATGAATAACCTAATGATGTAACGGAAAAATACTCTTCTACATTGACTTCAGTTGGAGGATTTATTCTTAACTTTCGCTAAGAAAGCTTCAGCGTTCAACAGCTGGTACGAAAATGCAGAGGAAGATCTTACAGATCCTGTCCGTTGTAATTCAGTTGAAGAAATTCAGGTATATTTATGTAATTAAATTTTTAAATAATTCATAGATTATACTAGCCTTTTATGAATCTAAGTTATTTGAACTCTTTATCAGGCTTTGAGAGGAAAGCATGCACAATTTAAAGATTCGTTGGCAACTGAAAAAAATAACTTACAGCAATTAAGAGATCTAACTAAGAAGATTGAAACATATACAAGATCTAGCAATCCGTATGTTATCTCAGAATGAGCCGTTACCTTAACTCTGACGTTATTGATCTAACTTCGTATCTTTTGAATAGATATACCTGGTTTACTATGGACGCTATTGAAGATAGTTGGAAAAATATCCAAAGCATTGTTGCTGTATGTCTTTATGTTTCAATATATACTTTAAGAATTTTGAATCGAAATTGATCTCTTACACCATGTAGGAAAGAGATGGAGACCTTGCTAAAGAAGAGGAAAGACAGCTACAAAACGACAAATTGCGACAGGAATTCGCAAAATATGCTAATTCATTCCATACTTGGTTAAGAGAGACACGGTAATACAATTCCTATATCAGACTTCGTTTTCAGGAAATTATATTTTCACGTTTTTAACAGTTAAACAACAATTTATTTTTACTCGAGTAGAGCAAATATGGTAGAAGGCTCTGGAAGCTTAGAAGATCAACTGGAAAATACCAAGGTATTGCAGCCCATCAATTGTCGTTTGTATGTGATTCTCAACTTATCATCTAACATTGTGCTAATTTATTTCAGAAAATATCTGCTGAAGTCACTAGGCGAAAAACTGATTTAAAGAAAATCGAAGATTTAGGAGCTCGACTGGAGGAAGCCTTGATATTAGATAACAAGTACAGAACGTAGATTTCCTGCAATCGTTTAATAACATAAGACAAAGGGCTGATCCTTATATATAACTCAAATTTCTTAACAGGTACACCGAACATACTACTGTTGGCTTAGCTCAACAATGGGACCAACTCGATCAATTGGGTATGAGAATGCAGCATAATTTGGAACAGCAAATTGAGGCTAGGTACAGTATATCATATATAAACAATCTATAGACTATAATCTTGTCATGCCTTAATAGTTCGTAAATGTAGTAAGATGTTGAAATTATGTAAACAGGAACAGCTCCGGTGTATCTGAAGAACAATTAAATGAATTTAGTACGACATTCAGGTACGTAAAAATTTGTTTTAATAATAATATCTATTCTGCTCTTCTAATAAGCGTAACTCATTTTTATGAAGGCATTTCGATAAAGATCGTTCAGGAAAATTGGATCATGCCGAATTTAAATCATGTCTTCGCTCACTTGGTTATGATCTTCCCGTTGTTGAAGAAGGAGAAAAAGATCCAGAATTTGAAGCTATTTTGGCATCTGTTGATCCAAATGGGTATTTAATGCCGACGTTTTTAGATCTGTTGCAATTATAAATCATATAAGGAAATAAATTTTTGTTATAGCGATGGATTTGTAACACTTGAAGAATACATGGCGTTCATGATTAGCCGTGAAACTGAAAATGTTGCCTCAAAGAAAGATGTTGAAGATGCTTTCAAAGCCTTAACAGCTGATGGTGATAAACCATACATTATAGGATCGGAATTATACCAGGTTATTATTACGACAGTATTTCTAATATGATCTTTGCTTTTCAATAACATTCGTTTAAGAAGTAATGCGTAGGTTTCTAATCCGTAAATTTATATTTTCTTATCAAATGTAGTCGTTAACCAAAGATCAAGCAGATTATTTGGTCAATAACATGCCTCCCTACCGCAACGCTCACGGAGATATTGTTCCCGATGCATTTGATTATAAGGCTTTCACAAACATGTTATTTGTTAGTTAAATTTTTGAATGCCCTTTTTTTATAGCGAACGACTTTATTGTTTTTGTTGTCATCGTGTACTTCTACTATTAAGGTATTTTCTCATGTATTTTAGTATTGTTCTTTTTAATTAAGTTTGACTGTTCACTTTATTGTGACTAATTTGTAATTTGTAACTTACTGTAATATCCGTAACGTTGGTATGGTATAGTATCAAAAAATTTAATTCAAGCAATCTATTCCTCCTTGACACCAATCCTTTTTAACTTTGAACAGTACTCTTTACTGTCATGACTTCTAGCTAATACCTTAGTTCCGATATGATTTAATTATCTACTAATTTGGGGATAAATAGTTTTGGCACATCTACACTATTACATGTGACGAGAGTTATTAATCAATTATAATTATGAAATCATCAGTATTGGAGTGTCAATGCACTACATTTGTAGCTTCTGACGTTTTTAATATCTAATAAAAATAATATCAGGGTACAAGAAGGTAGTACAGTAATTATCTAAATTAAGAAATCTCGTTATTCTTACGCTGAGAATCAATAACAAGAATAGCTCTCTACTTACAATGTATCAGCGGTTACATGCAGTAAAAAAGAAGAATCAATGAAATTTGAGCTATTTTTTTAACGAATTGAATTGCTTTAAATCATTAACATTACTAACAGAAAGCAGTTAATTTAGATGGTTAACTATGCATGCACATAGTGGACAGTATGTGAATTGACTGTTAGAAAGCCTGTGCTTACTGTTTGTACCATAGATCTCTTTCTCGAACAGTCGTAAGGACGTTACGATGTATTTTATGCCTCGTCCTCATCTATGCGTAGTAAAATTTCTACTTATTGCTATTAATTAGAGATAGAAAAATAAGTTATATTTACAAATTATGTAAGTGAAACGCTATCATTGAAAACGAAATATATGTGGCTGCACTTACAACAGTGAAAATGCAGATCTGTCGCGGTTAAAATGTAGCTACTTTAATTAAAAAAATTATTTTTTCGATTGTAATTTGCATCTCATTCCCCTAAATAGTCGGAATGTATTCTACATGAATGGCCTCATTTGAAATAAGAAGTTCGTACTAAAAGAGCTTAATCAGTAATAATAGGTAGGGAGTTAAAATATCTCTATGAATTACATGCTTGAAATGACATCATTACACGTAAAATATGGAAAAGTTGCAGTTATAAGAGTTCAAATGTATATTGCAAGCAATTTTATTCCTTTTGTAGCTGAAGCAATTCGAAATTTACGATTGAAGTTATACATTATTTAATATGCTGTATCATACAGAAAATCAACTATTATAAGTTGACGATATAAACTAATACTTAAGTTCAGAAAAAGTAATATCAGTTATTGAGATGTTCGAGATTAATCCTACCAATCTATGACATTGACATATTTTATACGACTTCGACTATCGCAGCCAATGATATGTTATATAAATAAATACATCAAATGGGTATTCCTAGCCACTTAGGAGTATAACACATATGTAATCACCAGTCTGTATACATATATATATATGCGTGTGTGATCGTTAAAAAACAATTATAGCTTTATATTCATATTATTTACGTGCCGTAATAGGTAATAGAGAGGAGGAAAATGGGCTGACCCACATCAAATCATTATAATAAATGGGATAGAACGGAACAACATCAACCCATTCAAGAAAAAATAGAAATTATTACAATACTATTGTTGTTGACATTAATTGATATGTAAATTGGGGATTGCTTACGGTAGCAACCATTCAAGTCATTAACGAATAAGAGTTGTTTAGCTCTCACTACTATAGTTTTGTCTAGCAACTATACAAATGAATATAATGTACCATCAAGTCTAGTTGATGATGTCTAGCAATATATTCACACTAAGCATCTAAACCATGTACGCATGTATACTATCGTGTGTAATAGCAACATAACAAGAGTGGACTACGATCCATTTTAAGTTCAAACAATTATTGTAAAACACGAATCTGTATCAGTACTATTTATGAAATGAATATTGAACAACAATCTTTAATATCTCTTTACTACATAACGGTATAGATTGAAATATAATCGATAGATTTAAAAATAATAACCATTTACTATTTCTTAATTCTTATTCTGTTAGAGTTTCATACTTCTTGCCTTTAGTTAAATCAATTAAGTCAAATCATAGCAATTGTTTTGACAAACTCTAATCTAAACCGAATAGCATAAGTATTATCTATACATTAACGTTACTTTTTTAATCATAAGCTTCTTCTGTTTGATTCTAACTTCCTGTATACTGTCTTGGAATAACTTATAAGTCTTTTTAATAGAATCGATTATATGTTTGATTATGAAATAGTGAAATAATATCGTTTATTTTGTTACAGTAATATAGTAGTAATTTTTTAAAAGAATCTCCTAAATCATTGTTGATTTAATGCCTAAACTAATCGACAAAAGACTTGTAAAGAGAAAGAATTAACAGACATAAATTAAATTATAACACTTGATGTAAGTCGATCAATAATACATTGCTTGGATATTTCATTTTTCAACAATACTACTTGTAAATCAGTGTAGTATACGTAATCAACTCTATTTGGGAGGAAGTTGCCAGTCTTAGCTTAATTATTTATGCTACAAATATGGCTACCGATATTCAAAATATACCAGTATCTGATCATCATAGCGAGAATCAAGTTGACGATATTGATGAAAAAGACAGCAATACAATCCAATCAGAGTCAAATATTGGACAAAGTGACAGTTATCCAAAAGTACAAATTATCCTAGAAAGCGTAGAAGATAATAATGACAATGGCGATGTAAAAAGAGTAACACTAGTCAATGGAGGTGAAGAGGATAAGGTAAACGAAGAGAAAGAACTTTCCCAAGTAGTCCAAGAAGATAATGTTCAAGAAAATGGAAACAATGATCAAAGTGAAGACATAGTTCCATCACTATCAGATGAGAATATCATTGTCATAAATAATGTAATTCAAGATAGCGAACAAGTAGAAAAAAATCAATCTCTAGATTATTCTGGCAGCCTTGCATCACTCAAAAAAACTGATATGTATTACCAAGGTAAAATATATGATTTAGTTTCTATCGCAATCAAGTTCGTTAGTGCTAGATCATATTACAGTTATTATCGCTCTTGTTAACGATATCATAGGCTAACGATAATGTATCTCAAAAAAAGACCGTCACATCGCATTTTTCTCGTGAAAATTCTTGATAAATCATTCGCATTTATACATTATTAACAACTTGCTTAATGCTAACGGAGAAACTTTATAACAAATTAATCTAGCAAATATTCTATAATTTCTTCATTCCTATAACTTCATTTATACCCTCATTTTATAGCATGTACGTAAGTCATGTGAATTTTCTGATAGCTGTCGTTACCAATCTCAGTATTCTGCCAAAAAAGCTACCGTAATTAAATCACCTACAAGTTAGATCAATCCCTAAATATATGCTGGACTTTATGCAAATATTCGAACAGCTTATTCTTTTATAATAACCGGAGGAAAGATGTAAAGTTACTGTGTCACAATCACTTGAAGGAAAATATAGATCGTAAGGAAAACATGACATAGTATTAGAAAAAAATTCTTATATTATAGGATACTGGTAGCTTATAGATCCAGAATGCTTGCAATTTGATGTTGACTGGAGTGTTATAACTTGTACATATACATATACAAAAAGGGAATGTGTAGAAACTGCTTCTGATATCTAAGCACTATCACAATATCATTACAATTATTGTCGTATATTTCGAATGGTATCGTATCAAAACTTTAAATTTCTGCTAGATCAATGATATAAGTTAATTAGTCTTAACAATTTCAATTGGATCATGGATACAAATGAAGTTGATTAATACCAAAATGAAGAACATTATTGATAATTAAATGTGAAAAAATCTAATATTTAACATGCTAACCTGTGGATAGCTCGATACTAGAGTACCTTTCCTTTCGTTGCAACATATAAAGTGTAGAGAAATTATGATGTTCCTATTCTGATAGTGAATTACTGTACTAGAAACGGAACTGAAAGCCGAAATCGAAATGATGAATAACCGTTGCTATTCCTCCACGGGCATTATCTTGTCATCAGAGTTTATTTAATTAATATTTGATTGAATTAAAATATTTAACGGCTTCCATTATGCCTAAATAAAGATTAAAGTCGATCAACTTAGTTTTTAACACTGTTATATTGCGGTAAAATGCCAGGGTACCGCATAGTTATATCGTTAAAACTGTATGAGATATCTTAATTAAAAATCACCGGAAATAGCTTAGGACAGCAATCCTGTAATTAATTTCGCTAACAAATTAAATCTTTATTTGATTATAGGTGTATCAGATGATATCAACAATTGTGCCCATGTCGTATGGCCTTTATGTTGCTCAATTCAATTAGATTTTAATGTCAATGGACAATATGGAGGGTCTACTTCGCTTCTAATCGTTTCTTCAACATACAATCGTGAAACTGCAGCCGCGTTGTTAATGTTGCAATCTGGCTTCGACTCAAATCATTGTCGCCTCTCTATAATCCATCAGATGTTAGGAAAAAAGCATCAACCGACCTTTGGTGATTGCATATGTATAACTATTAACTATACTAATATCTAATAGTATCAAAAATATTCTGAACTTATAATAGCAGTAAATAAATTCCATAATAACTTTATAATCCCATAATTTAAAAGGGTTAAATTACAGCGAATTTAATTTTCTCTTAAAGCAGTTACGATTATGACCTTTCATTAGAGATTGGATTATAATTATAGAGCTCCAGTATAGTCTTTCGTAGGATCATAGACAAAGTACCATAATCCATCCTAGAATTGAAGTACTATAATCTAAAATTCCCATCATTTTTCGATTTACTGTATTTATATCATACTATCATTAGTCTTACTAGTTGACAATTGTAAAAAACTGATATATGATATATAAAAGAAATTTTCTGGAACTTTTTAATACTAGATTTTAAATATCTAGAGTTTGAATTATTTTTTAAAATTATCATATACATAATTTTATATCATTAATTAAGGCAACTTTATTGAAATTAAAGCTATTTTAATTGCAATATACTCAATAAGTGAAATCTATCGACTTTAATTGCACTATTAGATGTTCATCCTGATGTTAAAGGCAATCTGATCCTAAATAGCGGATGTGGAGCTAATTTTGTTACTATCTTATCGAATCATGCTCATCAAACGAGCCTACGATGTGGCTTAGTTTGCATCCCTAAAGATAACGAATTAATATGTGATTTACCCATCAAGGTAGATGAATCAGATGGAGGTGCAGCCATTTTATTATGTAGTGCACCATGTGAAGGCCGAGCAAAAGCAAAGTTATCGGCATTTGGTGCGCTTTATCTTCTCAGGTAAGGTACTTAATTTAAACTACCCCATTTCCCTTCAAGTAAAAGTGGAAAGGCATCCTACGTACACCTACATAAGCAAATTTTATGCCCACTATACTGTACTCTACTTTGGCCATAACTGTTTAATATATTAATAAATCATGTATGCTATTCAGGGTTATTGTTAATACTTAAAAACTGAAATATCATGTGAAATTCGATATTACTTCGAGATAAAATCAAATCAATAAACACTAGTAATTATTTAAAAATATTCAATAAAAATAATAATAATTATAGACCAGAGAAAATTATCCTTCTTGTTCTCAAGAAATTTTATCATACTATATTACCCTTTAATTAAAAATCTAGATTTCATCATTAACTATTTGAAAATGTACGACGTAATACAACTAGAAACTTATAAATCGGAGAACATTATCCTTCTTATTATCATGTAATTTTAGTGAACAATACTGGGTATTAATTTAAATTTCACCTTTAATCTTGTAGTTTTTGTATAATACTGATATTAAAAATCCCATATATCAAATAGATTCAAATATTATTTCGATGTAAAACTACTGAAGCACCGTTAGTGACTTGAATGCGTATTGTAATTAGTAATTCTGGATCACGTAAAGATATCGCTCTACTTAACAGATATGAAAACATTTTCATTGCATAGATTTGGTTCAGACGGCAATAATTTCCATGGAGAGAAATTATATGGCGATAGTCAATGGAAATTTTCAACGAAAGGACCAAATAGCCGCCTTAGAGTATCAGGGCCTAAAGAAAGTACATATTGTCTTTATCATAATAGACCAGACCGATATCAAGATATAAAAGACAGTAGCGTTTTCAGAAATTTCACTTATCATACACAAGCCATCGATGGAGAAAGAAAGACGATGATTTTAAAGCTAGCGACATCAATAAAACATTGCATTTTTATTGTTTTATGCTCTCATAGTTATGGCAATGAAGATCGAACTATTTCAGCTTTGTATTTATTGACCGTCTCGACGGAAGCTAGTGAAAAACGGAAGGTTAGAGGTACGCGTAAGATCTAATGATTTTCTATTCATGTTCACAAAGCGCAATTAGAGCTACTCTAAAAAAATTAACAGATTTTAAGTGCGAGAGCATCAAATTAAATATACGGTACTTATCTACACTTTAATATGTGTATCACAGAGTGTATAAAATTGCGTTCGTAGAGTCAAGGACTAACTGATTTCTACTAACACCATATATGCATAAGCTAATAATATTCTTTATCTCGACATAAAAGCTGGCTATTTTAAAGGTAGTGGTAGCAAAGGAAATAATTCCAACGTATGGAAATTTTCATTATCCAACGCATCCATTTACGTTTCCGGCCCGTCTGGACCTTGTCGTTATGCTATCTTATCTAATATTAGCGATAGTCGGTTATCTCATGGCATGAAGCAAACTGATCATAACCAACATGCCAGTTTAGCTATAGCTGATCGATCATTTTTACATAGCCAAGTCGATATTGATAATGAAAAAATTTCTGGTTGGCTTTCACAGTCTAGTACACTCTGTATCACTGTCGACGAGAAAGAAGTATTTCGTATTAAGAGACAAGAATTAAATCAGGAAAGTGAAAACAAGTTTACATTTTCCAAATTGTGGCCTTCACGGCAACGAATTCTTGGCCTTCATTTAATACGTGTATTTGCAATTGATAGCATTGGCGATATACCAGGTAATTGTAAAATGATTGATTATTCAATCATTAAAATCCACATTTCGTTAACTTAATGGTTTTGATGTAGCTACAGTATTATGTTCTTTTAACTAATTACAACATTTAGAAAATTATGGATAACCATGATCATATTGATTAATAATTAATTGGTAAATCAAGTAAATCACAAAGATAGAAAGAATAATTGTGCTATTGTTGTAATTTAATGGTAGTATACGATAATACTTTTGAACTTATCATAAATAATATTATAAGCTAATATTTTACAGTCAGTTCTCTGATGAGCACATTTATACCTTTTATACATATTTTTAATAATTAAAAAATATCCATATAACAGGTGTCGAAGGCTCTGAAATTAAGGTAGAACTAAATGGTTCTCCAATGCAGCTAATTCGACAACCTAACTACGTTGGTGTTGCTGTTAATTGTGCTGGACCATCCTATGAAAATTCGCAAGGAGTGGTATATATAAGTGAGAATAATTTCTTACTATCATCGCAGAAAGGTACTTTATCGTCCAATTATTATATGAACTGAAATAAATAGATGAGGCATTAATTCTAACTACAGTCGCGAAATGAAATAATCTCTTTTATGTGATTACTACAGTACATCAATGCTATTTTTTAAGATATGATGCATACTATACGTAACTTTAAATAACTTCTGTATAGCTAATCTTAAATTTATTAAATCAGCAATATTCATTATTATTTAAGAAATATTATTTGATCAGCTAAGTTAATTACTAATTTTTCACTATATGTCTTAAAATTTAATAGGACTGCAAGGAACTAACCTAAAAGGAGTTTACCGGAATCCAGTTCTGCATCAAACTATTATGAATACTGATGATGGCTTGCTTTATAGCACCTACCGAACTTCAAATGTTGCTGGCGATGAAAAAGTAGTTAAATACGAAGTATGTATTTTAAATTATGTTAGTTAAATATAAAGAAAGATTTCGTTGAATAGACAGGAGCTGTCACTACCATTTCTAATAGATTTAAAAATGAAACATTCACATTGTTTAGATTTCTACTTTCTCGATTTTCAATTAAATGATAATTAATTATCTATACAGTATGTTATACCGGTATGCCAATATTAATTTTCATATGTTACGTTATATTTAACTTCTAGTTTCCTATAGAAAATGGCAGTTATATCCTAAAGCTACATTATATTGAGTCATCCGTACAATGCTGCATATTACAGGGAAAGAATGCTACCAAGGACGTAAGGGATATAAATAGCAACAATAGTGATATTATTCTATTTCATCTAGTAATGATGGTGACATTTATCGATAGGTACAACAAGTCATGAAAGAAAATGATGGAGAATTAGAGCTTGGCAATACAGCCAATTATATTAACTTGCCCATATCTATCGTTAATGGTAAATTCTCCATGACACTATTTGAGCAGCCGTTATGTGCGTTTGCTTTATTTCATAGTAATAAGAAAAAATCAACAATACAGTACTTAACTCCTCAAGATGATCATCAGCAATTGAGTAATGTGAGTATTTCTAGATTCTAACTCATTTGAAATTAGTATAATTTATACTTGAACTCTTTATATTTTATAAATAAAAATTACTGCAATATTTAGTTAACTAGAGCACCTAATACATAATAAATTATAAGCGTACATTTTCTTATAATAATTA